ATGACGTCATCGTACAAAAAAAAACGAATCCTTTGGAGCCAACAGAAATTTTTGAAATAAATAAAAGTGACAGCTTTCTAGCGAAAAATACAATCTTTAACCACTGAAAATTTTAAAGCAATTGGTCTAGTATTTAATGAAAAAAGCTTTTTTTCATAACAACCTGAACAGGAAAAATAATTCTAACAACAAAAACATAATAACGATGCATTCTCCGATAAGTGCTTGAGTCCGCTATCGCTTATCAAGTATCAAGAAATTAAAATATACTTTGTGTGTTTTATTTTGACGAATAACTTAGCTTTTTTAATAGTATTTTCAAAATTAAATCATTGGAAATTCATCAAAAATTCCGTTTTAAATTTAAAGAAATAGTTCACGTCGTACTCTAATCGTACGATCAGTTTGTTAAATTTTTGACGATACTTGGAAACATTCGTTTTTCACTCCATACTTGTGGCGTCGGTATATTTACTTTTTAATTTTACAAATAATTCAATTGCAAATTTATTTTAATAATGCTTTATTATTCCAAACGATTTTTTTCAGTCCATACCTTGGTTTTATGAGTTCATACGGGCTTTCTAAGTTAATGATATGTTTTGCTCTCCACATTCCTCGTTCTGCCACATAAGTAAATATTATCATTCATTGGTGAAAATATTCGCATTTCATGCTAAATGATAAATATTGTTCTAAGGTGGTTTACCTAAGATAGATCTTGAAGAAATCGTCGACTACATACTTGTTTCATCCGCTGCCGAAGATTGGCCGAGAGTGTGTTTCTGTGAATTACATACAGTCTTTTGTTTTGTAACTGTATACCCTCAAAAATGTTATTTTTCTTATCTTTCTAAATCCCGTAATAATTTTCTAAAAAGATTCATTGCATATATTCGTCAAAGCAACTAACTTATTTCGTTGCTTTGTGTCGTTTCTGACGACCCCGGCACACGAAAAGTTCAAAGGTTAAATTTAATGACTGTGCGGCCTCTCTTTTTCAAGAATTTTTGGATGTGGATTAGATGGCTCAGACGTTGTATTGTATCAGTGCTTTGTCACTTCTATACGAGTCGGCGTCACCAAGTCGGTTTGGAGATGTAAATAAAGAACAGATTTCGACCTATAGTTTTGAGTTTCTTATTGTCTTTTTTTTGCTTGTAAAACAAGTATTCGACCTCATATTTTGTGCAATTCATCAGCGTGAAATTCCAAGACATTTCCACAGTATTGTCCCTGAAATCCATTTTCTATAAAATACGATGCCAACACATATAGGCTATAGGCATCGTGCATTCTTCGCTCTCCATATATAGTTTCTTTACTTGCATCCTGTGCATCCAGGGTTGTTGTATACCGCAAGGTTCACGCGCGTCTCCTTTAATATTTGTTATTTATCCGAACCTGTGACTCGTTGTAAATTAAGAAAACCTTTTCATAAATTTCAAGTTTATTCTTTTCAAATTAAAGCAACTTCGTGTAATGCGTATATTTCCTTGTTCATAGCCGTGGTTGGAGCTAACGTCATTTCACTTTATGAACAGTTGTGGCTTATAAAGGCGTAATAGCAAAAAAATTGAGCGAACTCGGATCAGATAAAATTCGACAAACAAATTATCTAACAATGGTGTATATTTGTTTGAAATTGTCGTCCGTGTAATAGACATATTATTGACATACCATTCGACATATCTTAGTTTTTCATCTCCATCGCCAAATGCATAATGTCTCGACAGTTGTTTTTTTTAAGTTTATATTAAAAACGATATTTGTTTTCATTTTGAATGCCGATGGTATCTCAAGAAATGATTGAATCATAACTGGTTTATAAATGCATAGTAAAGGCGATAAAAGGTTTTGTGTATTTATGTGTGGCCGAACATTAGCAGAATTAAGGTACGATCCCAGGGTCACTCCATTTAGCAGTGAATAACAGTTGTATTTGTCGTGATATCTTGCGTTTCGTCTGAGCCGTGGCTTTTTGAAGATAAACGAGGTATAAAGTATGAATGTAATAACACGTTGCCGATCAGTTTTCTCAGCTTATTTTTATAAATTTTATATCATCCAACCAATCTTTGTGGTTTTCGAACGTGACTATGTATTTTTAGCTATTAATCTATCGCCGTCGGTTTATTTTTGATGTGGTTTTAATTTGAATAAAGCCTAATGCATAACAAGATTTTAATTTGATAAATATTTGTTTTTACTTCATCCTATACTTCATCTGAAATGATAACAATAGCTTAGCAATTACAGAGAACTGACAAGGTTAATCAAATGAATGATTGGGTGAATTTACTCAACATCTTTACTCACACAGAACAAATCTCAAAATTCTTTTAACTCAATTTTTAGCCACTTCTGTCTTTACGATCTTCCTATTTAGGTTCGAAATCTTGTGGGAGATTTTGAGTTCACCTAAGGAATTTGGATATAAGACTTCCAACTATTATAAACAATTCGTACTTCATTCATTTCTGTACTGTCTTTGAGAGAATTGAATTATTTTTTAATATATCTTGATCATTCAAATATCATATTTCGTAATATTATACCCCGTTGCACCCATCATGAGTTTCATATGACCCCCGTCCCCAATAATACCTAACCCCACCTGCACCTAGAAGTGTAACCTCTTCATCTGAAGTGTATTGGGTTCGGTTACTTCTTCTTATTAAGTAGTTAAGTGGGATTTGGATGGTTGATGCAAAGTTAGGTAGTTTACGTTAACCCAGAAAAATTACCGGAAGTTCAGACTAAGGATGTGATATACTTCATAGAAACTAGTTCCACGTTACTTTTGTGTAATTTATTATAATTTGATATCTTGTATTAATTTGGCCTATCTTCTATTCATCATATCGCGAATTTCTAAATGTTAAACTAACCCAAATGGTACAGTAAAATTGGTATATATATAAGTATTTGATATGGCGGCACTCTACATTATAACCTATCTGACTTCTATAGCCATCCATGGTAGATTTTTTAAAATATATCAGTTGATACTTTTAATATCAACTGGAGAATCATATCCTTTGACGAGGTTCTTATTTTCTAATTGGCGAACTGGTTTGAACGGAACTTACAATTAAAAACGTTCGAAAAATGTTTTCATTTTAAAATTTAGGCCTATTTAAAACGACTATTTGTAAAATTTGAAACACTAATTCAGTACTTACTTCCTAAAGTTTTTTTTTTCGGGAAAATCGATATTTTGAGATAGTTTTATAAATAGGATTGCTCATTCATTTCTACTACTCTTGTTAAATTATGGTAATAATCATTGTTGTTCATACTTGGTACGTTGTTGTTACACATTTAAAATTTCATGCAAATCCCAAAAACATTCCATACTGGCAATTCGACGCCATTTCGTGGTTATTTTCGTTTTATGTTGTCGATCTTGACGTTGAAAAATGTCACCAAACTGTGTAACAATCGTTCTCTTTTGAAGTATGTATGGCCAAAATTGGGGCGTTCTTAAGAAACAAAGCTTTATAGTTGCTCCACGCTTAATGTATCGATATCCTTGACGGTCAAAGTACCCGGAAACGCGGCACGCGAATCGTTTAATCAAATACGGATTTTTGAGGTCGAATTGACACGATTTTATTTCGGGCAATACGCCATGTTCGTCACAAATTGCAACCCAACGCGGGCAAATGAGGACGCCTTGAGTACGTGAGGAAAATTTCAGAAATAGGACGTTTTTTCGTAGAGTTTTTGACTTTTCAATTTTCAAAAGTTTTTCGACGTACATCAAACTTATTAGAAAAGGCAAATCACAAGCACTCTTATGTGCTTTAATAAATTAAATATTTGAAATCGTGTTTTCCGAAAGAGCCTTTGAAGGAAAAAATTCATTCTGTACTGAAACGCAACCACTTTACAGTTCCTTATACAATTAATGATTAAATGACCATTTTTAAATAGAACACTGCATACAATTCCGATGTTCCTGGGTAAAAGTAAATTAACATAAACGGACGATACGCCCGAATATTGCATGCAGCCTATTCGTAACGGAGCACATATATTAAATCAGCAAATCGTAAAAATTACTTTTTATGGAGTAGATTCAATTGTTGAGACAGCAAACCACCAATGCGCCAGTTATATTTGGTGATTTATGCGCTGGAATTTAAAACCTGAGCGTTTATGCAACCACATGCCTCCCCGCTGTCATAAAAATGTTACTCCCCAACCTCTGACTGAATCACCTCCATTACCTCAAGTTCGCTCAAGTTCAAGATTCCATTAATATTGAAAAAACGACTCCATCACAGTTTATACTTGGATAACCCGATCATGGTAAATTGAGGATTCTTCGCACACGTGCATGTTGTGCTTTTGCACTCATGCGCATTAAATGACCCAGGAGGTCGATCTTGTGGTCTTTACGACGGCGCTGACATGAAGAACGCATTTTCGAGAATTAATGAGCCGCGTACGGTATGAAAATTATCCTCTAAAACTGCTTTGCGCTTTTGTATGGCGGTGATGTTTTTCTTTTTAATATTTTCTTTGTTATTTATTTGTTATTATAGCTCGGTTAGTGGGCCGTGGGGCAGCAAGTTAGAAGGCCTATGTTTAATTAAACCTTAGTTAGGAAAGTGATTAGCAGTCGATCCCACCCCTAGTTATTACATATCGTACCTAAAAGACTATATCATGTCGGATACCTGTTTATGCTTTACGTTCATGTTTTTACAGAAGCTTTGTGTCTGGTTCAATAAATAATATTGTTTATAAGCATTACTGTAATTAAATAATGTGTTCTGTTCACAGGCAAAATTATTTCTGACTTATGGAAAATAAGAATAAAATAATCTCCCTCCACAAAATAGTAGCAATGTTAGCCTTAAGCCCCTGTGTGGGCAAAAAAAGTGTAATATTTATTAAATGCCTTGTTCCAATTGTTTCAATAAGGCTGAAACATACTTTAGACTTCATCATTACCTTATTAATTATAATTTCCTTTTATTTCTATCTAGATCCTTATATGGTATTACCGTCTGGTGCTTTGCTGATTAGAAACGTGACGTCATTGGATCAATCGGTTTACCGATGTGGGGCTTTCAACTCTATCACTGGAGAACTGAAGATGGCACCAAAGTCCATTACTCTCGAAGTAGACGGTGAGTGAACTTAATTTTTGTAAATGTTGTTTTACCTTTAAAATAGAGCTATTCAAATAATCGGATCGAGCAATGGGTTGAGATTCAACTCGTGCTCAAAAGCCATATACATAAGATTATGTACTTGGTATACATACATACATGGTCAGATTGTGTTACGATTTTTCATGGATCTACCTCGCTACCTTTCTCTAAATGAGACTACGCGATAACTAACGTAGGCTATTTATATATCTTTTTGGATGAAACGGAACGCTGCTCTATCATTTCTCAACACCCCAAATATATTATTACACCCTGTTTAGGAATTATCCACAGTCGTTGATAAGGTTTCGACCGATACTTGTCCATTTGAAACGCAGTGAGTTCCTTGTCTGTGTCCAGTAATATCATATCAAAATTTTATCAAGAATAGAAAATTTGAATGAGCAATTTTTTTTTTTGGATTAAGATTGTTGCTACCAGACTACGGGCTAACGATATCAGTCGTTTTGATAACATTGTTCCATCGACTTTAGCTGCCTCAGGTATATGTTCAACTGTAATTTATTTTAACTGTAATTTTTTATTCATTTTTTGTACAGAAATAAAGCCATCTTCTCAGACCCGAATGATTTATCCGAGTTCTGATTCTCAACAGCCATTTAACGTAACTGCTGAAGTTCATCAAACGAATGTATTGTTAGATTGTATTTCTAATGATGACACAGAATTGAAATGGACTCGGGAAAATGGAATTATGCCAGACTCAGCAAAAATCAGCCGAGGTAAAGGGAACACTTATTTTCTGTCATCATTTGATATTCATGATTCTGAAACAACTCTCAACAACTTGCCGTTTAGTTGTTCAGTTTCATATAGTCCGATATTATATCACGAAAGAGAGGTATTCCGGGATTTTTATAATGTAAATTGCTGACTGGAAGATATAGAAGAAAAGATTTCTTCTTTCACGCCTCTTCTCGAATTTTTGACTTTTTTATAGTTTTTTGAGCCGAATAATAGATTATGAGGATAGTATGTTGGTGAAGTACAAATGCTAGTTTGTAGTAAATTTTAACGTGCTCTGTTGTTGTAATAATTTAGCTGGATTGTCCTTGGATGTGGCTTGGGATTCTGGACAATATAGTTGCAAATCACCAAACGGATCCATTTTAGCAACATACAATTTGAACGTAATCGGTAAGTGATATCTTGTATTTATTTGGATGATATTGTTTCATCATATTTGGTATTCATATTTAACAATTATTATTACGTAAATAACTACGTCATACTGTCATAAGGACGTCATACTTTCCGTCTTTTAGCATCGAAACCCGTAACTGGTATTCGCGTTTTTCTTATTTGCATTGCATATTTTGCATTCATACCTAACAATTATTGTTACGTAAATACCTAAGTCATAATGACGTAATACGTCTTTTCGCAGCGAAACCAGTAGCTGTTATTCTCGGTCCCGATAACTTTTCAATCAAAGATGATGAAATTATAACAATGGAATGCGGGGTGCATTATTATACTGGACTCCACACTAGATGGGAATGGTATCACAATGGAGAAAAATTGAAGGACGCTAACGGTCAGTATTTTCATTATTTACCATTTTATTTGACATTCGCAATTAATTTGTAACTGCATTGCTGTTACTATTAGAATACTCGATTTGCTTTGGTCGATTAACGACATTGAAAAACGTGCCCTGCATATATAGACAGTAGGACAAAGGAATTAATTTTTATGCAAAGTAAGGGAAGAATAAATAGCTCCAACATAGACAAAGTGAGAAATTCAACGGAAAAACTTGGAAACCACTGTAAAACAAGTCAAACCAACTGACCCTCACGTCTCAAGAGTTGAAGTAACATGTGATATATACTTTTTGTTTATAGATTCAAAACTCAATGTCAGCATTTCAATTGGCTTCTCTTCCGGATATTATCAATGTCTGGCTATCAATGACCTTGGATCATCACACAAGATTTTCAAAGTCGAAGGTAATTATATCATTTCGATTTCACATCGTTTTCGTTATTATTTATACGTGGTTCCATTGCTGCCTTAGTATAACGATTTGGCTTTTGAAATTCTGAATAGGCAATAGGTTATTGATTAATATAAGTTGCAGTGTCACTTATGTGGCCGCTTCATATCAAGTTGTTGGATTCCAAGTTGTTGGAAAATTTCAACAAAAATTATTGTTTTACGCGCAAGATCGTGATATCTAAACTAAAACTTAAAGATCAGTAATAGAAGAGTTGTAAACGACTACTAACGTGCTAAGACAAAAATATCAGATTGGTAACTTTGTTAATTAATTTGTTTACATAAATATGCCTTTTTCATTATTTTAACAGTTGTAAAGGAAACCCCAGAATCTCCTCAGCCTGTTCAATCAGAAGAATATTTTACAGCAGAAACGGACTCGGTAAGTACATTTAAGCAAATAATGACTTTGGCAATTCAATAAATGCTGAAGGAATTGTCAGGTAATATGTGTTAACTTCACTATTTTTTTAGTAGTTATTCTGAGTGAGACGGGTACGCTTCTTCTAGTGCAGGGGTCACCAAACTACGGCCCGCGGGCCGGATCCGGCCCGCGACGTCATTTTATCCGGCCCGCGGCGTCATTTTATCCGGTCCGCAATAACACACAAAAATGGCTAAATTTTTTTCCAAGGAAGATTTTCACGAGCATCGTCGTCTTTGTTTATATCGTAACATTGCCCAATCGCAAGATGCAAAAAAGTGACGTAATAATAGGCCTTTCCGCATCCGCTCAGACACTTTTGTCACCCTGACAGATTTTCAGTCATGGTTGTAAACAAAACTTCGTTTTTGCGACTTTGAATGCTACCAGTACGTAACGTTTTCTGCGATACACTTGTACACTCGTGGCGCGTGCTTTCGACGAAACTGTATGTTTTTTTTGTGCTAAAATAAACGTCGAATGTGCATTTTGTGCTAACAGTACTGTAATCCCTCGCGCACTGCTCCAATTTCAAAAGCCACACTAACTTTTGTACTGCTTTAATGCGGATATTCATGTAGGTATATGTTACAAAAAAATTGATGTTCATTCCGATTTAAATAAAAACTATTCCAGTGGAAAGATCTGAGTAAAAATAGAAAACAATACCAAGTTTATAATAAACGGTCAAGAAATAACGAAGATATCGGAATTTTAGTACCGCCCGACAGGCCAATTTTTTCCATAATGATTGTATTACTTTTTTGATAAGAACTGAACTAAATATGGAAAAATAACACATATCAATCACTAATCTTTCGATGTGCGTCACATCTATAGTAAATTGAGACTATTTCAGGATTTTATTCTGACAACGGTCATTGACACCGCCGAAAGATCGTCGCAAATAAACGCTGCAGTTGTGCATGATAGTTTGACAGTGGTTCATTGTGGGTAATAATTAACGGTGTTCTGATTGTAGATAGACAATATCATTAATTTGAACTACGTATAACTGGAGCGTAATTTTTAAAAGCGTCGAATGTTGGCAAATTTATGCGCAAATGAAAAAAATCAAATATCAGATAATAGTTGTTTATTTTATCTAAATTATGTCAAAATTTCATAGAATTCCAAGCTACAGCAGTTAGTCGTTTTTATGAGCGGTATTTCAACACGGCGTAACGGTACCCAGCAGACGCGATGCCCACATTTTTTGCCGCGGATTTTGTAACATTTCTAATTCATGACAGCAACGTTTTGATAACAGCTAAACTCAGGATAGTTGTCTAGATATAGGAATCTTGTTAATTTTTTTCATAGGATGTTCTCGATCTATATTCTGCGATATTCCCAACATTTGTGAATTTATTGTATTGCATTGACAAAAATATTCATCCGGCCCGTTTCAACACAATTTGAGTCATACCCGGCCCGCGGTCAAAAAAGTTTGGTGACCCCTGTTCTAGTGAAACCGTATTTTATGCTTCAGAGTTTTCAAATTTGCCCTTTTTTTCCTTCTCATATATAAATCAACTCTGTTTCAGGACGGCGTCTCTACTCCGGTTATCGATAGATCAAGAACACCAACACAATCTACCTCGCATACATTAACATGGAGTACAAGTGATCTTGACGTCAAATTATTCAGCATCAAATATTATAAGGTTAGATCATATATTCATTCATTCAGCGCTTTATATGGATGGCTGTTTTCCACCATCATTTTAAAAATATTTAAACAACTGCCAACTAGCCATTAAACGGCTAATATAAAATCTCCGTGTTTTCGGGAACGTCTTCGATCAATTCTTATAAACTAAAACGCTTCCTAAGACAAAATTGCCGGCCAAGGTATTAGATTTATACCTAAATTTTGGAAATACAACTAGAACGAAACCAACAAAAAGCGCTCAAAACCACCAAAATCAGTCGTTATTACGATTGTGCTTGAAAATATGTTTGAGTGAAAAAGTAATTTTCTTTTTTATCAATGTACTCAAAGGGCTTGGTGTTACTTCGTAGTTTTGTTTCAATATATATTTTCAATTTCAACTTAGGAGCCTGATTTTGTGGACGGAGCTGCCATAAACTATCCTTGGAATGTAGTGAACGTACCAGGCGATCAACGCAAAGTTGTTCTGAAGAATTTGGAACCTTCAAGCACGTATGTGGTAGAAATGGTCGCCATAAGTCAAGCTGGGACAAGGAGTGACGTTGCTATGTCAAGTTTCAACACGGGAAAAGGTATAGGAGGGAAATTAGTATAATTAGCAGTAGTATAATTACTTTATTGTACTTTAGTATAATTTCTATAGGCACTTTTTAGTAGTTATATGGATTGGAATATACACTGCTCGCTGTATTGGACACTTGAATTATAGAGTTTTAAGATTCAGATTGTGATATCATGTCGAATTCGTCATCGCTGTAAAATTTTCCAACTTTTGAAAGTCAAACTGAAATGCCGCAAGAAGGTTATCAAGTAACAGGGCTGTGAGATGAAGTTAAACATTTACTCGTTTTTAAGATAATCATTGCGCTATGAAACGGTCGGTTTCCTCCTATCCTGATAAGCTGGCTGCTATTAGAATTATGATAAAATATCGGAGTTTTACTATACATTTGAAAACACTATACACGTCTTTTCATAGTAAAAATAATGTAAATTTATCGAAGATACACTGGACATTCCCAAGCTTACACTGGTTTGGCAAATATAGGAATACGCTTTACCGTATGAACCATTTTTTCACAGAACCAGACCTGACAAAAGTAAGTTCTCCAGATACACAAGTTCCTAGTACTAATCCTGACAAACCCAGGAAGAGGGGTAGCGGTGGAAAGCGAAATCCGGGTGGCGATAAGGACAATGGTAAGAACCTTGTTAGGAACATTTATTTGTATGTTTTGGTTTATCGATGATCTATCGTAGTGTTAGTAAATTTGTATATAATGCACCTAGTTGCGCACCATTATTATTATTCAGCATTCGATTTACTATTTACTAAAACGATTCTCCATCATTTACGTTTGGTTATTATAAGATTTTTATACATTTAACGCTATCAACACAGCTCACATTTTTTATTCAGAATCGTTATCACAAACAATACTCAGATCTCGGCATATTCTTCAACATTTTTCATTTAGGCCAGAGACATATGAAATACATTAATAGAACAAATCTCTACATTGCATGTACTTGGCATTTACACATATTGTACAGCTGACATAAAAATCATACCCTTTGTACCTATAAATGCCGATTGAGACCATATATCTACCACTGTTCTTATCTTTATATTAATTATTTTAGATGCAAATATGCCGAAAGCACCCTCGCGGCCACAAGTAACAGCTATTTCTGCTCACAAAGTGTCCTTGATGTGGAATCCCCGAGGAAACGGAGGTTCACCTATCATCGGTTACAAAGTAAGTTCCTCCTATTTTATGATATAACAAGTTTCTTAAGACTGACGTCATGAAATCGATTACGTCATTGTCACATGTTTTTTTCAGATTCAAAGGAAAGATATGGAAGGCAAATTTGGATGGGAAACGATAAGCGATTCAAACGTTTATCCCTACGAGATCGGCAATCTGCAAAGAGGTAAATAGGGTATACTAGTAGTATTCTAACTGCTGAAGAACCATGGACCAATCATGTACTACATGGCATAGTGTTATGTGCCGTTGTATACGCGCCAACAAAATTTATTCAACCTAAAATAGTATAAATACATGTAAGTAGATTGTAGATGTCCAGTCCATGGTGTGGTTTGATTGGCTCGTATTTGCAGGGCTATAACTTACCACTTGAACTTCATGTCGAGTCTCACACTTGTTCCATTTGGTATATGAACCATCCGGTGTCCGCCATCTTGGTTCACATACTTCGGGAGTACTCCCATTTGAACCACACTTTCACTAATTGTACGACTTATATGGATCCCGCTTACTATCCCTATTATAACCTTATCCAAGGCTAAAGTTTTATATCTACCCTTGCCCTGCACAGTGGTACAAATAGTATAGGCGGGTCAAGTGTGGTACAATTTGGGCATGACATTTTTACGACACCGGTTTATACGTACCTGACGAAAATTAAATCCTAATTTCATACTATTTTCAGGCAAGACTTACAAATTCCGTGTGATAGCTTACAATCATTTCGGCGATTCTCAACCATCATCAGCATCGAAACCTTATCCTAAACGAAGAAGACCTCAGCTATTAGAAGATCCACCTTATATAAGAGATGCTACAACTCAGGGAGAGACGGACATCGTCATATACTGGAAGGTATGTTTTATCCGGTTAAAAATTATACTAAATTTATTTAAAAACGAGTCAAATCTCTTGTACAGAATATTGGGCACTTCAAAAGTATGTGTACCAATATGGAGGTAACTAATTTTGTTTGTCTACTTTAAATCAAGTTGTGTGAAGGGACTGAAACTTATGAGCAGGGGGTATATTCACTTAGCTAACACAAACAGTCCCCGAACTCGTAATAGAACTAAAATAAGGAAAATCGGAATAAAATTATGGCCCAACCCTAACCTGGTACACATAATACGGATGTATCGATTATTGGACATGATGTTCACATATGTATCGTTTTTCAAAATTGGCTTGGTTGTTGTTTGTCTGGGATTTTGCTATTGTGTGAATATCGTTTCTCTCCACAATTAATGAACGAATGAATTTTAAATTTCCAGTATAAGAAGAAAGCCGTTTTTTTCTGTTACATTTTCCCAATTTTTTACACCATAGTTCTCTTGTTAATATGCTCATCGTCACCGAATATCCCAGTAATGCTTCGCTATCTTTTCAGTTTGATAACGTCCCACCGTCATCTATTTCTGGATATTACATTTACCATCGACCCACGGACAGTGATAACGAAGAAGATTACAAAAGAAATGTAGTAGAAAATCCTACTGCTACTTCGTATGTTCTCAAAGGTTTACAACCAGAAATGCAATACGACATTAAAATTCAGGTAATTTGACAGTTTGTGTTTGACTATATTTTCAACAAATTTGCCCAAGTGTTCATCAAATGAAATAAATTAATCGCATTTTTGTATCAATTTTACTATTCAGTAAAGCTAAAATTTTGAGGCAGCTTTTCAAGTATTGTATATATATTACAGAAATTTAATTCAATACATTTTTGGTATTTCTCAGTGTGTAAACTTATCAACTTATGTTTCATCAGGCCTTCAATAGTCTCGGGCGATCACCCTTTTCCAACGTTATGCTGATTGAAACACCGGAACCAGGCGGACCAAATAGCTCGGTAACCATAATTGATAACGGACTTCCAGACCCTGTTGCAGGTTTGAAATACTGACTTCATGTTATATTTAATTTCAATTTTTTTCTATTTTTCAAAGAGTATAATATGGAGATTTGAAATGCCTTTTCCTGCCAATGGACATAAAAAGCCCAGAACAACCATCTTTTTTATCAAATTTATCAAAGCAGGATCACACATACTTATTTAAGACGCATTTGAGGGTAAACATACGAGCGCCAACTAAATGCCGAGAGGTTGTGAAGTTTTATAGAATTCTAGTGATGCTTTATCCCCCAGTAACGCCGATTTTTTGGGACACTTGAAAGAATTCAAGTTAGCCACATCACAAATTTGAAAAATATGTTTTATGACTGATTCGGAAATAGAACAAACGTGTTCTTGTTCTTGTTCAGCATTATTTATTAGAAGGTAATAAACAAGGGATTATGATGATAACTACTTTTCTATTGCCCAAGGCCTACCTGTTCTTTGTCGACTCAATTTAGCCTTTATGATATGACAACTTTATTTTATTTCCAGTATATATCAAACCCATGAATCTAAAATGACTATCTGTTAACTTTTCCCACATCTGGTATGGACTGAACAAAAGGCGTGGTTCGCCAAATGATTAAGACAAATATAAGCAATAAATGGGATGATGTTTTAAAGTGAGTTATTTTATTTCAGCTCCGGATGTAGTTATTCCGGATACAGACCGGAACGATCCAGCGCGCGACAAAGCATATCAACGCAATACGATGTTCCTTATTACCGGAGCTGTGATCGGAGTCGTACTCATTATTTTACTCATATCCGTGTTTTGTTACTGGAGAAGACGGAGCGAGCAGAACTCTCAAGCATCACCTGGAATGAAACATAAAAATGGGTAAATATTTCCAAACAATTTGAAAATATATAAGTATACCTACATATAGGTGTGGTTATAGTCACATCACTATTTCTTAGATCTTCCTGCCTTTAACTCAGAAGTGGGCCCCATTTTAGACAAGGGGCCAAAAATTTTGCCCACCTATACTGGCGGGTCATGTAAGTGTGACGTAAAGAGTTTCATTTTATGAACAATATTTACAGTGTTATAAAAGCAAAAGTGGAAAACAATAAGTCTCTTGCCGAAACTAAGTTTAATCGCAATCTCTAATTACTTGAGCTAATTTTTAACTGAAACTTTAAAATGAGGTTTCAGTTTGGTTGTGACAGCATCAGGCATGCCAGATTGGTTTACCGAACGGGCCGGATTTTGTCCGCGGACCGTATTTTCCCATGTCAGCCTTAACCGGAGTTTTATGTTAAATTTCTGCATCTTGAAAGTGACCAGCAATATCCTAAATGAATTTGAAGTGATTCCAAATTCTCGAATTTATAAATTATTTAGAATAACTTCATTTTCATAACTTCAAAAATCTGACTGAATTTCTGCATTTTGAAAGTGACCAGCGATATCCCAAATGAATTCGAATTGATTCCAAATTCTCGATTTAAAAATTAACATTTTGTGCTAGTATTGTGAACAATGTGAAGTTTTATAATACGGCACAGCCTTTATTGAATTCTTGAAAATAGAAAACCGATCGAATCTGTGACTCATTCCCAAAATTACCTCACTGAATATACATTTACTACGTGTCTTTGTTTAACACGACTCAACTTAACAATGTAATCGATAGTTCATGGTTGAAAATACTATTCAAGTAATCAAGTATGGGGCTCAATTTAGGGATTTTCCGACCCGTCCAGGCACACAAAATTTAATTTTATACTTCTTGATCTTAAAAGTATCTATGGCAGCTTAAGTGATATCCACCAAAAATTGAAACGTACTTTTATATTCATGTATTTCGTTCCTAGATACATTCAAGGAAAACCCAATCACATTAATATGAAGAAGTTAGATTCGAATGGTCATCTAACACCGAACAGTTCCAGCGATGCTGATCGTTATTGTCACTCTCCTCATGACACTAGATGTCATTGTTCACGTCACCATAGCAACCATTCTAGTCTAGGAAGAGAAGTAGACTACTCTGCATACCCAATGCCTCATGGACCCGGTTATCCGGGTAATTGGAGCCCCAGTAATTACCCCAACATACACTCAAACCCAATGCATATGTATGTGGACCACAGGCACCCTTACTACCCTCCACATGGGTTGGGAAGAGGTATGCCTGTCCCTGGCGGCCCACCAAGTTGGTGGGTTAGGGGCAATAACGGAGAGTTTTGTCATATAGTTCCGGGCGACGCTAGAAAACTAGGTGGTGATGGGAGTATACAAGTGATGGGTCCTTACTCAGCCCCAGGGGGACATATGGTAATGAGGACATACGACGGGAACGTCACCACGGGGGATTACGAGGACTCAGTACAAAGGCCGGATAACGGTTACCATAGTAACGAAGATGGCACAAGGACAAGTTCGGATTCCCAAGCCGAGAAATCTGACGACGCTACCCATGACGATGACGCGAACAGCGCAGGCGCGGCGACATCCGGGGTCGTGACCCTCAACGATGACGTCACCATCGATAGCCGTCCGTCATCCCCCGTCGCAGATGACGACAACAACAATGATTCAGATCGAGATTTTGTTGATAGTAGTTATCCAGAAACCGATCGCCCGGATAATCCGGATACTCTTGTATCCGAAAAGATTGTTCTTCAAAGCGTAGATAGTGAAAATTTGCCAGAAAATTGCGACATGGCCGTTGATGAAAATACAATTTTTTTAAATAATAATAATAATACAGAGACAAAATCGACATAGCATCTTTTTTTTTTAATTCCAGCGCTCATAAATTCAAAATTGTTGAATTAAGCAAGTTTGTTAGTCAATGTTGTAAATTCCATTCGTATTTCGAAATCCGAGTGTATTTTACTTAATTTTTAACAGCACTGTCGTTTCGCCTCGATGGCACGATTCATCTATGGCCATGTTTAAAAATACGACTTCTTGTATTTGGGTTAACGTGCAAGGATCTCTTTCACAATTTATTTTCTACAAAAATATTTTTAAAATCATGTTTCTTTTTTTAATATCCTATTATTTTGATTTTTTTGCATGAAATATTTTTATATCTTATATATCAACACAGCCATATTATTGCAAATTTGCTCCTTTTTGTTCATTTTTACAATATTTTAACACATGCGGGTTCTGCATTCGCACACACAATCTGCACATTTCTATTACATTCAATGATATACAATTTGTTTAAAGGTGTCGAAACTCGATGTACGATTCGCTTTAAAAATAATATATTCCGAGATATTTCACGGTCAGGCCTACTGCATTATTCCGTTGCCAACTTACAAACAAGCTTCGTTTAATTTTTTATTCTTAAGCTAGCATAACTGGGTTCAGTATGGAAAATTTATTGTGTCAATTCGCACACCTTCATTAAATTTAATCCCTGAACAGGTGGAAGTTGTATTGGCAGTTATTACTTACATTACACGTACAGAAATTAAATACTTTACCGACACACGGTTTTTTTTTGGTACAAAATTTGGTTACATCTTTTAGCTGTATTTTTCATCCGGTAGCCAACTGCACCATAATGTTTGCGAAAGCAGTATTGAACAGAGGTGAGAAGCCGTCCTGCAAGATTTGTTCACACATTTATTTAAACTTTTTCTGATATTTTTCATTCGGTGCCTGACCTCACATCATTTATGTTTTGTTCCCATTATTTTTCGATATTTTATTGTTTATTTGTGTGTTATTTTTATATTTACAAAAAGTTTCATTTCGCTCTACATATTGCACTGTTATGCCGCATTCTGTCTGATTTTACATTTTCTTTCCACGCGGTAAAATTATTTTTATTATTATTGTTAATATTCGACAAGCATAGGCTATTTTATCTCCGTGTGGGAACGAATATTTCTGTTTTAATAAAAAACGAAATCGTAATATTTGCCGCGTTTACCTACTTTGTTCTTGAGAAAATATAAGAATCGGTATTCTGTTTTTCTGTCTCAGTTTTTTATGGGTAGCTGGAATACCAACTTAGCTTCAAAGATTTTTCATTTTAGAAAGGATCTCATAGTCGACAAATTACGAAATATTATGTCTCTGGATGTGCGGGTACTTCGAGTATATCCAAAAATTCCCTAGGCAGTTGAACTAAATTGAGAAAACTTACGGAAACATTAGGCCTGGCTACATGTCCACTGGATCCGTTTTAGCAGACCACAAATAGAAACTATTTCACGCTTAAGTGGTTCGCCTGCGATTCAAATCGATCCTATCAGTCCAAAACATAGCCATAGTTATGTTAGTTATAGTTATCTAGTTAAGTTATCAAGCAGCGACACCCACGATTCAAATATCTAAATAAACATTAGTAAGTTTTAGCAACTTGATTGCTGGAGCACTGTTATTATTGATGAGCGAGGCTCAGGTAGTTGAACCATCTAATCGATAGTTGAACAACCGATATCGCGCAATACAAATTAGCCTACATGTGATTAACATTAGGTCTGCTTGGAGGTTAAGAGGGTATTCTCCGATTTAGCAGGCCACAAAGCAGCAAAAATGCTGAATTGAGTAAAATAATAATAAGCCAAATTACAACAACACAACAAGAGAACTACGGTCGTATACATGTACACATAACAGCAGATACCACAGTCTACAAATATATTGAGACCAAGCGAAGCAGTACTGCAGTAGTTTACCTTATCTTTAGCATTACCGGTACCGGTAACCTCCAAAAACTTCCTAGTAGCGAGAATTTTCGGAATCAGTCGTCACTCTTGGCGGATTAAAATTCGTGTTTCCATAATTAAAAAGTGATACAGCGAAATTTTGAATGAAATATTAGATCTCATAGCATTCATAGAAAATTTAGCAATAAATAAAAGTAATAGCCTTCTGGCAAAAAAGGCCCATTACGTGTCTAATAATGAAAGGGCTTCTGTTTACGTCATATATGATGATCCCACAAAAAGTGTTTGGTTGATAAAATGTAATTGTTTAAATTTGGTTGCCAGTGGACTACTAACTGTAGGCCTACCGTAATTATTTGAATAGATCGTCGGTGCTAGTAATCTGCAACGTTGAACGCTGAATGATCGGCAAAATGATCCACTCGTCTACCTTTTATGCCTTCACCTAATTTGTCGTTTTGTTTTTAGATCTTGGGGCAAATTTCAACGGGAAAACAATGCCCTTCATATTCTGCAAATAACTTCACAGAACTTCAATCAAAAACGTGCATATAAATATATAGTTCAATAATCAAGTCGTTTGACTACGGAGGTATTACTGTACTTACTCTAATAGGGTTTTCTATGAAAGCTTCAGTATGATAAGCAAATCTTCTATGAACTCCTCAGTAAAATATTTTGATTTTGTTATGAGAATTCAGCTCAGTTATTCCTGCTACAATGTGCTGCGCTTTTCTGATCCTTTGTTTATATTCTGTCATTATTACATTATTGTTTTTTGTGTTGTGATCACTGATTATCTTCAAGCGACAACGGACTGCATTCGCATTACTGCATTAGTGACGAGCTGTTACGAGTATCAGACGGTGGTCCGATTAAGTTTGGCTATTCTAGACGGCTCAATGTAATTATGTTGCATGTTCTTGTGTTTAGGTTAAGGTGTTTTTTTAGTTTCTTAAAGTCAATATTTTGTTACAACAGTTTCAAAAAAACTATAATCTTAAATATAGATGCATCGATGAAACCAGCGAGACTCAATCTGGATCAAAATTCTCCAAGCGCGGCAAAGGAATGGAAGCACCAGCGAAAAGCATTTAGGGACTACGTTGAAGAATTAGAGACGAGTGTTCAAAAGGACCAGGCCATGAATAAACTCAAAAGGCTAATCAACTCATTCTCACACAATGTTTATGAATATATTGAAGATGTGGGCACTTTTATCAAAGCTTTGGAAGTGCTGCATGGCTTATATGGCAAAACGCCCAATGGAATATTCGCACGACATCTGCTAGGTAAGGAAAGTAACAGCCTAGCCACTCTGCGTAATCTCAGTAAAGACTGTAATTTTAAAGATGTTTCTGCCGCACAGTACCGCGACGAACTTAAATCTCACCGTTTTGGCGTGTTTGATAAAGAATTCAGAATCAAAGAGTTTATTCAAGTTTTGGAATTGTATAACGAGGGAATAATCACTCCAAGTTCTTTGCCATGGACAGCTCAGCCTTTACTTGTGAAAGATTCGTTGACCTCAGAACGACGATTGTGCATAGATTGTTCTCAATCGATAAAATTTATACAGAGCTAGACGCCTATATACGACTCGTATTGCTGCGAATTGGTGACATAGTTAACGAACTTGCCGGATATTCCTGGTTTTCTACCTACGATCTTAAATCCGCGTATCATCAGATTCCAATATGTCAACAAGATAAATTTTCACTGCTTTTGAAGGCGATGGTAAACTCTAGGGAGTTCAATCGCATTCCATTTGGAGTGACCAATGGAGTACCCGCTTTTCAGAGACTAATGGGTGAAATTGTCGAAAAACGCAATCTGAAAGATACATGATAATGTAACGATAGCTGGCATACAAAAGAGGAGCATGACTATAACGTGAAGAAATTTCTCGATACTATTAAGAAAAAAATTTGAATCAAATGATGCGAAAACAGTCTCAAATGTACGAAAAATTAACATTTTGAGATATACATTGTGTGATAATTCAGAAGCTCCAGATCTCGAACGCTTCTACCTCGAAATTACCTAGCTAACAATAAGCTACAAATAACAGATAGTGAGGCGGAAGTATGTTTTATTGAAAAAAAACGCTTTGAAAATACAAGAATGGAATGTAAATACCCAAAATAAAGCGGGCAAGATCAAATCTAACATATATTTTTATTTAACTTCAAGTTCCCTTAAAAAATTGTCTTCTCCCTCCTTGTGGGGCACGCGCCGCCGTTTGAGAACCACTAATCTAAGGTCAATCTGGACTGCCACTGGCAAAGCATATAATCGAAACAATTAGCGTCCAGTGAATTAAAACTTTCCATTGAATATCTTTATTTTTGAGTAAAGACTCGTAGTTGTTGAAAAATCTGTGATCGTCCTGTCTTGCTGTCGTGCTTATCTTATAAGAAGCTATGTTGCATTTTATTGCTTCTAATGATAAGTTCTCTTCAATATACAATTTATTTAATTTTATTTATAATCATATTCTATATAATTATGCTTATGTATTAAATTTACCTTTTTGTGTTACAATTTTTTTTTAATATTTGCATATCCACAAAGACGGACCTCCACCTCACTCTGGAAGGTAGCAAAATTTCCTACGTGTTCCTTTTGAAAAGCCCTAGGCCAGAGTAAGAACTTGCCCAGTTCCTTCTTGAGAGAATAGATCAGACTTTGCAAAAAATTCGAAGCCCTGTCAGATCTGCTCGTTCTTTCTGCTCGAGACTTATAAATATAGTTCAAACCAAGCTAGAGAATCCATGCCCAAATTAGGGTCTATTTTGCTTATGTATCTACTTGTCCGAAGCATTATTCAGAAAACCTGTTTGGCAGTAAAATGGCCTTATATGTAGCAAAAGCTTAGGTCAACCATAAACTTTATTACCTTCAAATTCTGATTTTTTATTTTTCGATATTGACTTGTTCACAGCCTTGGTTCGGGCATACCGAAAGACACATGCCCAAACCTGTGTTATTGTATGCTATGCTATCTGCCTTTCTACCCTCCCCCCTTCTTGAAATGTAAAAAATATAATCACCTTTTTCTATCATGCATAATTTGTAGCTTGAAACGCATTTTAAAGCCTTCAATACCCATGTTTTCCGGTCTTCGGTCGAAACCTCTCCTTATTTCAGACCAGCTTGGCAAAAATAAAAATATATTTCAGAACCCTTACTTTGGAAATTTCTGGCTCCTGCTTTTATGTGCCAGGTATCTGCTTGCCCAAATCCTTGTTTAGAGAGCGGGTACGAAACACCTCAGAGGAATAAGTTCCCGCCCAAGCATTGCCTATCGAGTGAAGCCATTTTAATTTGAAGCAATGTTACCCAGTTTTCAATGTTAATACTCAAAAACACACAATACCTCAACTTTACACGAAGTTCTCTGAAAAGTGCAAAAATATATCATTTATTTATAGAGAAAATTTAGTGACATATTGGTATTTTTGCTATTTTGTGTGCCTTGTGTATTTTAATAGATTTGAAAAATGTAATTTGAAATGCTTGTTTGTAAAGGAATCTGGTAATAAATTGGAAAAAGACAATTTTTAAGTGTTTTTGCTAAATTATGACGACACTTTGACGTAAGTTTTGCAGGAACGCTACACTTAATGTTTTACACTGATATTATTATTATATACCCCAGTTTGAGGCCCGGAAGCGAAAAAGATTTAGTGAGAGAGGAAAGTTGTTGAGACGATTTATCATGTTGAAATATGATTTTTCAAAGTCTTATAATTCGGGCATTATTTTACAATTGGTAAGCTTGAGCTTCACACTCCCAGGTCCGTCCGCCATTGTTAGACCAGTACAGAAGCAACTTAGAAACGAGAATATCGGTCGGAGACCGAAGACTTATCGATCGAAACTGCGGTTTCGCATCGTGACTCTATAGTGACACCGCGTGTCCCATCACTAATTGATTAATAACTCGCTAAATATACGACATAGTTCATCCAAAACCAATAGGCTTCTGGTCCGAGATATGATAAATGTACATGCAAAAGCAGGAGCAGATTCAACCTCACCTCCGTGAGATATCGCGTGCATCTAACAGACAGACAAATACCTATCAACATACTTACCGATCTTAAGATCGATAAGTAACAAGTGGTCAAGTTAGAATTTTTTATATATTAACAATATCTAACTAACAGCCAATCATACCGCGTATTTCAAGTCACGTGATCGGCGCAGAACTCCATCTGCCATGTTACAGCCATGCGCAGTCTGACATTTTAACAGGAAGTTCAACTCCTTGCCGGAAGTTCCTAATTGCCATGCGCACGAAAATACTCAACTCCCATTGGCTGATTCAAAATTTCGCAACCTGCGCAGTAGATTACCGGTCATGTACTTGCCATGCGCGAGATTTTTGAAAAAATGACTGTTGCCAGATATTTTTTGAACGGTCCGATTCAGAATCGGACTGTTTGAAAACGAAATTCTGAAATCTGGCATCAGTCAAAAACGGCGAACTTCTGCGTATGGCAAGTGCATGTCCGTTTTCGTACTGCGCAGGTCACGTGACTTCAGAATTTCCTGATTGGTCGATTTTCGTCCAATTGAAATATTCTTTTAATGTATTAGGACTTAAGGACCCCGCCCTCGTTACTATAAAGATAATGAGAGAACTGCAAGCATTTGGAGGAATCCTCAGCTAGGTTGGATGAGCTACACTTCCTCCTAAGATTGAAACACTTCAATTACTGACTACTAGTAGGCCATTTAAGTTACTCTAACGTACTTGGATTTACATATTTATCCCGGAGGGGGGGGGGGGGGGGGGGAGGAAAGCCGATTACACGGCTTAACCATATGACGAACCACTGCTAGGCCCCTTGCAAGACAGTCATGCACACCATTTTAATTGAGTTTTCACCACAGAGTTGAAACCTGCTATCTAGGATTGTGGTGATTAATCTTTTTAACATTAGACGGCACTGCGTTGCCTTAGGGCTAAAGATACCTTCAATTTCGATTCAACCACCCAACCCAGAGTGTAAGAAACAGAGTAGGCCTTAAAGATTCTACTGCATTTAAAAATGGAAGCAAAATATCTATGAATCAGCTTCTATTTGTACCAAGCTTTTTTAAGAGTGAAATCGCCCTTTCCTTTCAAATACTCCCACTGCTGATCGACCGACACTTTTCTACTACGCCTAAACGTAGCCTACTAATTAGTTGCACTGCAACTAGCAGCAATAAGGCTTTGACAATATATCATAAATTCATTGAAGGAACGTAGAAATCGCCCTTTCCTTTCAAAAATACTCCCACTGCTGATGGACCGACACTTTTCTACTACACCTAAACCTAAAAGTGGCCTACTAATTAGTTGCACTGCAACTAGCAGCAATAAGGCTTTGACAATATATTATAAATTTATTGAAGGAACGTAACGAGTTTGTGCACTTGATAAAAAAAGATGCAATTCGATGTAAAGGCACAGTGAAATTGTAGGTAAAAAATTTATTAGATATTTTGCACTTGAAATAGTCAATATCGAGCAGGTTTCAAGTCAGATGATGAGGAGACTATCAAATTAAATGTAACAACAGACGGATCAAAAACTACTATAATTATCAAATGGTAACCCTTGCATTGTGACAGAATATATTAAACACAAGTGCGGAAACATACTTGAACTTTAATATATATAAGAGTTACAGGAAAAAATAAAAAAATGTATGGAGCATTCAATCATTTTATTATTGGCTGTGCTTTTAACGAAAACACATTGAAGGGATTGATGACTTAAACTTCACTTGAAATTTCTCTTTTCCTCAGAAGACAATGCTAAAATGTTGCAAAATTGGCATGTATACCACCATAATGACCAGTATATTCTTCTCATTTTTGTGGGGTTTTCTTTCCTTCTTCTCTCCATGTATTTGTGTCCCAACTATTCCGAAACTTTGTATCAAGATCTGGATCATTCTTCTCTGTACCTATATGGTGAATACAAAGAACTTTTGCATGAGAAGATAAATGTTCAGATTCAGGTTAAAACCTTGCGATCTAATCCCTTGCCCACCAGTGGCCGCTTCACTCAGGGTGCAATGAATGGTGTAGGCCAGGGGTGTGAAACCTTTAATACAGGAGGGCCAGATACAAATAACTGGGCAAAACTGCGGGTCACACCTTTATTCAACATAGGCTTTCTAGTAGATGCAGGCACAAAAAAAAATGGGTTAGGGCATCGTAACGTCATAGATAATAAATTGGATTCAGATATAGGCTTTGCAACGCAAAGGAATCGGGAGTTACTCGCACGTACCAGATTAAACTGAATTAAAAACTCATTTCTTGGGGCGCATGCGACGCAAAATTGGCACTTTCCAGGGCCCGCACAATTTTCCTTTGTGGGCCGCAAGTTGCACAGCCCTGGTGTAGCCAATGCATATCTGAAAATATTTCAACCCTTCCAAAATAAAGAGATCTTTACATAATTGCTTGTCAAGATTCTTGTTCAGAGTGAAAGACAATGTAGAAAATGACCAACCGGTTGTAGTTTATATCTAACTTACCAGAAACAGCCAATAATGTAAATGCATGACTTGCACTCAGTGAAACAATTTTCATTTTAGTGATTCCAGGTAGAGCAACTTCTTGTGGTTCAGGTGATACCGGTCCTGAAGTTGAGCGTCCGAGTTGCCCTCGAGAGGTTTTACCCCAAGTTAGTACTTTTCCATTATCAGTTATAGCAACAGTAAATGTTCCACCACAACTGACTGCTTGAAATCTGAATAACGTCAAAATTTTAATTTCTGACCTATAATTCCCCCACATAGACCCGCAGATGAAACAGAACAAATATTTCTTGATTCTCATATATAATAAATATGTTCTTTCAAACAATAGGTTATAACTTATAAGTTAAAATATATATATACTAAAAACTGAAAAAGCATTTGATTCAAATCAGACAATGGGAGGAGATGAAAAATTACGAACAATTTATCTAGCAATGTTATTTTGCTGTATTTCAGCAGCATTTGGAGAAAAGATTTAGATCAGAAGTATGCAACAGGCAGTCAGTGGACCACACAACCCGCTCTGCCAAGCCATTTAGTGTGACCCTTATCAACACTAAGATTTTTCCCCATTAACCATAAAATCATAATTGGATAGTTTATAATTAAAAGGGTGCTCACATGGGTAAAAATACACTTTTGCTATTGTCACTGCATTGAATCTTTCACCTTCAATACTATACCATAATTCGTTGTGTACAATGGACTAAATTTTTTTGTGTGGCCCAGATAGATGTCTGAAGTTGGTTATATGGCCCACTGACAATAAATGTTGCAAACCCCTAATTTTAATCAATAGATATCAATTCAAACAATAGATACCCCTGATATCACTGCCACACTTATTAGACAGCTTTCAAATTACATCACATATTACCACCATTATCATATTACGAATTTTAGAATAAGTAATTTAAATTCCTCACTTAGTTTCTGTGTCCTGCGTTAATTTCCTAGGAATTCTCATGCTATGACGTCCTGAATCATTTGGTGGAAAACCAAGTTGACCAAACTGGTTATTACCGACCAATAATAAATCTCCATCATCTAAACGAAAGCATCATTCCATTATACCATTTTCACATTAAAACAAGGATAGTTTACCATGCGCCGGATATGACCAAAAAAAAATTCACTGATGGCAACAACACATTTAAAAATAAAAGTTGTTTAATAAGATATTTGTAGATTTCTTTTTGTTCTGTACAATTCTGTGGAAAAGCGTTCAGTTCTTTCAATGAAGTTCCTCTCTATGCTTGTGCAGATCTTTGTAGGGAAAAATCAAATATTTTCTTCAAATCCAATAATTTGAATACAGTATTTTTACAGAATACTGAATAGTCGAATACCGAACATTTTTTATACACAACAGGGGTCCAGAACATTGGAGTTCGATACCACCCTTTGGAATTTAGTAGAAACATTGAAAAGTTAGCAATTGAGTGTTTTTTGACTGGTTAATTTCGCCATAATCGCTGAATGCTTTTGCCACCGCCATCGCTTCAGCGGCTGACATCCTAATTTTGGTTAGAGCTTTGCCTCAACTGTGTTGCCATCAAAGGTTCCCAAATCAAATCCCCTGTTTCAAACGTCATCAAGGTATGATAATTTGAGTAGGAATTCGGATTCCGACTTTCCTAAAAACAGTAACTCTTCACTTCACATAACAGTGGCTTATATAGGGCCTTGTTCAGAGTGAAAAGATAGGGGTCGGGTCGTGAATAGATGATGATAATCTTACTTACCAGTGATCATAGCAGAATGTTGCATTCCCAAGGACACTTTATTAATTTTGACATCAGTGAATGGATAGGATTGCACTGGAATGAATTTCAATGATTCTGATGTTTCCTTTAATACCTCACCATTGTTAACGACATCTAGACCTAATCTGTTGAAGAATTAAGAGTTGGTCAAATTCTATAAATAGGGTTGAATTTTTTGAGAACTTAAATATGAGAAGACATTGAAAAATCAGTTTATGCAAAAAAATTCGAAATTAAAAACATGATTTTTTGAAATATATTTTTTGTATTATGATGTAATACGACGCTCACTCGTGCCTTTTGTCACGAACATTTCGGAAAAAGTAGCCACTGATATCGAACAATATCTTAAAGAATCCCTCTTTTGCTCTGTTGAAGTTCTCCAAGGCATATAAGCCTCTGCAATATTTGTATTGCAGTTGTATTTATTATATATCTTGTGTCATGTCAAGAAGTTTAAAATTCCTGATAATTTGGCACAAACAAAAAGTATGGGAACTGCTGGTCTATGCACAAAGAGAGATCTACTTACTTATTATGATTATTGTTCCCACAAGAGAGCATTTTCTTATCTTTAGTTAAAATAACAGATGAATCGTTTCCACATATAACTGACTTTACTTCATATTCTTGAGGTACTGATACAGGTTGCGGAGTACAATGTGTCTGTCTGTCTCCAAGACCCAATCGACCTATAGACAAATTGAACAATTTAACAACATCACCATTAATAACTATCAGTTGGAGTTACGCAAGACCAACGCAAGAAACAAAACCAACAAGTGCTAACCATTATTCATGTGCATGCCATTGAGTTTCTTATCATAGTTGAAAAGTACTTGTCTGAAGAAGTCTGACCCAGGAAAGACGAAACGTTACAGAAATACATTTGTGTTAGTGTGCAGCATTAGAAGTTAATAACTAACTAATAACACGCGTAGTTAACATACCCTTGTCTCCTGATCCCCATGCAAAAACTTCATCATCGCTAGTTAAAGCAAGAACATGATACGATCCACATGATATTTCGATCACTTCATGACTGAGTAACGCTTCAACAATTTTTGGCTGAAAAAGACAAATACCTTGATTAGTACATCTTTGGTGGTGTAAGCATTAAGTTCAGAATTCATTTGTATATTTTAGAAGCGAAAATACAGAAAATCCTGATAAGATAGAGAATTATTAAAAAGCATTAAACTAAACTAATAAATGATTATTAAGAATATCAACTTCTCCTTCCGTGAAATAAAAAGTATATTTGTAAGCTTTCATAGTCTAACTCAAGGGTAGGCAAGGTTTTTGGACCAGTAGCTAAAAATGTGGCCCGGCATGTAAGTGTAACGTGAAAGTTTTTTTTCATTTTTTGAACAAAACAGTGTTACAGAAGCAAAAGTGGAAAACAAGCCAAAACTAAATTTAATCACAATCTCAACAAATTCCTTGAGATATTTTTAGCTTAAACCTTCAAAATTTAGTTTTAGTTTGGTTGTTGCAAAATCAGGTGAGCCAGATTGATTTACCCAATGGGTCGGATTTGGCCCATGTCAAGTCTAACTTCTTCAGAAAAAACAAGAAATAACTGTAAGACAAATACCATGATTATTATAGAACAATTTACAATGATGATATATTTGAAAATGTAGAGATGAAGGTTCTCTATTTAATCCTATGGAAGCTTTCAAATATATTTGCTATTTCATGGAAAGAAATTAATGTAATTCTTATTTTTAATCACTTTAATACAATCTCATTCAAGCATCCTTGTGACAACAACCACATGCCTATCCAAAGTAGGAAGTACAATACACAACATTGGGTACTCAAGTAGTATGTGTACCAGGTTAGAGTTGGGGCATAACTATATTCCGATTTTCCTTATTTCAGTTCTATTACGAGTTCGGGGACTGTCTGTGTGAGCCATAGGCTCCTGCCCATAGGCTCTGTCCTTTCACACAACTTGATGTAAATTAGGCGAAGAAAATTAGTTACCTCCATAATCCATATTGGTACACATACTTCTGGAGCGCCGATGTATCTGATATCATCATGCTTATGTGGAGCATTATTCAGAGCAGAATTAAAAACAGAATATTCCTACCTCATTAAGATCATTGAAACTGCCATGTCCAAGGCAGCCATTACTTCCAGTTCCCGATGTCATTAAGATGCCTCGATCAGTTAAACAAGCCATATGCATATCACCACAAGATACCCTGAAAGGAGATAAAATAATGACAAAAAGTACAGAAATAAACTTTTTAAAAGATTTGAAGAGAGCAATGCTTAAAAATATGGACACGAAGGTCATGGATTGGATTTTTAGGATTTACATACATATTTATCCCTATAATACAACTTAATCATATGGCGAACCACGACCGCTCGTCCGGTTACCATTTCATGTCGAGTATGGGATTAGCTAGTTCTTTGTTTTCAAAAGCATGGACCTGATGGTGGATGAAGACATAACCGATCAGCAGTCCAGCAATCCTCTCGCACATAATTTACTCTGCATGGGATTCGAACCTTTGGCCCCATGCAGGGTAATCAGAGGTAGGGTGGCAAATGTATTCCTAATGCTTAGCATGATGAGCCACATCCACGAGCAGAGCATTGATAGGGAAGGGCCGAAGAGCACACAGTTTGCTGAAAAGGCCGACAAACAAGCAATACAGAGGGGTCGGAAGTGTTCTCCTTTGATTAAAATAACAAAACAACACTTTTTTCCAGTACAGAAAATTCAAAATCTATTGGTCCATTATATGAGGAGTAAAGAGTTTTTTACCCCAACATCAAAAATCATGAATATAAAAACATGTTGCATATGTAAATTTAGTATGTAACAAAATCTCACATTTTGACACATACACCAGACTGTCCCTCTAGGAATCTGGGAATAAAAGCTGGAACATTTTGTGAATCTTCTAAGGCACCTGGTAATGCTTGAGTTGATGAACTCTGATGATAAAAAAGTATTAGGTTTAGTTTGGAACAACTGCATCTGAAATGTTTAACCGGAGTCTGTATTTTTTACCTCCCAAATAATAAGTCTGCCGTTCTCAGTAACGCAAGCCTTTTGAGTTCTGCCGCAATCAACTTGCACTATCTGGAATAATAAAAAAATGTAAAGAAAAACACTTCAGTTGTTAAATAGATGATACAGAGACCTGCTTTACCGCACAAATCCTTCTTTATATTCACCTAAAATAAGCCACTATCCCATGGGTGGGTGTGCAACAGGTGGCACATGGGCTACAACTAGCCCATCAAAGCATTTAGTGTGGCCCTTGTCAACATTCTGATTTTCCCCATCAAGCATTAATTCCTCCCACAGTTTATGTTTCAAAAAGGCACTAACATGGGTTGCAAGTTGCAACAACTTCTGTTGAAGATGGTGTTAACAAGTTAAATAAATTGAATTTCCGACTTCCCACTGAAAATTTTTAAATTCTTTGTGTCATATATATTTTCTGTGTTCCCGACTAGATATCTGATGTTGGTTATATGGCCCGCCGACAAATGATGTTGCACACTCGGCTCTATACCATCTGGCCCTGGGCGAGCGAGCAGCCTTTGATGAATTAATATTATGGTACTTTTTGTGATTATTACTGATTGGGCGAGTGAGCGGCCTTTGATGAATTAGTCACCATAGTTTAAAATTTTAAGACCCAAGTTCAGTTCTCAGATGTTTTTGTGGGATTTTCAGAAAATTTACACTTCGCTAACAATTTTTTGATATAACCATAAGATTCATGTGCAATTAACATCACCTACCTGAGTATCTGCATAAGGTAAAGGTAGTTTCATGGGAGTTGATACACTTCCACCCCAACAATATACTACAAAGTGCTCCTGGCTTTTCGTCTAAAAATAGAAAATCAGAGTATTATTTTCATGGAAGACAAAAATTTGAAAAAGCTATTTGCAAAGGAAAAATGATGTTAAGTTTACGGCATTATGTAAAACAGATTCTTGCATGAAATTGGCGAGAAAATAATCCTTTGGGCCTTTGTGTCCATATATTTGAGCATTGTTCTCTTGTTATTAATTACATAATCACTTACCGAAGCCATTGAATCAATTGAAGAACTTGATGAAGTATGGTGAAATCTTCCTTGTTTACCCGATCCTGAGCTTTTCTGATTTCTGAAAAAATGAAAAAGAGAGAATTATACGAATGAAAACTGAAAAGTTATATACACTTGTTCCCATTTTACAAAATATAAAAATTATCCAGTATTCAATAAAATCTTTGGGACTATTACAATGCAGCAAATTTTTTTATCAACAAAACAAGTTTATATTTTTGTTATTAACAGTGTCCAGGTCACCTCAAAGCAAGTTTATACGTTCTAATTTAAAAAGGGAAACTTTCAGTCTTTAAAAATTTCCTGCTACCCCTGTTCATGTTTAAAATGCTACACAGTTCAACGAAAGCGTGCCCCATCTCTGATTCTGTGTATTGTCTCAAAATCGCATGGTTTATGTTTTGCACTAGTTTCAAAAATTGTGTTTCAAAACAAAAGTCTAAAAAAGTACAATAGATAAAGTACTTTTGAGTGAAATTGGAATACTCTTTGCGTTACCCAAAATTCGTTGTGCGCCCCCCCTGCGGAGTCACTACCCTTTATCCATGGATTTTATCAATATATAATAAACTCACTTTACTTCCACAGCACCGATATCCACATATACATCGATAAGTTTTCTCATAATGAATGGTTCAGCCATGATATCGACTACACAAGGTCTTAAGTCTGGATTCAAACTTAATAATCTTTTCAATAAATTCATCAACGGATTGCTGTAGAGTTTCGGAAAATTTGTGTTGTAATGAGCTTTGGTGATTTTATTCACCAACGCAGGTAAATTCTGAAATTATTCAAAAATAAACGATCTACAAGAGTGTGTGCCTAATATTAATTACCATTGTTGGGGAGACACCAATGAGACTGACTTAACACTCGGAGCTCATTTTGAGAGAGTTTTAGTTGTGATCTTCAAACATTGGGTTATAGCAGGATAATAATTTCAGGTGTTAAGATTTCAATAACCCAGACTGAACTTGCGACTCAAAACAGCAATGACTTGGAAGCTGTACTTCTAAATTCGTTGGAACTCAACTTGGGACTTAGGTGACTCGTGACTTGAAACTTAAATACTTGTACCCAATGTTGCTTATTAGTATTTTGGAAATATAATACAAATTTAATAAAAATCATGATGTAAAGATAAGACCTTAAAAACATCAAAATTCTTTTGAAGACAATTTAAAGTCTAAAGGCAATTAGCATTTACAAATAGTTTTATGTTCTAAGTAAATTGAAAACTTACTGTGGCTTCAAAGGCTCTTCTCAATGCAATAAGTTCGTAAAGCATACATCCTAAAGCCCACATGTCGCTTTTTTGATTGTAAGCTTTTCCTTCACATAATTCAGGGGAAATATAGCATGGTGTACCAACAACCTGTGATCAAAAAAAAATTCTGAAATTCATACTTTGGGCAGGAATTTGGGTTGGTATTAGGCTACAAGTTAGCGCATCACATCGAGAGAAAATAAGTCTCGAATAGTCGCAGAAACTGAAATATTTCAAACTACAGTTTGAAAATTGTTCCACCATGCGCGACTCTGATCCAGTTTTCATATAATAATTTAAAACTTACAAATTTGTAGATTCTTGGGATTGAGCAACATTCCAGAAAGTATTGACACTTAACTATGCAATATGGGTGACATGAACAAGGTTCCAAGTACATGTGATGTGGACATATCGCACAGACATACCTCAAACACAAACCCTTGCTAATTAGAGAATCTAATTTGTATTGTTCTAATGCTGAAATGAAAATACCGGTAGATATACAGTTCTACTATGGAATAATAAATGGGTAGGCAATACTCTATAAAAACATTTTGGGCCTTCTAAAAATTGTAACTTCTTATGCATGTGGCTGCTTTTTTAAACTCTCGTTCAGAGTGGAATCTCATAAAAATATTTATATAGCATAACAGGCAGGGGGGTTTCTCGGGTTGAAACGAGCATACTTATCTCACACTATTATGTCTGCAGATTGCTGTGGTATTTTAAAGCAGTAATGCTTTTATTTTGTCATAGGTAGGGATGGGCCGGGATTGGGATCCGGACTGGGATTCGACTCGAATCCAGGCATTTTTTGGACCCTGTCTTGATTTCGAGTCAACGCCATTTTTACTGTTTTACTAATTTACGCCTGTTTGTACTTTTGCATCTATAAACCTCACTACATACCTTAACTAGTTAAAATTCAAGGTTAGATCTATAACAATATCCCTCTCGTGTGTATTATAAACACTCCCGACTATCTATCCTTTTTGGTATACATGTGGTACATAGTCGAATATGTGTTAGCGCAATATTTTTGAGTTTTCGGTTCGCGTAGAAATGAAACATGCTCTGGATCAACCCAATGGGGAATCTCATCAATACCTCTTTTAAATCGAGTTTATTACATCCAATTCTTTCTCTAAAAAGGGATCAATGGAAAGCATGGACAGTTTTAGAACGTTTACTTGAACTACCAAATTGCAAGCATATATACTCGTATCACATTGTATTGACGACGAGTGACATTTCTCTACCATTTGCGCACGTGACATAGTAAATTAATGGCTAGAAATATCTGGAATTATGGGAAAGCCTTGTAGTCAAAAGCTTCTCATTTTTCATATTGACATGTAAGAATTTGGGAATAGCCGCCCAGAATTGACGCAAGGTGGTGGGCTGGAAATCCAGTTCACAGCCAAGGCGCACATTGACCCAATTTTACGTTTGTATTATGGCCCCAAAAAAAGAGAAAAAATATATTTTTAAAATGATTCAACAACTATCTGCAGAACCATTAGGCAAACAATATGAGCTACTATGTATGTTTGTGAGGGAATGAAGCTAAGAACCTGGCATATAACCTTCTCATATTACACTGGCAGAGAGCAGCCATTTTTAATTTACCAATGTATACCCAATGATATCAAATACAGAAAATAAGTGAACTTACTGTCATTGCTTTTGTTTTTGTTGTGAGAACTTTAGAAATTCCAAAATCAGACACTTTACAAACCCTGCTCTTTCTATCGAGAAGTATATTTTCTGTTTTCAAATCTCGGTGGAGGATATTTTTTGCGTGAATATGTTGCAATGCAGTAAGTATTTGAACAAACAAGTGTAGAACTTCCTGAACAACAAAATGAAATGGATAAATATAGAAAAATTAGCAATATTTGCATACAAACGATTGCAATTTAAGCTTTGAAAATGTTTTTGTGAAAAAATAGAATCGTTGAAAAAATGAGCGGTTTTGATTTGTTGAAAAAAACTTCGTTGAACAGAACACGAGTAACGCCAAATTTTTCTTGATAAAATGTGTGATGAATAGTTTTGTTACATATTCCAATAAAATAATCCACAGACACAATGCTAACTGATAACCTGTATCAGAAAACTTAAATAAAAGCATGTTGTAATATTTCACATCAGCAGAAACTTCATTTTACTGATTGATAAAATAAATTAACAACTTGATTATTTTATAATAATGTTTGTTTTAAACTTGTGGACATGGGGAATCAGAAAAAATTGTCTAGAAGTTTCAAATACAGGCGCTTGTTAAATAACAGTAGATGCTTGGCTGTGATCATGTTCAAAGTATAACAGAAAGGGTCGTTATAACAGAAAGGGTCGTTATTGAATGACGAAACCCCAGACAATAGGAAAATTTGATAATCAAATTACTGAATCAAATAAAAAATAACAAAAATCATGCTTACTTCTTCACCTAGAAGTGATGTTTGTTTTTTCAAATATTGATACAAAGTTCCTCCTGAACAAAAAATTCAGAAATACAACATGCAACACAAAATCAAGCAACCATGCAACATAAAGATAAAACAATGTAAATACCAATCACAAATGATAAACATAATGTGAAGCAAAATAGAAAATGTACGAGTCATGATAGACCTTTTTACACAATCTTACCATACCAAATGGGCCAGTTAGCACAATCTAGGTGCGCAAGATTGTAAAGCAGCAAAATAGACGTGATGTGGGTTCGATTCCGGTTCAACTTTCTCAAAACTGACGAATAATAATAAACTGTACTGAGCAGCACTTTTGAAGTTAGAATTATCAGGCAGTTGGCACCTTCAACTTTTTTTTAAACTCCAATGAAGTTGTTTCATGCCATTGACTTAACTAAGATGAACTCAACAAATGAACAGACTTGAATCAAGCATAATAACATATTGATTCATTTATATAACATATGGTACCTTGTGCATATTCCATTGCAATTACTAATCTTGTACCATCAAGAAAATTTTCATAATATTGTATGATATTTGGATGACTTAAAACTTTCAAGATTTGTACTTCATTCCGTGCTGCACCACGTTCTTCTGCTGTCATGGCGTCCATAGGAATTTCTTTCAAAATCAGCAATTTTTTGTCAGTTTTTCTACTGCATAAGTAGACACTCCTGGAAATATGACAAAACATTCATCAGAAAAGCTTTCAAGATGGCTGAATGACTAATGTGACTGGAGATCTATCTCAGTTACAAGAATGATATGAATATATTAATCACACCCAGAAGTGTAAATACACAAACTTAGATGGTGGAGGTAAACAGACTGTATTCATAGGATTGAACTTAAAAAAGGTGGAACCTTTTAAAAAGCTGTTTTGCTTGATTTGGTACTTGAAAACATCAAATTAAATATAAAGTTGAATTTGCATATTGCAACTCATATGTCAAATCTGGCTTGAATTTTTTTTTAAACTTTTGCACTTATTAATTTTCTATTACAATTTCGCAATTTCTTCACTATATTTTCGAATAAACTTACGGTATTCGCTTTTGTCTTGGTACCCTCGAACTATTCTGTAAAAATAGGATTCTCTAGGTTCAAAGTTTAAACCATAGAATATATCTTACCCAAATGCACCTTGTCCGACAAGATTTATTTTTGTATAATTCTCCATTTTAAACCAATATTTTCAAATTCTTTTGATTAGTATGACCAGCGTGTACAATCCATTTTTAGAAATATTCTTACAATTATTTTAGTTCTGCAATGTCCACAGAAAAAATAAAAATGTTAGTTATCGTCTACTTGGATTAGGACTATTTTAGACTTGAAATCAGCATTTTTAGTGATAGGATTCACACTGTGCAAGCTTATGATTGAATGTTCTGTTAGATCTAGAATTAGATGAAGACAGCTAGAACATATCAAGATATAAATATCATCATTGTTGAATTTTCTTAATATTATATGTTACTTGTCTGAATGTGTACAATATCTTAAAGTAGAGCTCATTTTACTAAATAAAAAAAACTGATGATTTCATTCATTATTGCTAATCCATATTTAAATCCTGACATGTTGTGTTTGCAAATCAATTTTGTAACAAATTGAGAAAACGTAAATTTTGTACTGTTCCTGCATTAGCTTCGTATCACTCACAGAAGAACAAATATTAAAATAAGTCGAAATGCTCATATTTGTCAACAAAATCAGTAAGTTCATTATTTGAAACACTTGTTGATGCTGGCATAAAGAAGTAAATAAATAAATTGCAGCACCATAATTCAAAACAAAAATAGTTGGTAATGGGCGGACTAGCAAATAAAGGAGGGTGAAAACAAGGAAAAAAGCAGCTTATGACAAGGTCAATCAATTGAAAATGCAACTCTAAACAGGGGTTCTACGAGAGGTACCAGGCACTGGTCAAGAATCTATTAATCTTACCAAGGGGGGATCCAGAGACTACTTTGGTTTTACATGAACAGTCAGGAAGGGGCATCAAACCTCCAAATACAAGAATTTCCCCTGTGATCTTGACAAACAACAAAAAAACACAATAAAGTAAATAAAGCATAATCAATTTTCAAATTGAAAATATTCAGAAAATAAAATAGAATATATTTGGCACAGTTTATTTGTATCAAATAAAAATTAATGAAATGCACTATGAAAATTTTGGTAGAAATACAAAAACTTTGTATTCTTGGCCCTTGTTTAATCAAAATGTTCAGTTAACCACCTTTCAAAAAAATCATGCAATACATAGGGACGTAAGAAAAACAATAAGCTCTGTGTTTTGAATATAATCACCAACAGAAAAAGAATGTAATCAAAAACGACAAAGTCCACAGAAAAACTAACAGTACCAATTCAATTTTTCCACTATGAATATCAAGTTAAACCAAACGAAAGAAAGAAGGCTTAGCAGTTAAATAAATAACACAATTAAAAATAACTTTCTTCGATAAGCTCTTTGTTTCGGATATAATCACCCACAGAAAAAAGAATGTAATCAAAACTATAGAACCCACAGAAAAACTGACAGTACAAATTCAAATTTACCACTATGAATATCATGATAAAACAAAAAAAAGAAAGAGAGATTAGCACTTTCAATAAATAACACAATGTTTGCACACTAGCATTCTCTATAAAAAAAGAATATTAACATGAATTGCCGCATATCCGTTTATCAGAAAAAATTTGTGAAACAAAATTATTTATGGTTTAATAATCCAATTCATTTCGTATGAAAACAGCCCTCATTTTGTAGCAAATGACATTGCTTTGGAATTAAGTTTAGCTTTGTATTCATCCTCCATTTCATTAATTCTTTTCTTAACTTTAGCATGATTGTGATCAACAGACCAGAGCACAGGCAGATACTTTGGTTGCATGTACTTTAAAAAATGTTCCCTCCATCTTCTTTCAAAATCAAGCATGCCCTGGTAATAAAAAACAGATAATTTATAGAAATACTATTATCATGACATGAATACATTTCAGTGCAAATGAAATAAAAAAGGTATGTAAATCAGAGCTCAGCAGATTATGTCAAGTATTCGCAGTTTTCATTTATTCTCAATTTTGTGATTAAACAACTGAGCGCGTCGCCAAATGAGATGACGTTATCCGAGCCGCATCTCGACTGGCCCTTGACCATTCAACAAGACAGCCATGTATATGAGCACGATGTCCAAAATGAAGCAGTACGGGTATGCAATCTCTCACAGTAGACCCTCACTATGGCCAATCTTCACAACAAACAACAATTTGCTCAAACGTACAATGACTGATACAATTTTTTTTTTTTTTATCTTCATTACGTACACATTTGAAAAAGTATTGTTGTTTAGGTACACTTTTTATTAATATTTTGAGTATTTCAGAATGCCCAAGAACAAATCAAAATAATTACCATTGTTTCTAATGACAACAAAAAATGTCAGTAGTCGAACACCAATTCTAAACGAATTATGCTCGACTACCGCGGTGTCACAGTAATGTTAGCTTTATTTCCTTATAATTTGAACTGAATTATATCCACTAACAATATGATATGATTCAGAAAACATTTTATGAACTTTAGCAGGTGTTTTTGGTCTTGAAACAAAACAAGATCATAAAATGAGTTGTTTCAACTAGGAAACACTTTTTGTTAGAAACCTTCTAGGATAAAGATAAACCTACAAAATGAATGAATAATAAATCATACCTGAGTGCCTTGATCTTTAAAAATAGAAAGAACAACTTTCTCTCCGTGAGGTACATATGCTTCATTTTCTACTCTATGGAGAGAAATGAAAGAAATTTGAAAAAAAAGTTTGATAGTCAAAAAAAGCAAAATTATCAGAATTCATCAACTTTTGAATAAAGACGATAACTGTGATCAGGCATTTGATATGCTCAAATAATAGACGAATCTCTGAACAAATTACGATGAAATTGCAGCAAATGATACAAACCACTTCCGCACTCAAAGGCAGAAAAAAAACAAGTTAAAAGATGAAGAATATCTTGTACCAATAATCCAATATTAAAATTTAATTACATGAAGAATATGACAACAATGTTACGAATTCTGTGTATTAGATATAAGCAAACAAAACATTACAGCAAATTGAGTTTAAGATGGAAATTTCATTTAGTCATAATGGCAAAATAAGACACAAGAATTTAACATTTCACTGTACTCCTTAAAATTAAATATACATCATGCTTTGGTTGTATTAGAATCAACAACGACCTCCATTTGCAAATTTTAGTCACACTAGTACTAGTCACCACAGTTGAGATATTAATCATATCATCCTTTTTGGATATAAACATCTTGACTACACATACACAATTATTTCAACTTCATTAATCAATTATTTTGTAGGATTTTACAAAAATTGAATATTTAATTAATGGTACAGAAGCAATTCAAAAGCTCTAAATAAATGATACACACAACAACGTAGTGGAATGCAATCAGGCACTTCAAAACAAAGCATCACAACATACCTTGTTTCAAGTTCACAGGCTTCTGAAATGATTTCATCTGTTACATCATCGACATTGAAAAATTCAGCTAAAATAAGATCCAGTTCTCTTTTTCTGTTTTCTGGAAGTTTATTTTTTGAATTTTGAAGAGCTCTGCCTGAAATTGTAAGTGTGAAATGATACAGAACGAACTGTGTAAAACTAAGAAAAAGTAAATCACTACATGATTGGATTTTTAACACAACTTACCAGCAGATCGAACTGATCTTCTCTCAGGATCTTCAAACATTCTAGCTGCTTGTATAGAACCCTGAAAATTTAAAATACAGAATATCCTCGCATAAAAGCGGAGTTCAAAACTCAAAAAATAAAACTTGCCAAACTAAGGGGTCGGCTTATACGAGTATAACTCCGATCACAGGGGGCGGCTTATATGTACATAACTCTGAACTGGAAAGATCTCTTCGAGAAGTTTGACAATGAAAGTGATGATAAATTAGGATTTTGGACACTTCTTAATTATATTGATAAAAGTAAAACATAACAATAATGGTTATCATTTTCATTTCTTCTCTTCTGAAACCATTTGCTGTTATAGATGCGTACAGCATGTTACGATATGTAAGGTCAGCATATGAGAATTTTTCATAAATTTGCCGTTTCAAGGGGGGTCAGCTTATTTGCGATGATATATGTACTTCATATTTTCAACATTTGCCAGTGTGTTTACCACTTTGTACAAAAATTGTGGAACAAAATGAAAAGTCAATTTAGCTACGTTTAGCATACTGCGCAAGACTTGAAACAAGATAGATTGTTCAGATCTGGAAACAGGATCGAAAGTATTTAAAATCGTTACTCAAAAATATCTAAATACCTGAGGAGCTTTAAATTCTTCAGCAAGTTGTCTTCTTAAAAGACAATCGTAATAATTTGATTGTTGATGACATGGAAGGCATAATAATAAAATATCATGTGAGGTATGATCTTTCATTGCTAATGCAAAATGTCTGGAAAGTAATTAAATTTTAGGAAAAACAAATTTGGATCCAATAGGCTTGCCTTGGGGTGATATATGTAGAAGCTAGTCTATGAGAGACAGATTGTTATTGTAAAGGTGGAAAATCAGGTATAAAAAAACGAGTCAAAAATTTTTTTCCAAATTATTGATATTCATAAAAACGCAACAATTTTTTTTTTTGCTTTTCTTTGTGTCAAATTTTACCAAGAAAAATTAGATACTATAATTTTTTTGCAATGTTTATAATACTTGCAAACAAAATTTTTGAATAGCTTTCAGACTAATCAAATAAACAGATTGATGTTCAGCTTAGTAAATTTTCATCTATTTTAAGTAGACAAGTACTACACTAAACAACGGTTACGGTCACAATAATGATATTTATTTGTGTATCCCATTAAAATTGCTTCATATAATTTCACACTAAATCTTTTTTAAAAACAAACAAAAATTGACAGAGAGGGTAAAAAATGATCTGAACAAGAGTGATGATTACAAAAGTTGGTTGGTTGGTTGGTTAATTATCGATAAATTTCTTATTTAAACCTGCACGGATAACCAAACAAGAATGGAATAGTTGAACTAGAATCCACATTCGCGTAAGTATTTGCTTTGAACAAACATTCACAGATTAACTAAAGCAGTGTTTCCCAATCGATGGGTGTCGCGACCCAAAATTACGACACCCGAAAATTTTCTTGGGTCGCCTATTCTCTCAACAAAAACTTAAAAGTTATCAATTCTACTTTATAGTAAACTTTATTGTTCGTTTGATATTTGGTATTGAAGTGTTGCTCATTAGTCATTGTATATATGAAAGCATACACTGCGTGAAAACTCAACAGCATTTATTTTGCTCAAGTAAAGCCATGCCACAATTTCAAAAACTCACCAATGACACCCACACAGTTTTCTCACTTTAAAGTAATTATTGGGGGAACAAATGGTATATAAGTCATTTAATTCTGTACTACAACTGCAATTTTGTACTGTCGTTTAGTATTACAGCATATCTCTGAGTCACGAAATTTTATAAATCATTTTTTTTAATTTGGGTCGCTTAAAAAAGGGTTGAGATTTAGAACCACTGTACTAACTCACAAGAAATGTAATTGGGAAATAAAAGCAACTTTATTCAAGTTGCTGTAGAAAATAGGTTCATCAATTTCCACTTCAATCAGAATTGTGGAGTCTTGAAGTTGATATTTTGATTTCTTAGAAATCCCAATTTCAAACGGAAACTCAAAAAAGCATTAAGTTGACCAATCGATTTCCGTAGACAATTAAAGGAAACTTACAAATGCCATTGATTTTGTTATCTAAATTTGTTTTTATCATAGTAGGAGAAATTTTCTTCAAACCAGAGTTAAAATAAGAAGTCAAACTCTCAGTTTTCCATACTTCACAGCCATTTATAGGTTTCTGAACGTGGAAGAAAGCAATTTTGGTTACACTGTAAGACTTCAACAGCTCAAACTACTAATTTTTCATATATAATTCTATATATTATCCATTCATTTTAAGCACCCACATACTCATACATAGTTGTCCCGTCATAGTTGTTTTACTCTGAGTACTTACTTTCTGTATTCGTGAGGTATGACGTTTTTTCTCACAAACGATTCAGTGGAGCCACATACAACACATTTGTTTTCTTTCTCATATAAATAATAATCTCTATCATCATCAGGACGTCCAGATGGTTCGAAATAAAGTCGTATAGTGAGCGGGTCTTCACAGATCAGTTCTAAATTGTAATGAATAGGAATAATTTTTTTTTAATTTGACAATAAGAAGAAAATTTATTTAGAGCTGTTTCAACATCTTCAAACTGAATACGGCTCTTCATAGGCACCACCCACCCGATTTCCTGCAGCTTGAGAAGTAGGGCATGAGATTCGAAATGAAAACTGATATTTTCTAAATATGACAAAGGCAACATTCCAAACTCCCTGAAGTTGGGAATTCGAGTCTAAATTTTGAATTCTTCGGTATCTGGAGTCAGAGCCAACAGCATTTATCATTCCCAATACACGATTAACCGATGCGTATGTAAAGTGCTTCGAGTACCAAAATTTGATTTTCCAGAGATTGAAACTGGCGTAAGACTCGAAATTTCCAGACCTTGTGTCGGAAGCACAAGTCGTTTTGTTTCGATAGCCCAATTTATTGGGTAGCTCCGTGATCCTTGGTCATGATGTGGCAACAGTATGTTATTCTTTGTGACCAAAGTATTTCTGCACTAAAATAAAATCATTTAAAAAATTCGACCATGATCCATGCTTGATCCGAGTGTTCATAAATGCAGCAAACGCTTTTGTATATTTTCTATTTTACTGGAAAGTGATGTTGAAAATGTGAGCAACCATCAGAAAAAAAGTTTTTGCTAACGACGTGTCACAGGGGGGAATCGATTTTTAGATTTATCAGTATCACGATCACAACTCCAAAACACTGATTTGAAGCCCTAATTTTATTCAATTTTCAAAATGCGACATAAACTATTATACATAAAAACCATTCACAAATCACAATGCAAGTAATTTATTAATGATGTCGATAATAAAATCTAAACAGGACATACCTGCTAGGTTCTTCTCCATATACCACAGTGCTTTCTTCCTGTCACAAGTTGATAATAACTGACCATCAGGTGCTTGTAGCTTGCAGTTGTCATACAGTGGTTGTTGCCTGGAATGGAACCTTCTACTATTATTACCTAACAGAAAAACGAGAATATCGGTCAGAGACCGAAGACTTATCGATCGAAAGTTAGGGGATCCCCCAAAACAGCGCTCTTACTCCATAGTGACACCTTGTGTCCCATCACTAATTAATTGATAACTCGCTAATTATACGACATAATTCACCCAAAATCAATAGGCTTCTGGTCCGGGATAAGATGAATGCACATGCAAAATCTGGAGCAGATTCAATCTCGCTTTCGTGAGATATCGCGGGCATCTAACAGACAAACAGACATACAGACAAATACCTATCAAAATACTTACCGATTAAAATCGATAAGTAATTAATCAATATTCGTTCAAAATGAGTTAATTATGATTGTTATTGTTAATTAACACTTCCCTTATCACTGAAATGCATTTTTCTTATCTTTCCTTATTCCGTATATACGATGTGTATTTTCAGCATGTGTAAAAATTCAGTGTATTTAACAAATTTCACCAAGTGTTTTGAAAATTTACCCTTGTTTCATCATACAGTAGTACCAGGGATGACCAAAACCGAATATTTTACTATTCTGAATACATTCTGAGAAATTATTTTTCGAATATGAAGTATCGAATACATTCTAATTTAGGGGCAACTTCATGTGGTTAATTACATAAATCACTATATCTCAAAACCTATTTCATAAAAATTATCTCTTATCTTCCCACAGAAAACGATTAACTCTGAGGAGTACAACTGTTCAGAAGTTCACAAAAACAAGCTCACATTTAATCACATTATTGAAAAGTGCATATACTATAGCCTAAAGCTTTTCCTTGTAGTGATTTATCGCTAATAAAATGAAATCTTTGTCCAACACATCATGGTTTATGAGATACAGGGTAAATGCGGCGGACTGTGGAAAGTTGATAAAGAATAAATGAAACTTTAACCAACTATGAAATTGGAAGGCAAAAATGTTTTTATTTAATAGGTGAAACTGGAATTGGCAGTTTTGAAACAGCATTGGTTTTTAATATTACAACAAAAAATGTCGAAAATGTCATTAAAATATATCTGCCAAAATCACCTAACACATCTGTGTGAATGTTCCCACAAAAAGACTACAAAAACATTCAAGTGAACACTACCTAAATTATCAGTAATAAGTACTTACTACCTGGTCGAATGCGGTTTCATTGATTTGTATAATTTCGGATTCTTCGGCATTCCTTTCATGTTCTTAAGTCCGTTGTTATTTGATTTCAAATCTTCGCATTTTGTGGATTTCAACCGTTTTTTCTCTTTGAAAGTAATATCAACAAGCCCTTGAATTGAACTTCGAATAAATGTCCATGCCAAGTTGTGAGCTGCCTAAAACATACAAAAAACAAATAAAACTTTGCCTTCCAATCTTCCATTATATATAGTCAACGTACAACATAACATAACCTTGAATTGGGTTGCGCGAGACTAACTCCCTATCTTTCCTCTATGCCTTTAGGCTAGTGGATCCGTATGCTTATACTGCAAGGATGCTCTGGCTGGAGAATAAACATGTGTATTCTATCCAATTAAAGAGTCCAGCTGCAAGCAGTTTACAGTAAACTGCTTGCATGAGGAAGTCTGACTTTGGTCGGACGAAACGTTACAGAAATACATTTGTGTTAGTGTGCAGCTGGACTCTTTAATTGGATAAAATACCATTGCCTGGTAGGATTCCAAATTATGAACTACTAACCTTATTTATATCTTCTTGACATGGCGGACTTGCGTCAAATTTTACTCGTAGTAAAGCTTCAAATATTTTCAAAGCAGAAAATGCATCCATTGCAGCATATGTCGTCTGTAAAAAAATCAGAGATGTTAATGGCTTAATCACGCACATTCGTCTGAAGACATTCTTCCCAATTTCACGCCCTCATTTATTGGCAATCAATAGCGTCAATAGTTAAAATAAATGCTTGCTCTGCTCATTCAGACTTTGAATTTGAAATAATTATGAAATAGGTTTATAGCTACAACACAAACCTGATCATTTGATAAAGATTCAGCATCCCAGTCACTACATCTAAGATGGTGTGATTTATTCAAGCTAATTTTCACCAACTCTTTCGCCATAGATTGGAGGCCTCTAGTCCTGAAAGGAAAACAAATTGTACAATATTTAAAACATAAAAATAAATCTAAAACGACACTCATTTTCCATTCTAAAAAAATACTAAAGAAAAATACTAATGTATAAACTTGAATAACGAGCAAGTCACAACACAATAATCTGTATTTTCTCTTATCTTTTTGTGCAACCCCAAAGTAAGCACAAAATTTTCAACACATTTCGTTCACAAGACTTATGTTAGTAAGAACCCAATGATATGGGGGTATTCCCGAAGTATGTGTACCAGCTTAGGGTTAGGCCATAATTTTATTCTGATTTTTCTTATTTTAGTTCTATTACGAGTTCGGGGACTGTCCATGTTAGCCAAGTGAACATACCCCCTGCCCATATGTTTCAGTGCCTTTACACAATTTGATGTAAAATAGGCGAACAAAAATAGTTACCTTCATATTGGTACACATACTTCTGGAGCACCGATATGGGACTTCGAGCATTTCAGGCCAATACAATCGGAAAACAGCTGAGAGTTAGTTAATTCCATACAATTGAAGTTGAAAAAGTGTAAAATAAACTGAAATAAAGTTTATTTACTATTTAAATTACAAACAAAAATCTCATGTAATCATAAGCTCGAGTTTAAAAAATGAACAATTTGATGTTTCGTAAATAAAGAGGAAAACACAATCCAATTAACAAAACAACATCATTACTCTGTGATTTGATATCTGGCAGCAAAAGCTCTCAAATCTAAACAACCTTGCACTGAAATCCCATGATCTCTCAATAGTTTAGCAGCATCGTCCATAATTCCAACACCGACCTAAACAAGGAAAACACGATTTGAAACAGATTTAGCTGGTACATTCAATATTACAAGTTCTTGTTTGACTACCATAATTTAGAATAATCCTAACCAAAAAGTGAAGCCAATGAAGTCCTACAGTAAAAGCAAGAAAGTATTTATTAATTTCAAAAGACTGTAAAAAATAGAAAATCAAATCATTCACTTAAACATTTTTGATAATGTACCATATATCCTTGCATGTAAGCAGTTTAAAACAAAAAAAAGTTGCCAAACTAAGGGGTCAGCTTATACGGGCATAACTCTGATAGCACTAAAAATCCGGCTTATTTGTGCATAACTCTGATCGCACTCAAACGAAATGACATTATGCTTAATTCCAACAGCTACAACTTGAACCAAGTTCTCACGATAGGATTTGTAGGGTCAGATGATATACGATTTTTTATAAACTCATCATTTTAGGGCCATTTTAAGGGGGTCAGGTTGCATACGAGATTGGCTTTTATGCGAAGATTTGAGCTGGTTTTTGTTTGAGTGGAGTGTTTTGATCCTCCCTGTGTGCCAAACCAGTGGTGTCCAACACGCGGCCCACCCGACGAATTCAAGCGGCCCAAGTGAGTTTTTGTCGTCAATTGTTAACCAAGGAAACCAGAAACTTTTTCGTAATATTTTTGCTCAGATAAAATAACTCGTGTGTATAGTACACGCTACAATCGTGCGTTTGCAGAATATTGTGGGCTCAAGGCAGCATGTCTGGAATGTTAGATTAATTTGAAAAAGCAGTCCACACTCCAGTGGAAAGTGGCTGTGGAATATATACAACTTGATCTCATTAATCTCCAGGTAAATGCGGATGAAGTATCGTTTCTGCCAGATACACAAAAATATCTTCACTACAAAAATTGTGTTATTAATAGGATTAAGTTTTTTTTCAACCAGAGAAATAAACTTCTATGTCGTCCACATCTTATTACTGCTTGAAATGATACTTCATTTATTCTTAATAATCGTCATATTTCACAAAAAGAAAACGGTAGTTCATGGTGTGAAATGTTATTTAATGTGTGGCCCCAAAAGGCATTTGGGTTGGAATTGGCTGTGTGGTAGTCTGGTGGACTATAAACTGAAGCACCACAGCTAGTCACAGTTAGCCGGTCTACAGTTTGTTGACCATTATTAGTTTATTAACGATTTAAATCAATTTTGCTATTGAATTTCCGCACTCTTTGGCTAGCGTCAGATAAATATTAGTTCTAGCTTCACAATCAACAATGTCCATGCATATGGTATGTCAAAATTGTTAGTTACATTTTCACCATCTATGGAATAGTGGTTAGATATTGTCCAAAAACCAAAACTTTTCTATCTCAGAATTCTGTCTTTGTAATAACTGATTTGAATGAGAAAGGAATTTTTTCGCAACAATCAAGAAACTTATGGTTTACAATACTTTTAGTGATATTTCTGTAAAATTTAATTCTGTAGCCATTGCTAAACAATTTAAATCACGTTTTGGAGAATTATTATCTTCACATAAATTACTGTTACTGACCATAATATTTATCCGTGTATCATAAAATAACATTATCTAACACTAAAACCATGATGAGGTGTGCGTGATTAACACAACCATACAATCACAGGATGCTAATTAATGTTGATGAAATGTTTGGATGACCGGACCAAATAATAATTAGTTCAATTACATCAGTTGACTCAATTGTCTTTTCAAGTGTGGGCCAAAGATAAGCAATGTCCCGAGTGAGCACTTTTGTTACTAATACATGCTTGGTCGTGTTTAATTGAAAATGTTAAATCATTTTATATATTGTATCCAGTGTTATTAAATAGTACAGGTGATAATTTGACCAAATAGTAAGAAGTTCAAAATAAAAATATAGTGAAGTGAATATTGGAATTCTATCTTAAAATTGTTAACTCGGGGTGTTTAAAACAAAATTGAATATTTGAAATGTTCACGTATTGTGACTGACATAATTGACAAGTAGATAAAAAAGTTGTATTATTATTGATACTGAATATTAATTACTAATTATGGACATGACAGAAATTTACCCCCAAAGTTTTCAAAATATATTCTCTAGAGAATAGAAGTTAACAAATTTATAATACGGGTAATCATAATAAACTTGCCATTACCAATTTAAGCTAACCCTAACCTGTTACATCAAATTGCCTGATTCAGAATTATATACAAAATTCCATAAGCTAGAATGTTTTTTCATGAAGTACTAGACATAATATTACAGTCTCTCAATTTCTAAACAATTATGTCAACAAAAGAAATACACCATCAAAATAGTCAATAGACAGTCAAAAACAGATCAATCGCTTACCATAACATATATAACCTACTCTAGCATCTGCTTTCCGATACCCAATAATAATAAATAAATAAAAAGTCCAAACGTTATTCAATCCTATTACCTTCAAAATTGATTTGTTCTGCAAAACACTCAATATTTCTTTAGGAATGAAACTGTTTAGTTTGTTTAGTCTGATCAGATAACAGGAATAATCTGATGTTGTTAATTGAAGTAATGCAATTGGATTTGTACCGTTGGATGAAGACGTCCATTCACAATCAAATCCCAATACTTTCACCTGTGAACAAAAAGCAATGAAATACAAATGAGAATATCGGTCAGAGACCGAAGACTTATGATCGAAAGTTAGGGGATCCCCAAAACAGGGCTCTTACTCTATAGTGACACCTTGTGTCCCATCACTAATTAATTAATAACTCGCTAATTATACGACATAATTCGCCCAAAATCAATATGCTTTTGGTCCGAGATATGATGAATGCACATGCAAAATCTGGAGCAGATTCAATCTCGCTTTCGTGAGATATCGCGTGCATCTAACAGACATACACACAGACAAATAAATACCTATCAAGTATCAACATACTTACGGTACCGATTAAAATCGATAAGTAATAATAAAGGGAGGGATGGGAAAAAAATGATAATAACAGATATCAGTCAGTCAATTGCTGCCAAAATCTAGGCCGTTGGTTCCTAACCTTCCGTTTATAGCCGATGGCCCCCTTCTGGAGGCTTCCAGCACTCATTGCCCCTTGTTTATCATTTTAGTGGTATTTATAGTGTTTGTATTTTGATTGATAGATTCCAAATCCCAATGTTCGGACAATTAATTCAACAAAGTGAATACATCCTGTGAAATAACCTTATCAAGCAATGAACCTGGGAAGCACAGGTTCTTGTAAAGTGTAAGATAGAATGAGTTGGCGCCTAGCATTGTGGTGGTGTGGTGGTGGCGTATGTGCGGTCCGAATCCAATACTCAAAATGTCCGGATCGGGACCGTGGTCCACCAGTTGAGTAGCCCTGTTCTAGACTATATCTTAAAAAATAGAGAATGGGAAACTATCAGAAGCATTACTTTATCAAGCATTTTTGTGCACTGCTTTGGGCGCTCCTGCAGTATGTGCAACAAGGTGGCGAACCTGAACATAGTATGTTTACCAGGTTAGGGTTAGGCCAAAATAAAAACTAAATAAACAAGGTTAATATTATTGGAATTGGGTAAATTGAGTTCCACAATTTTTTGAAATGACCCAGTTTACTACTGGATGCGCTTTACTTCCTTAACAGATATCATTCCAATAAATAAAAACAGGTATTGGGGTGGGTACTGGATATTGTATATTGGAGTGCATAATATGCCATGTTCTAATTAACATTCCAAAGCTTTGACAAAATACTTTTGATAACTAAAAGCGAAACTGAGATTTCGCCTTTCAATTTTGGCAATTGCAGAAATATTATGATACAGGTGATAATAAAACATATATTTTAAGGCAGGATTATACTGAAATTTGGTGTCACTGATAACCTTGTGTACCCCCATAATTTTTGGCTGCTAAGCCTAAGTTGCTCTGTTGCACAACTTATTTTCTATCGCTAGGCAACCCATCAGATTTCCTTTGAAAACTCTAAATTAATTGATTATTCCAGTTCAATACAAAAAACTACGATTCTCGTGGAAATCAATCAGCTAAGACAGTAGTTGTAGTTGAAGCATTAACTAGGGTGAAAAGGTGACTTCCTGAAAAGTTCTCAAACTCAGGTCTTTGAATTATTAAAATTGAGTGATAAAAATGATTCTAAGGCGAATTAGAAGTTACGGAAAGAATATCCTTATATATAATCTAAAGTACCATTAGAAAAGTCGAATTGTTATTCTGGGGGTACATGTACCGTTTGGGAACCCCCTGTTTTTAATAAGAAATACACTGTATTTAGATAAGGAATATACCAAGAAAAATATGTCCTTACATCATTGGTATCAATTATAAATGTTGATAATATACTGTCAAAATCTGTGGGATGAGAAACAACATGAATAATCTTTGGTTTGCAGGCTTCATAATCAGTCAATGGCCAGCATTCTGCATCAGATATTTTGTTGAGTAATGATCTTCCTGCATTTGTACTTTTCCGACATTTTTTGTTATAATATTTAAAAACCAATGCTGTTCCAAAACTACCGATCGCAATTCCACCAAATAAAATAAAAACATTTTTGCGTTCTAACATCACAGTAGGTGAAGTATAGGTTTCTGAAAGTTCAAAAAGTAATTTTTATCCACACTTTATGTAAGAGAGTAATGCTCAAAAAATTATTGTCAGAAAAACAGTCAACGATTAGCATGAAACGCTTAGATGTTAATGGCATATTGAGCATGCCGTAAATGTATTTAATGTTTCCCATAAAATGGGGTGACCAGCAAGTCCTAATTTTTTTTTTAAATAATAAAGGGAATGATAACGTATATTGTTTTGGCCCTCACAGATGTATTAAATGAAGTAAAAACACCTGAACAATCACTGATTAAAATTAACAAACCTGGTTAATAAGATATATTGAGAACTGACTTCATAACAAAATTGAAATTGTTAAGGTACTTTATGGACACCCTGTATATCGTCCTAACAAAAAGTTCGTACAACACATAGGAACAGATTTGCCTTTGCACAATTGTAGAAAATATTGAAAATATGATTGAAGTGTTGTACATCAATGACATACTCCATGCAACAAAATTGAATGAATTTCATAATATGTGTTGGGAAATGAATAATTTAATACATACACATGTATTAATAAAAAGGAGTTTATTGAAGCATTCTCAAATTTCTGATTGATTCCTTATTATTATCGCAGGTTCCAATTTGTGGATTTCAGCAATATTCGTAACAGTTCATATATTACTATTCAAGATTAAATACAATTTTTCAAATGCACTAAAACTTGACATTTTAAGAAATTGTAGAGCAAATGCATGTGTTATTAGCTTCGGCGTGAAATTTTCTCTTAATATTTTCAGAAGCAGAGGCATTGCATTAAATATTTTATAGACACAGCTGGACAGCTTTCATTTGTGTCATTTCATGCATAATGACGTGACCGAACGTATATTATGATAAACTGGGATGGCATGCGTTTGGCTCATGTTAAAGGAAATGCAAAAGGACGTGTTGACTTGAAAGATTGACGATTACAAAATGCAAAATTACCATTTAAGACAAGATTCAATTTTATTGTGGAGTTCACAATTCATCTTTGAAAACTTACTTGGATGTCCAAAATGAATCAAATATTCCAATACATTCAAATTTCATTATGATTGATATAAAAAAAATTGGATTTTAGGAATAACATTTTTATTCGAAAATTAGAAAATAAGAGAAAACTTCGTTTGAGATGGGATCAACATGAAGATTAGTGATTCATGAAATTTCCACATGAACTTGCCCCCAATTTAAAATGTATTCGATACTCCATATTCAGAACTATTTTTCCAGAATGTATTCAGAATAGGGGAATATTCGTTTTCATGCCGTCCCTTCACCAGACAAATTTTGAAACATATATAATAGGAAATGAGAATTGTTAAGTCACAATTCATGATATTTCCAATGACCTTAAAATACCATAATAAGGTATAGTTTTTTCAACCACATAAACAAAAACAAATCAATCCACTTTATAGAATTTAAAACCTAAATTTTAAATTTCAAAGTTGTCTGACTGTAACACAGCAAGCACCATTATAGTAGATTACAAGAAATTTGTGTCTAATATCATAATTGCTAGTTTGTACAAATTGAAACAGTGATTCATGACTTCAAAATCCAAATTAATATCTCAAATTACGACAATGCTAAGTATAGTAACAGGTGTGCGACATTTTCACGCATCGATAAACTCATACAGGAAACAGTCAGTATGTTAAAATTACCAAACTTTTAGGTGCGTTGACCCCAAAATATAAACGAGAGAGTGAACGTTGCACGGTATTAGATCAAAATGTCAATACAACTACTGTACTATGCTATTGTGCCAACCCGAATTAAAATAGTTACAGACTATAATGAAAGGTACAATCGAGCTATGAAATTACTGGTTCAAATATTAGGAATTCCTCAGTAATAAACTATTCAGTGCATTATTATGAAATAGCTGCCCATGTCATAACATTTCAATACTATAGGAATAGCAAACAATCCGAGAAATGTCATTTCTCCTATTGACGTAAAAAGCATAAAAAAATGGATCAAACAAAATATATGCCTATATTCATAATTCTTGCTTTGATGAAAAGAATTTACATTCCTCAAATTTTCTTTTGTTACTATTAAACCATTAATGAACATACTTTTGGGAGCATGAGCATTAGAAAAACAATATTTTAGGTTTTTAATATTGTCTGAAATATTATAAAAATAAACAATTCGTAATAACATTCCATAATGATAAATTCTTATTGTACTTTAGCCTGTAGGTATGTAAAGCCCATTAAAATTAACGAGAGCTGCATTTAAAAAGAAACCTTTTATGTGGCAGATGAATTTGATCATGAATACATTGTTTACCCACATTATCCCCATAATAAAACAAATATAAAGCATAGAGATATAAGCCTAAGCTCACGTCTAGCTGCTAAGACTAAAAGCCTAGCTCTTAGCAATTATCAAGCAAGGGAGAGAAGTAAAAAAAACATGTTTTTGGGAGCAAATGAAAAAACTGATATTCTCTTCTTTCGATAAATTCGTTTTATTCAGATATTCAGAATGGAATTTAAAGTTTTATTCTAAAATCTTCTTTGATTATGCTTTTTTAGTTACTTTAGCTTTTTTTATTTTCTTTTTCAAGGAATCAATATCAACATCGTTACTGTTACGTTTAATAGCAATTTTTGTTTGATTGAGTGCACTTTTAGATGGAGTGGGCTCTTTCGGAGGAATAAAAGCCTTTTCTCTTTTTTGCTTTTGTTTAATTGCAGAATCTATTTCTTTTGCTTTTCTTTCTTCTAATTTTTTATGTCTTCTCTCTTTTTCTTTAAGAAAATATTCCCCAGAAGCAATTTCTTTGTCCATTTTGCTTTCTTGTTGTGGAGGAGGGAAAGGTGTGTATGGTTTCTCTCTTCTGGGTTTCTTTTTTCTTTTCACATTTTTACTTTTAAACTTTGGTAAGAAGCGTTCCCAGGATTCATTCCTCAGTTTATCATCTTTGGAAAGTTCTCGTTTTATCATGAGAGATTTAATGTTATATACAGGGTGTATATTTTTCATTGTGTCAATTGAAACTTTGCGAACTTCTTTAAGGCCTCTGTGTGGCCCAAGGGCAGTTACTGTATTTCCTTGTACCAATATGTAGCATTTAGTTAAAAGTTCTAAAGCTTTCAATGTACAATTATTAGGTCCTAAAAGTCTTTGTCTGCGTTTGACAAATCGCTCACGATTTCGCACCAACGACCCAACTTTGATGATATCACATGCAACGTCATCTTCGAAAATCCGGCACGCTTGTTCAAAAGGAATGCTCCTTGCTAATAATTTAATCATATCCCGAGCATTTATAATTGAAAAGGGGTCCCAAGTTTTTCTTGTCGTTTTCACTGTCATAGAACCTTCAATCAGGTCCAGTTCAGCTTCTATGTTATATCCCTTCAAATGATTTTTAACCAAAGGCCATATTTCTTGCAAGTATTTTTCTCTGTATTTCGGAAAAAGTGTTGCAAATGTACTTTCATCGGCCATTCCGTAAGGATTGTCCCCTTTTTTGAATTCTGGTTCTTTCCATCCATCAGGAACAGTCAGAAGATCTTCTTGATTTATATTTTTATCCATATTTGTCGGAGTATTTCCCAAAATTTTATCTCAATTAATATGTACCTTATTTATTTTAAAACAGGAATAAAAATCTTCGTTACAATCGACTACAATATAACAATATCTTGCGTACTCATGAAACAAAACACCATCAAGAATATTCAGAATTTTTCATTGCATCGCAGAAAGACCAGCAGCTGCAGACGGCAATGTTGTTCGAACATTTTAAAAAAATGCAAAGTTCAGTTCACAAAATCATGATAACATTTTTTTAAACTACTATTCGAGAAAAAACATTTTAAATGCAGACATTGGACAAATTCTTCAATATTGTATTTCTGATCGAACAAACAAAAACTGAAGTTCGTGATGGTGCAAAAAGACAATTGGAACAAACAGAAAGAGTCATAACATTGGGAAATAGTTGGAACTGCAAAGATCAAGCACAAATACGCACAAAATTCATGTCAATAAAAAGTCAATGCAGATATTATATGCGGATTATCAGAAATTGAGGGATCAAACGATTGAGTCATTATGAATTGCATCTCGGTCTATACAATGACTCAAAGTATTATGATACAAATATCCTATACTAACAATACTAGAAAAGTCAGAGAAGAACCATATTCGAAAGCAGAATACTAACCGATACTTGTTTCTCTTATTTAAATTGGATTAAAAACACACATTCACAAATATCTGATATTCATAAAATGCTGAATCAAGACTTTGAAATATTTTTTGTTACACATGTATTCTAGGTTAACATGTTCATATGGAGAAACATTCTGTAGGTTGAATCACAAACAATATTTTATTCTTCATATAACCAGGTAAAGTGATATTCAAAAAATTTGGAGTCGAAAAAGGCAGTAAAAATGCAACTACCGTACTTAATTCAGGTATTATTCTGTTCTGTTTAGAACAATAACTCCAAAGTCCAAACATATGTGAACAGATGAGAAAACAGAAATTCAAACTCCAATATACTACTAATTTTAACACTCTCCTTGGACGGAATTCCATTTTGCAGTTTAGTGATTTGTGATATAATAATCAGACAATTTTTCCTAATTGATTTTTTCATGGCAATAATATGAGTCCAATAGAATCAAATTTTAGTCTGAAACGATTTACGAAAAAATTATCTTTATGCCAAGAGATTTACTAGACAATACTAACAAAGAAAATCTTTATCCTCCTTTAGAAATTGACAGATAATAACAGATCAAGAGCAGTTCCAGAAAAATAGTTAATCCCAAAACGTAGGCATAAAAAATACATTAATAATTATAGTCAAAATGAAATGAAAATCTTTGCAGTACTTCACAAGATATACCAATTAAAATCAACCACAAAAAAAACTTCATTTCAAGCTATGGATAAATAATTGTATTGTAAGGTAATTATTCAATCACCAAAAAAGATGCAGTGCCAATATATGAAACAAGATATGATTAAGTGCATAATATCAATATCACTGTTATATTTCAGCACAAGGGACCAGTCAAATTATTCCAAATCGAAATAAAAATCTATGATATATAATCTTTTCCATATCGATCAGGCAAAAACAAATTTTGTTCCAAACATCTTTAGTCCTAATATATCCATCACAAGATTAAACACTGATAATTTTGTTTTGGTATCTCTTATATGAGGCACTGGCATGAACGCAACATTCTCTTTCGTCACAAATCTATATGGATATAATAAACCCAGTGCACTATGGTGGTAAAAACCATTTCCCAGTATCTTAAGCACTTGAAAGACAATAGGGCACTTGAAAATTCATGCAGTGACAAGATTCGTAAATTTGCCTTTACCATCATAAGCTTGAATCTCTTATATTGGAACATGACACACCAAATTATATTTTGTTCCGAGTATTGACTTAAAAATGTGCTTTAATCATGCTTGAGGCATATTCTACAGGCACACAACATAAAATTCATCAAAATTCCAAAAAGAAAAATGAATCGAACAACCAAAAGAATATAATCGAATAATGAATATTGTAATAATAGTTTGGCTAAAGATACAAAGCTTACATACATAGGGAATTTTATATTCACAATGATTGTCAATTTTCCAATTACTGAATGTTACAAAGAATAAGGCAATTTCCAAATAAAAATATCATACACATTTATTACATGCACAAAATCAATCAAAAGACCAGGTTAAAATGAACAAAATCTGTTATCATGAATGGATGGACCAAATCCATGTGATATATTATAGATCAGGTAATATTGAAATTGCCAATTACACTCCAAATGAAAACTAAATAATAGAATACAGCTTTGACTTCAAACACCAATCACCATGTTTGTTTATTCTATCAAAAGATCACCATATTTTTTGAGTGATGATTTCAAGTAATGTACATAGTATAAACCACCAAAGTGTAGATTTAGTTGATTATAAATTTCAATGTAAATCAGTCTCTAAAGCATTCGAGCAATAAAATTTGACTATTTTCATCCCAGATTTAAATTATTCTTTCTATAATACCCATGAAAAAGCCCAGTCAGAAAAATGAGTTGCTGTTATGAATGTGCTATAAATTAAATCCAAACAAAATCTCCCAGAAAAAGATGGTATCAAGAATTTTAATACAGATACCATATGTCCTCATATATAAGTTGAGTTTAAAACTCAAAAAAATTTGCCAAACTGAGGTATCGGCTTCTACACGCATAACTCTGATCGCACTCGAACGAAATGACTTAATTCCAACAGCTACAACTCGAGCCATGCTAAGTTCTCACAATAATAGCACACGATTTGTAGGGTCGGCTTCTAGGCCGAATTCTGATAAATTCACCGTTTTAGAGCCTTTTCCAGGGGGTTGGCTCATATACGAGATCCGCTTATATGCGAAGATATATGGTAATTACTGTTTATTCCAGAATACCAGTACTAAACTATCCAAAAATTAAAATAGAAAACCTAGTCAAATAGGGACTCATAGCAGCAGTGCAATTTTAACTGTTCCTACTGTCCGAATATTACATACTTTCCTGATTGGATGTCATGTTTACCTATAAAAACATACAGTGATTGACATATACTCATAAATGTCAATATTTTAACACAAACAAACCATTCCAACCTGAACAGAAAGCAATGAAACTTCAAAAACAAGAAAAAATAATCACAAAAATAATAAGCAATCAGGCAAGGGAACCTTGTGTGCAACTTTGCAGCGGCATAGCCTGCCGAAGAGATTAATAATATTATTAGTGCCATCCAAGGCATTTATAGTACTAAAGCACATGCTCAGCATGCAAGTAAAATGATCCAATCATAGAATAAATATTGTGAGTGTCATGTATGGATCTAATAAACTGAATAGCATACATTTATACTGAGTAGCATATTTTAATAGCACACCGACATTTGTTTCTCACTTACATCTTCCAAATAAGTAGTTCCCTATACTTTATCTATTTTCCTGTAAACATTAAAATCTGAAGCTAATGGAAATTAACTTTTTTTGCTTGGAAGTTGGTAGGCTGCATAATTAATATTTATTAACATACATTAAAAGACTACGTCTTGAGTTACTGGGTAATTGACATGCCTCAAAATAAAGTGCCACAATATCTTTGTTCAAAAAAATGGACAATCAAGAAATTTTACAATTATTGTGCCATAAATGAAATTTATGTATACACAAACGCAGGATTTTTGTCAAATATTATAAATAGAATATATATTGCCATATTATGTATATTTAATTTTGTTGATCTATTTGTGCGGAGAATTCAAAATCAGATTTGTAATGTAAGGAGATTTGTGGATGTCCAGAAATTCAACCCCAACCACTGCTTTGTGCCTTTACTGACAATACAAGTGAGCTATGGTAGATAGGTGGCTAACAACAATATTTCCAACTCATTCTGGGTTAATAAATAGATTTTCCATTTAGATAACAGAGCCAAAATCAGGAGAATATGCTACAATGTTTCAAACAGGACACTATTTCTAATAGGCAACCACTACTCTCTTCAGGTGTTGTAGGACAGACAATGATATGGGGAAAAGAGATTTGAAATATTACAGTCATTGAAAATGAAAAATTAGATTCAGTTTGCAGCAGTGGCATGTGAGTTCAATTGACTATTATAGGAGGCAGGCCATGTCCGATAAGCCGATTATCTATGGGATGGCAATGGTGTACCACACATAAGCGGAGCAACATGCTTAACCCAACAGTCGTTTGATTCTGTTGAATGTCACTATGCCGTCATGTCTGATTTGCTTGTGCATTTCTCGCAGCCCTCATTTTTTCCAGACGCTTTTCGAGATGAGCTGTAGTCATTTCCATCTCTTCTATTCGATCAAGAGCTGCTCGTAAATCTCGTTGGAGTTTTCTTTTCTCCGCCCTCATTTCATCTTCACTTTTCTCTAAAACTTCAGCTGTTGCTTTGTACCGCTGTAATTGGGTTTCAAGACGAATAATATTTGCTTGACAAGACCCAATTTCTTGTTCAGCTTTTTGTAATTTAAATTTGTAATCGCTAATTTGCTTTCCCGCTTCCCTTTGCAATTCAAGCAACATCATATCGGAAACTCCATTTTCGACCTTTGAAGATCCATTCACAGCACCATCTTTACTTCGTTCCTCATCAAGTTCTTGTTCAAGCCTGCGGACCTGGTCAATAAGAGTCTGTTTTTCTTCCGCTAACTTTTTCAATCGTACTTCAAGCGGACCATCACCGGCCGACTGTAAAACTTGAGCAGCTTCTTGTGTTAGAAGAGTATATCGATGGTTATGGAGACCATCAGGATCATCACTATCAACTTCACCATCAACGGCCATGTTTCCGCCAACCATGACTAAACCTTGCTCTTGAATTAGCTCATCCCTTTGTCGCAAAGCTTCTTGCGAATCTTCATATTTTTTTTGTAAAGCTGAATTCATTCTTTTATTATTTTCTAACTCCTGCGACTTCTCTTTGTAGTCTTTTTTAAGTCTATAAAATTTATCTTCTTGTTCTTCCATGAAATCCTTGAGTTGTTCAACTCTATAATTAAGTTGTGTGCGTTCATTATCAAGCTGTGCATTTTGTACCATAGCTTGTTTATACTTCTCTTCTATTTCTGAAAGAGAATCTCTCATATCTCTCACTGATGGCTCAGAAGCAGATAAAGAATCATCACTGCTTCGTCTAGATAACATTGATATGGAAGATGACAGTCCAACATGATTATTATTATTTAGCAATGGAACTTTGGATGTTTTATCATCACCGTCCTTCCCAGCTTTTTCCTCAGCTTCACGTTGCTGTCGTTCAAGTTCTCTCATTCGTATTTCCCTAGCTTCAATTCGAGCGGCTCGTTTCTGCGCTAATCGAGCTTCAGCCTCTTTTGCTATTTGACTTAGTGTTTCATCTTCAGCACTATGTCCCCTTTCAGTTCGACGGCGACCAGATGGCGTGTGAGCGAGGCTCGACATACTCTTTTTATGTGACTAACACAAAATGTAGAAACAGTTAAAAATAGGAATCGACATGGAACAGAAAGATATTAAAATTCCCAACAATATATGCTTCTAACAAACATCTAACTAACAGTATGATTGCTGAAAAATATAAAAGCAAGTAGGCCTATCAGTATCCTATTACAGTAAGGCACAGTTCTCCGATTTCAAGATGTCTCAATATTCGGGTCTATGAAACAAACAATCTATTGAATGTCTGGCATGACATTAGATTAGTAACATCGAGCCATATTTGTTACAATAATATTATGGATCAATTGCAAGGTGAGTCAGCCGCAACATAACTTGAACAAGTGTAAAATTACACCAACTGGTGCTTTGACATAAAGTCCCGTTTTTCAAAGCATATTTCTTAGGTTAAATATTCGGCGCAAACAAACACAGAGCGCAATAAACCTCATATTTCAAGAGATATCGATTTAGTTGTTAATGGGCATGGGTTTTGGCGTGTTTGTGAAAGCCGAAAGGTGCATGTTCTCTGTACTACCGTGTTTTCCCGAAAATAGGACAATGTCTTATTTCAATTTTATTTCGAAAAATAACACTACTGCACTAGGGCTCATTTTTGGGGGATGTCTTTCATTTTCATTCAGAGAATTAAGAGATTTTAAAATATAAAAAATATACTATTATCTATTTACTTATAAATAACATGTCAAAAAAATTTTGCGCTATAGACTAGATCAGGGTGGTCCAAGGTTGTCGGCTCCGCGGGCCACAAAATTATTTTTGCATTGTTCGCGGGCCACAATAGTGCCAAGAATAGGTAAACAGTGCAATACATCTGCATTCGTTTTTTAGTTTTCTATGATACATATATTGTTGGCATATATTCCCGACCAAAAAGATAGAAAGCCAGATAATAAATTAGACTGCCAATCGCATCATTCAACTTTGCTAGTTGCCTCAGATAGCCATACCACTAGTCAATTCAGTGACATTAGTGATGTAATAATATGTCAAAAGATTTTTCTGAATAATCCCATTATCAAAACAACACGAAATACTATTTTTTGATTACTCTCCGAATGTGACGCGGGCCACAAATAATGAAGCGGCGGGCCACATGTGGCCCGCGGGCCTGGGTTTGGACCACCCTGGACTAGATCTTATTTTAAGGGGAGACCTTATATTAAGTTTTGAAATTTAAGCTAGGTATTATTTCAGGGGAAACACGGTATAATCAGTCAGTTTGTGATGTTAGAAATTTTGGGTCTGGTATAGTTTAGTACCACATGCACTTCTAGTTGGACTGGCTCCACAATTTTTGCATATGTCATTCCTAAGCCCCACCTGACCATGTCACCAAAAAATTACGTCACTACAACGGCACAGTGGCGTAATAAATACCAACAAAGTGTACGGATGGTCGTCCAAAAGCGCAGTCAATTACCCGAAATCGAGCAAGCTATTTCTCTCGTTTTTTCGTCGCAACGATCCCGATATGAGAGAGAACGCTGGCGTTAGTGAGTTCGGTATCGTCGGCGCAGTTGCCATTTTGGACGATAAAAGCTATACTTGGCAAGCTTTATGACGTGATTGTGATGTCGTAGTCACGTCATTTTTGGAGTCAGGTGAGGGTCAGAAATAACATATACAAAGTTCGTTATTCTACGCCAACCAGAAGTACTTGTGGTACTAAACTATACTAGACCCGAAATTTTCAGCACTGTCTGACTGTACCATAATACTGTATGGTAGCTAGGTAAGTAAAAGTATTTTTTGACTCCATATGCCAGTATGCAGATACGGTAATCATCATACAGTCATAGCAGGTGATAGGATAGGATTTACATATTTATCCAGGGGGAAAGGAAAGTCGATAAGACGGCTTATCCATATGGCGAACCACGGCCTCTCGTCCGGTTCCATTCCAAGTCGGGTACCATGGGATTAGTTATATTGTTTGTTTTCGGAAGCATGGACTTGGTGGTGGAGGAGGCCGTAACCGACCAGCGGTTACGTGAAACACCCAACGACGGCGAGGAGTCCAGCAATCCTCTCGCACATAACCATTCCTGCATGGGATTCGAACCTGCGAACCCACGCAGAGTAATTAGAGGTGCGGTGGCGAGTGTATCCCTAACGCTTAGCCGGTTGAGCCACACTGCCGCTTTGATAAAAACAAATACTGAAATAAATAAAAACTGATTATGAAATCTCATACAGCTGTACAGTCACCCTCAGAACCTGCTGTACTAGTATGGAATATGGTACCGTAACATATGGTACGGTACCGGTACTGCAGTACTGAATTATCCCAGTGTTGGCCAGCATTAGCTGACTGAACTATCCCAGTATTGGCCAGCATTAGCTGACTGGCCACCCGAACTGAAAACCGCCTCCAAGGTCTGAAGGTGGGCTGACGGACAACTCGACTACACGGACAACTCACCAGAGACAACTCGACTACCCAGAGGCCTGGTGAGTTGTCCGTCTTTTGGCATTTTCTATGGTGGTGTTTTAGGTCTATAGAAATGCGTTTTTGATATTTTTAGTGCTCAAATGTTGAGAAAAATAAATAAATATGCTCTAGAAAGCATTTTTATTTGTATAGGTGGCTTTTTTGATCACGTTGTATGAATACAAATACAGTCTATAGACGAAATTGGAGTAACGTTAGCGAAGTTAGACTGTTGACTTATAGGACTGTGTTCGTTTGATTTTATGTCAAAAGACGGACAACTCACCAGGCCTCTAGGTAGTCGAGTTGTCTCTGGTGAGTTGTCCGTGTAGTCGAGTTGTCCGCCTCCCTGAAGGGCTAGGCCTATTTCAGTATTTACAAATATTCAGTTTTTATCTGAAATCACATGGTGCGTACCGGCACTGTGAGTATATTCAATATTTGAGCCTATACCGGTAACTGTATTATTTTTAGTTTAAAAACAGTGGGGTAACTCAAAGCTCAAAAAGACTTATGACGGAAAACTGCCGTACTAAAAACAAAGCAAGAACAGTACGACCGAATCTCTTCTTTTAGCCTTTGATTTAGCCAAATTGAATTTCAGTGCCAATATGTGCTTTATTAGTTATTCAGACGTCAATTCTAATTTTTGTTGAAATAAATATACATATAAAATTTATATTGTCATTTGAATATTCAATATCAACAATTCATTGGATTTCCATTCGGCGACTCAATCTCTGAGCAGGGCAACTAAAATAGACTATTTTTTGTGGTTTTATCGGATTCGTGAGATGCAAGAACGGTCATTAAATAAAGTATATGTTAATTGAAAAAAAAATACAACATTCCGACCGCAATTGACGAGGGGCCGCGAAGGGCTATTCAGTCATCGTGTCAGCAAGACCGTCATTGATAAGTTGATAAGCAGCAGATGACGTCAAATAATACGAACTAATTGTTTCTCAACAAAAGAGTGAATACAAATCGAATCGAGAGAGTCAGTCGGGAGATTAGTGATTAAATAAGTCGGTTCATTCATTCGGACGTGGTGCAAATGCAAAGAACTATTAACGCATACTACCGTGTTTCCCCGAAAATAAGCCCTACCCTGAAAATAAGACCTAGCCTGAATTTTAAAATTATTTTATTATAAGCCTTTTTTTTTAAATAAGACCTAGCTAATAACGCGAATTTTTTTACTTAGTCGATAGCAAAAAATCTATCCTACACGTTTTAAATGATTGATAATCTATGTTTTGCAGTTATTTTGAATTAAAAAACGTGTTATTTATAAGTAATGGACCTTTCCCCGAGCATGGACTTCCTTGTTTACTTCGTGACATTGGCCAATCAGCAAGATGCAAAAAGTGACGTAACAATGCCCCCTTTTCGCATCCGCTCAGAAACTTTTCTCACTCAGACAGATTTTCAAGCGTGATTGTAAACATTACCTCGTTTTCGCGTTTTTGAACTCTATTCGTTAGTTTTCAGTTGTGTTTTGGCAACTTAAATAAAAATCAGATAATTCAATGATCACTCTGTCTTTCTAAGAGTTTTAATTTAATTGCAGTAATAAAAATTAGACTGTGATAGACTAGCCAGAAATTCTTTACCGGTCATTTTAAAAAACAGATTGTTGTATGCGATGAATCATAATGATGGTTTGAAACACATATTCCATTTTACAGACGCCAACTCGCAAAAGCAATCTTAAAATAGCCTTGACAATTTTGCAATGGTAAAGTATAGGGAGAATTTTCCGAGGGACAAAGGTCGGGGAAAGGTCCATTGGATATCGATTTTCATATTTTGTATATTGAAAAATCTCGTAATTCTCTACTTTGTAATTTTGTTTTTGATAAATGAAAATATAAGACATTCCTCGAAAATAGGCCCTAGTGTTATTTTTCGAAGGAAAATTAAAATGAGACCCAGTCTTATTCTCGGGGAAACACGGCATGGCACGTCAATGACAAGTAGGCTACAATCAATATCGGTGTACATCTAGATACAAAAAAATAACTGGGCAACTAATCGACTTGGACTGGTATTCCAACGAAAGGCCATGGTTTGTTATATGATTAAACCGCCTTATCGGCCTTCCTTTCCCGAAGATGAATATTTTAATCCTATGCTATCCATTGGTATAAGTTGGGCATCAATTGGAAAAAACTTCTAAAGGATAACTTATATTTTTGGTGTCGCGTTGTACCTTTTATCCCTTCCATTCGAGATCTGGTTTAACAGTTTAATTCCACACTCGTTTTCCCCTCTTGTTGTTCAATCTACCAGCGTGCAAATGTGACTTCTCAATTATCGTGGATGCTGGATGGAGAAAACATTCGAGACAGTTAATTGGTTAGTTTTGCTTTCAAATGCGAAAATATATCGCAATTTTTGCAATAAATTGGTGTAAAAATCCGTACGTATAGATCTCAACCAGATCGCTTGTTCCATCGTTCATTGTGAAATACGTAATAAAAACTGGTATACTACAGACTGGTCGGTCGGTCGTAAATCGTGAGCGAGAATGTGAAGCAGGCTCACCAGTGTAAGCATAATTTATATGTGGATGAATCTAACTGGTTTTCAGTTATGATTCTCGTTGTTAAATTTATAATTAGTGAGAAGATAACGTGTTCACATACACAAATGCTCGACTACTGTCTAATCCTGCTCGTGCTATTGCACTCTTCAACGCAACAAAGAGTGAGATTTACAATATTTACCAGGTAAGCCTTATTTCGAAGCATTTATAAAAAAGTAAAAGTCAACCATCGTATTTTCTAAATGGAATTAATCATCCGCCGCATAATATGGACAAATTGGCGGAGGTGAGTGAAGTTTTGATGATGAGACAGGTTACGACTTTTCCATTCTCTGGGAACCTAGAAATTGAACTGTATGTACAACACGAACAAGCGTTAATAACCGAATAAATCTACTAAACTACTCAAGTGCCCTGAAATAAGGGATTCGTCTGATACACGTTGACGAGATTTCGCGATATAAGAGAAAAAAGTTTAGATCACGAGGGAGGAGCGAGGGGCGCATAGATCACAGTAGTACCCTCATATTTATTAATCAATAAAAAAAATCAAGCCGAGTTGCAGCCTTCACGTAAAATTTAACGGTGTAGAGCTTGGCTTAAAGATTTTTAAATTTACATTAAAAACTTTGTTTGGTGGTGTCAAGTTTTCATATTTTTGCTCACAGCAAGGTTTTGTACAAATATCTGAGTATGTACAGATTTTGTCCCTATCTTGTATTCTTCATTTCTATTATCGTACAAGTTTATAAACTAAATATATAATCACCTTCAAATTTAAATTTTTTGTATATTAATTCTATGTATTTTATTGGTCCTTTTCATATTGAAATTACACTCCGCTGAACTTTGTGCTTCCCTTCAATCTCGGGTACTAGTTTAGGCCGATTTGATGAATTCGGCGGGTCTTTTATTAATTCAAGTATAAAAAATATACCTTAATTTTTTTTATTCCGTTTATCAAACTTTAATACCCATCAAACATCCTAAAACGCAGCACATCTTCTACAAACATCAACGGCGTGTTTTTTGTATATGAACCAAATTGAATTTTTCGATTCTAGTTTGAATTGGGCTAATTTAGTACGAAAAATATCTGAAAGTGATATACGGCGTTTTGAATTAAGCGCTATTAATGAGAAGATAACAGTTGCAAACAGCATGGACCTAATTTTATTGAGTAAAATATGAAAGTAAACCCCATTTATAATCGAATAGAAAAGCATGGTCATGCGCCCGGTTAACAGTAAAAGTCGCAGTCTGTGTCTGAACTGTGCCTCCTGATGAGATGGAGACGGTGTATCTAGTCTACACTCTACAGCTAGTGCCATTGTCGCCAATTCGTTTTTCAACTGGTCTTCACGATGCCATAACTTTAATATTTGTAAATTTTGTAGTACATGACTATACTAGCGGAAAAATTTATCACATAAAAGACTTTAAACGGAAATAATCATCATCCCATTTCCATGCAAACTACTCGGCATATTAAATTCGTGCTCGAAGATGATGATTCGTTTAGAACAGGGGTGTGCAACATTTTTTTTCGGTGGGCCATATAACCAACTTCAGACATGTAGCTGGACCACACAAAAATAATTGTTTTTTCATGTACACAACGAATTAAAGTAATAAAAACAGCGGGCAAAATGAAGAAAGATTTAACGCAGCTACGAGAGCAAAAAACATTATGTATTTTCACCCGTGCGAAAGCTTTTTTAAACATAAATTGTCAAATTATGATTTTATGCTTGATGGGGAAAGTTCTGAGTGTTGACAAGGGCCACACTAAATGGCTCGGCGGGCCTGGTTGTGGCCCGTGGTCAGCATGTATCACACCCCTGGTTTAAAAAGACTACGTCGAACACATGATTGGTATACAAGTATGATAAAGCCAAAGATAAGGCAATGGCCCATTCGACGTCCATAGCCCAGATTTTACGTCATATGATTCCATTTGATCCAAATATTCGCCTTCTTCAAAATGCCCTCCCGTGAGGTAGATCTGTTCTCCAATTGTCGTCATTCCTCCGTTTGAATGCAAATTCAACATGTCTTGTGCCCGAGACCATTCGTTTGCGTTCGGATTAAACATAAATACCTAAGAAATAAAAATAAATATCCAAAATGAACTTTATCAATACGGCAGTTTAGTCGAAATCAAAAGATGCAGTTCATGACTTCTTTTATACCACGCACCTTCTGTGAATTATCTCCGGTGACAAATATCTGGCTTCCATCCTGAGAGGTCGTGCACAGCACAGAAGACAGATGTCGAGGTACATTTGGTGATCTGAATTGACTCCATTGTGCTATTGCTGGATTATAACATTGTAAAACAAGAGTAGGCGAAGTTTCTCCGCTGCCAACTAGTATAACTTTACCATTACACGGAGCGACAGCAAAATTCCAAACAAATCTGAAACAAATACAATAAAAGAGTCATAAGATTCGGGAAAAGTCATCCTCTTCAACCATCTTTACTTAGTGCAAAATTGTAATTTAATTGGTCCATTATTTAAACGGAAAATCATTTTTTCATCAACTTGAATCAAAATAACAATTTTTTAAAACAATACATGCACCCATTTTGCGTTCAATAATTTTTATATTAGTAAGCTGCTTATGCAATAACTTCCAAACAGATAAGTGCTGTGAAGTTTGGATCTCGACTTTAAGCAATGATAAAAAGTGTATAGGGAAACGAGAGTTTTAGAATCAGAATTATTTCTCATTGAAATTCTATGCTATCTTCAATCTGAAACATATCGCATAAAAATTACAAATATGAGATTTGAAACTAAAAACGGCATCATACACTGCATTATAAATTGTTTCGATCGCATCACGAAAATGAAAAATCGAAATTTCGATAAATATTTCCTATTATCCATCTTACTATTTACACAATTATTAGTTTCTAACGCTTTTATACACAGGCAATTTGAAATTTAGATGCTCTATTAAACAAGACTGACTAACTTAGGTGCACTATTTTTAATAGCTGTCCAATCTTGTCCATGATGGCGAAAAACTTCCATGTCTATTTTGGTATTGAAAGCTCCACCGACCACATATAATTCTCCGTTTACTTGACAGGAGCTATGGAAAGATCTAGAATAAATCATGTCATTTAGTCTCTCCCATTTGTCACTTTCTACCTCGTATATCCAACCTCTTTTTATGTTGTATCGTTTCATTTCGATGAAATCACAACCACCTGAAAAAAAAATAGAATCGTAGAAGAACAATCACAAGTGTAATCAATATGCAAAAATGTGAAGAGACAGGTAATTGCTAGACATGAAAAATGTTCAGTTGTTACTTATCGATTTTATTACTTATCGATTTTAATCGGTAAGTATGTTGATAGGTATTTGTCTGTCTGTCTGTTAGACGCACACGATATTTCACCAAAGCGAGATCGAATCTGCTCCAGATTTTGCATGTCCATTCATCATGATTATGTCGGACCAGAAGCCTATTGATTTTGAATGAATTATGTCGTATCATTGGCGAGTTATTAATTAATTAGTGACACAAGGTGTTACTATGGAGTAAGAGCGCTGTTTTGGGGATACCCTAACTTTCGATCGATAAGTCTTCGGTCTCTGACCGATATTCTCGTTTGGAAATTAACGCGATTTTAAAAATATAGAAAGCCTGCGTTTGTCAGTTATGGATGACTTCTACGAAGGTTAATTACAATGAAATCTTTGAAAGTGGTCTGATTTAGCATATATATGACCTCACAGTGACTTTTCATTTATTTTTGGTATCAAATTTACGAATTTAGAATGCATATTGAAATAAGTCTTATAAAATATCGTTTCAACTACATACGCATGGGTTAACGGATAGTACATATGATTTCCCTTATACTGATAAAAGTTTCTCTCATTACATGCGGTTATGTACCTGTTACAATGACATTATTATGAAATCTGGACACAGAAAATCCACGAAGCTTCCGTTCAGGCCAATTTGCTCGAATTTCCCATGCCCTCGTTCTTGGAACATAACACATTACGTTTGGTTGACTAAAGTCTCCTCTTTCTGCTTCACCTAACGTGAGGCCACCAATTAATAGAAGGACTTCTTGCATACATCCTTGGTTTTCCCCGCCCAGACATCGGTCAGGGAAAAGATTTCTAATTCTCCATCTGTAATAAACATTAAAATGTGATTTAATTTTAGTGCAGTGGTTCCCCACCGCCGGTCCGCGAAGCTTTTTTGCCGGTCCGCGAGAAGTTTCGTTGTTTTTATGCCGTCTCAATCGCTTTACCGGAGACGAGGTTGTGTTGGTTTACTACGCAATTTCTCTTCCGCCGTCATATTGCGACGTCTTTCGCGAGATCTACGTCTCTCGCGACATCTTGGCGCCAAGTAATAACACTTGTTGCTTTTTCGGCTCCGATTCATCGCGAATGCGCTCCATCAAATCTCGCAAGATTCAGCAACCCAAAAATCGGCACGCGTGCTTTTTCTGTTCTGCGTGCTTTTCCTGGTTAATATGACCATCCATATAAAACGTTATGCATATTTCTTTGTTTAAACCAGAAAACAGTCAAGAACAGTATAATATTCCAGAAAGATATGAACTTGTTGCGACACTGCAGGTCACGGGACGCGCAAAAAAGCATGGGCCCAAGAGATTTGAGCATACACAGTAGGTGTATTTTGAGCAGGGACAGTAGGATTTTGATTCTGGCGCCAAGTTACCGTCGACTTTGTCATTGTAATGTAAATTCATTTCGTTTGAGACGTCGATCAACTGCAGATAGATTAATATGATAAACCCAATGAAAAAGCTTGTGATTCTACTTTACAGTCCAGATTTAAAAACGTATCTCTGTCACAATTTTGGATATCTCTTGATAACGAATACCCATCGCTACGTAATCGATCAATCATGTTTTTTATGTGAGATATTTTATGCGTGCCTTTCTTACGCATAATTGGCGCCCAGCACTGCATTTCATTAGGCAAATATATGGTATTATTTTATGTTTCACCCATTTCTATTTTTGGCCGGCACATTTGATTTGATAGTTTTTCTTCGCGTGAAATGTTTTTAAGTGTGCTTTTTTGTCTAGAAGCATATTGAGTGCCCGACATTGCATTATATTACGCAAATATATGTTACTATTCTCTGCTCCGGTCATGTCAATTTTTGCCGGTCCGCGAGTACATTTAATTTAATTTTACCGGTCCGCCTGGGTAGAAAAGTTGGAAACCACTGATTTAGTGTATCGGCCGATCGAACCGCTTTGATATTTTGTTAGAGCTGTTTGTTTTTTAATGTTCTGTATCAACAAGCAGTGCAATTTCAAGAGTTTAGCATCGATTGTAGTTCAGATAAATTAACGTACTTGAAAATTCTTATCTCAAAGTAATGTATAATGTTATACTCGAATCTAAAAACTCGCACTACATATTTGTTGTTGTTTTTTGTTAGGTTTGTTCAATGCAGCGGTGTGCAATTTTTTCTCTATAGCCGTCCGCATTATGTCTTTGTGCATCGAGCAAAACCGCCATTGTGATCGAAGTCTTTTTATGAGATATGCTTTTTAAATAATCTCGCTAATTGCTAGGTATTTTTGCAACTGACGAAAACGACTAAATTTCGCTTTGCAATATCTGTCTTAAAACTTCGACTTCAAAAAGTATGCAAAATTCTACTTTTGCTCGAATAGTGTCAAGGCTTTTGTGGATATGCAATTACTCTATGTTTTGCGATTACTCTTGTGTAAACGAAGTTTTGAGCCAGAGGATTTTTTCAAAAATGTAGCTGTGCGAAAATATCTTAAGTTTTTGTAGGAGCAGACATTCGCGCAATAGCTGAATGCGAACTGCAATTGTAAACAATGCAGTAATTGATCATTATTTGTAGTGAATCGTTATGGCACATGTGACGTAAACAAATGAGTTTACACTTAAACAAGGTCATAGGAACTACAAAATTATACGTCTGCTGGAACATTTTCTCACGTTCTGAGATATATATATATATATATCTTTTCAAAAAAAAAAGATATCAACTCCCAGTATTTTTCCAGTCCCTTTCCTTCCCAGTCTTAATATCAGGTGCTCAGAGGTATTGAAACGGCGTTAATAACTTATTTCCTTCCGCCAATAACGACTTTTATCTAACGTGCGTGGAAGATTCGTTGGGAAAATGAATACTTGTACGGAACTGTTGTCACATTCGACTGTTCAGCAGTACGAGAAGGATGGACCACGAAAAAAGTGAAACAGCGACACTTTTAGAAAGTAAAGAAACTAAGTTGTATGGAGTCAAATGGCTGGTGGCATGTTTACTATTTTTGAGTGGATTTTTCATCATGTTTGCATGGCATTTCTTCGGAATAATTAACGAAGCATTCTCCCAACACTTCGAGGTCTCTCACGGTCTCACCAAACCATAGATTGGCTAACCATATGTGCCGCACTTAGACAGTTCTCCGGAGGGCCAGTTGTTGGTTATCTATTCACTCATAAGCCAACTGCAGTAAAAATATGGTATATTGTCACAATTAGTGTTCAGGCAATAGCCTTCGTCGGAAAGTATCTTTTTATTTGCATGATAGCAGAGGTTGCAGTTGGTTTTGTATGCGCTGTGTACTTTGCCTTAATCCCAGTGACTGCAACAGTTTGGTTTGGAGAGAGGGAGCAAGCAACCGTCTTAGGTATCGGTTGGTCCGGTATGATGGCCGCAGTGATCGTAGCTTCAATATTGCCAAGCATACTATTTTCTGGAATGACTGACTTATCAGAAAAAATGCTTAATGTGGCACTATGCCTGTACGCCTTGTCCACACTTGCAATAATTTCTTTATTCATTTTGTGCTTGTTTATACCAAATTCGCCAAAAGTTTCACCATCGCATGCTGAAATACAAAGACTAACGACAGCAAGAGAAGCCGAGCAAAAAAGCTACAAATCAACACTACTACGAGTTGCTAAGGAATCAAGGTATATCGCGACGGAACGAATAAGTTTGACGCTCCTTCTGATGTTTTCTATCATCGATACTGTTTTTGTTGCTCAATATATGCTTGTACCAGCAAACGACTCAGAGTTAGAATTGAGAAACAGCACCTTGTTGTTTGACGATGCCGCTGACTTATCTGTGAATAGAGGTTTTGTCCTGACAGCGTATTCCATCGGCGGGATCATTAGCTCTATAGGAGTGGGGGCCATAGTAGACAGATTAAAATCGTACAATCCAGTTGCCAATATAATAGCTTTTCCATTTGTGTTAACGTAGTTTTGGCAATGCTGGCATTCATATATAATATTAAAGTACTGGAATATATCAGTAACTTCATGTACGGACTATCAACGTTGTCTGCCTATCCTTTCATCCAAGAGATGTTAAAGCAACATGTTTACCCCACGGTACAAGAATCTACCCAGGGGATTTTACTTTCGTTGGTAGGAAGTGTTTTTTGTGTATTACTTCCTATTGTCATTCGTGCAGCAATGACGAATTTTGGAAAAGTTCAATTCTACAACATTGTTCTGATCCTTTTTATCATTGCACAAATACTGACTCTCAGCATCAAACCGGAGATGAAAAGATTTAAATACGAAAATGAAGCAGTTCATGGAAATGAAAAGTTGCATCAACTGGAGAAATCCCAACAAAACACTGAAAACTGAAAAGTTCTGCTAAACATATTTGATTTAAATTGAGCGTTTTGAGTGTTGTTATTAATAATAAGCATTATGTTACTTATCAGTGGTCTTTTGCGCCATTAATCAATATGAAATAACATTCCATACTAACGTACTGTACAATCCTGGCGGGATTAACCATTGGGCAATACAAGCATGCACTCAGGGCTCCACAGAAATTTCCATAAACGAATCTTCAATGGTGCCCCATTGTTAAATAGGGTAATTCGAGTTGGTCAGGCAACATAAATCTCAATATTGGCCCGTTTGAAATAAATTTGTGATATTTTTTCATTCATAAGTATCATCTTACACGTCTCTTTAAAAATGTTTGAAAGTACGAGAACTACCGGTATTTTAGAAAAATCATGAAAATTAATCATATGTTGGCCCTCCATTAGAAGTGAATGAATATTTCCTTGACCAGATGCTTGAATATTTGTCTGAGCGGTTGGATAAATTGCAATTGTTTCGTTACTCTCTGCGGACCGGCAGTAACCATTCTGCGGACCGGCGATGGGCTGCGGCTCAGTGGTTGCCAACCACTGGGTTAGACGACAACGTCTCTACTGCCTTGTATCAACGCATGCTTGCATATTTTAACCCCTTTGAATAGCAACGTTAGGCGTGGATTCTCATTTTGGGAGATACGTGGAGTGATGCTCAATTAATACGAATATATATATGGAGTTTGCCAGATTCACAAAAAGTGGAGGAGAAAATGCGGAAAATGAATTAATTAGGGTCAATGGAAACTCACATGGTTGCTATGATTTCATAAACCACACACACCATACTCAGGAATGAAATAAACACTATGATAAAATTCAATTAAATATCTTACCTGCCTCGTGTAGTACTATGCGACGAAATTTCTGTGGACGAAGAATCTTTGTTTATGACATCATCAAGAACTTTTCGTACTTTTTTGATGATTAAATCTTTCGTAGATTTATTCGATACAACCAGTGGGTAGTACAATAATGTTCGTAAAATAAATTTAGTGGATAAACGTGACCAATTTATATTTTGAAGAAGTTTTTCCATCTCTTTCATCCTATCAGCTTTGTCGAAATTTGTCCATTTTAAAATTGACATTATTCTCTGTTCCTGTACATACAGATAAATTATAAATAGATGCAAAATAAATAATTAAACAAAAATAATTAATTAAACAGTGTATATCAACTAATTAAACATAATTAATAAAATTAATTAATATTATTCTCTGTTCCTGTACATACACAGATGAACAATAAATAAATGCAAAATAATTAATTAAACAAAAATAATTAATTAAACAGTGTACATCAACTTTACAGCACATATACACTATAATAACTACTTTTCTGTGGAAAGATATTTCTTCAATACTTCTCCCACTTATCCTGGACAAGTCAAACCAAAATTAGCAGTACTTTTGATGAGCAGCGTTATAAATTATCATTGAAATTGAACCCAATCACGTTACTTCAGAATATTTTAAAAATTGTCGATAAACTATTGAATTGTATGAAATCTATCAAATGATTTAGTTGAAAATATTAACATACCTCTCCACAAAAATGCGCTAATTTATCTTGCAATATTTCCTCAACATCATGTGGCGTCATATGTTTGATTACATCACTGACATCAAATACAGATTCCAATCTTTCGTAAGTAAAATGTTTGGCAGCTTCCGCTAATTCTGGTATTGCGCGACATTTTCCAAAATTGTACATTTCGAGGGAATTTGTTTCATCGATTTGATGACGAAGGTAACTGACACAGATGTCTATCACCTAAAACATCAAATTGAGCATAATTGAGATTCATGAAATGTTTTGGGTTAAGAAGCATATATGAAGGTCATTGAAATGGGACATATGTGTGACAGTGAGACATCTGCAGCAAGTGTGGCAACAAGTAGGACTAGAGCGCCCACATATATACGGCCCAGAGACAAATTTATTGCAAATTATTAAATGTGAATCACACGGGATACCATTTTCCAGAATTGGAAACACAACCAAAGAGACCATTAGGGTGAGGCATAATGTTATATAACTAAGTTCCTCATTCTCAGGCATAGTCAGTTCTATACCAGCTTACGTAATTTATAGAAAACGTCTTTCATTGGGGGTAAATTTGACAATTTTTATTTATAAATGTACAAAAAGGTTAAGAACTAATGGTCTAAAATTTGCGCACTGTGATAAAGTACTTAGATGACAGCCACCCTATTACTTATCGTCATGCTGAATAATACGGGGTAATAATACGGACAATCTGGTAGACCACCATCATAGTTATCTACTCTAGATTACTTCGCCAACCTTTTGAAATTGGAATCTCGTCGCTGTTTCAAGTAATGTCTCAACCGAAGTCTGGTTTATTTCAATTCTGCCCGTATACAGGAAGTCTAATATAGCAGATAATGAATCTGAATTCACTTCTCCTAATGTTGTTACATTCGCGCCATTTTCCAAAAAATTCCCTCGCACCATCGCGCGAAAATATTCACTGTGGTAGCATAGAACTGATCGATGACATGGATAATTTTTGTTGTCAGCAATCAGAGTAAAATCACAATATTCTGGAAATTCTCTCCGGAATTCGTTCAGTCCTTGCAAAGTCTCGATTGCATGGTTTGGTAATTCTGAATACACTAAAGTATCCATTTAGTTTATTTTAGCTATGAATTTTGTGAAATGTAAATTAAAATAACTTTTTAAACTTTTAAAATACTCGAGTCCCTAAGGGCATCACTACAAAATATTACCCAATTTCTTCGTATTCTTTAATGCCTATGAAAAAACTGCACAAAAACAGGCTTCTCGGCTGTGTACAATGTAATACCAATAAAACCGTCGGTTTTGACTTTTCATTGGATCAAAAACTATTCAGTAGAAGGCAATATAATAGATAAGTCAAAAAGCTTGAAAGCTTACGTGGTAAAGTGAAACAGATCCTATAATGACAGTCAAACCTGGAAAACCTAAATTCTGAATAAGGTGTTTATTAACGATCCGAATAAAATTTCTATCATTGGTAAGTTTAGAGCATGGAATTCGGTTGAGTTTCTGACTATACCTAAATTCCTAATTGACATTGACTAAGCTGATACTCATTGTTCAGTCATTGAAAACTTTATCTACCTACAATAGTTAACAAAGTCTAAACTTTCCTTCAGTCCCACAAGGCTCAGACTTATTCCTTTGCGGCTTTCTTTGTAATTTCTAACCTCTGTACCATTCAAGATTTGAGAATGCTTTACAAATCCCTCGGGAGTCTTCTTCGTACAGCACATGCCTATTGCGTAATGCACAAAAACGACGTGACGAAAGACATGTGCGATATGCAGGGCATTTAAAGGGTGTTAACGATCGTTCTCTTGGCAGTCGCTTTTAATTTATCAGCTTTCATATCTTATATAAGTTTTACGACATAGCCTTCAGCTCTTATTCAACATCACATATTCAAACATGCTGGTTGGTTGTATTACTCGTACATATCGTGAGTAATGTTATAATAAATGCTGTTTTTAATTCTCAGATAGTATTTAGATGCGTCATATAAAAATGTAATCATTTTTCAATACGACTCTCAAAGAATTAACCACGCATTTTTTCTGTTGATGCGACAAATAACGATTGCGTAATGGACGAAGGACGATGTAGCTGGAAAAATTGAATCGATGTTTCAAACACATATTACAGGTTTGCCTGTCTGACTACATCCGTCCCATTCCTGAAGTTCACCGGCTAATTAAATAGCTTCCACAGATACTAATTTTATGGCAAAAAAAAAACCGTACTATTTTTTTCAAAATCTTGCGTTTGTTTTGAGATTTTTTAACAATATATATATTAATTACATCTCCACAATTGGATTTTACTCTGGTCTGATTAGAAAAAATAGCACTCAGGTAGTATGATGGCGGACACCTGTACGTAGTATGTGTACCAGGTTAGGGTCAGGCCATATTTTTCTTCCAATTTTCTTTATTTTAGTTCTATTACGAGTTCGGGGACTAGCCAAGGGACTCCCGTAGTATTTGTACCTGAAATTATGGTCTACTCCCTAACCTTGTAAACATGCTACGGGAGTACCGAAAAATTACCTAAATTTCTTTTTGTAAGCACTGCTGCAAATACCGTTGTGAAATCTAACTAATTTATGTGTTTGTGGGGTTGGTAACGTGATATACCAATGTAACTTGAATATGCACAGACAATCAGTTCATATATAGTACATATACAGCCAATGGTTATATATTATAATATGACAGCCGACTTTAAAGGTAAATGTATCAAATTGATATAGTCAAACATCATTCAGCGGCCTCGTCATGTTCTGCAGCTACAGCCATTTGTGGTTAATGAATACGTACAGTAATGGTCAACCGCTGATGTCATAATAGCCCGCAACAGCTGATTACTGATGTTATTATGTGTTAGTAACAAAAACAGTACTATTTTCATTCAAAACTATTATTACACAGGTTAAATGTGCTCAAATATACTTACACGAATGTCGCTAATATCGGTATATTTATTTGCGGAGGTTTTTCACAACAACAACCCTTGTCTTGTTCATATTTATTCGTTTGAATATTTCTTCCTATGTGCATGGACATAAACTGCAACTTGTTCACTATTCTAATTATCTGATAACTATCGGGAATACTACCTCTAGAATAAAACTTTATACTAAAAGGTAGAACTTTATTTTCAAATCTATATAGCAAAAGAATAATTTTACTGACATAAGTTTATCTACAGATCTAGTAGCAAATATTGCCAAAATATTTCATTGGGAAATGGCGTGATTGTGAGTAAACAATGTGAAAATGCCATTGAATATATGATAGACAATTTTTTTTTTAATTTCCGTTCATGGTTAAAGCTTAATTGTATAATAATCTCTATTTCAAATATTCGTGGACGACTGGTTGTTCAGTATTTTTTTGTTTCCTTAAAAACGAATCGAAATCGATTTATTGGCTTGTTTCATATAACCTGATTCGGGTAGGATGTAGAAACTTACCAAGCCGTTGATTGTCATGATTGTCTTCATTTTGTACGATTTCATCCAATAATGTGTCCATGACAAAATCGTGTCTATGGGGTTCCTTACATTTTCCACGAGTACAGCGTATCAATTAGATTGTCAAGTGTCGCTTTTACATCTCTCTCGATCTAAATAATGTTATATTCCGTGATTAATAACAACATTATTTCTTTCATTTAACATTTTTTGGGAATTACTCTTTATTTCTTGTGGACCTCCTAATGATCCATAGATAACGCAATACTTTCCTTTGAAGCAAATAATTTTTTTTACATAAAACTTAAAATTTTTGTCTTTTCGACGAACAGTTTCATAAAACTATAGCATTCATGTAATAACAGTTTAATAAAACTGACTAAAACTAAAAGAATTATTGACCTCCATTTTTATCGACATTAGTTTGAAACCATTCACCAAATATAACACATATCGAGCAAATATCAATGGAAAGGCAATATATTGAATTGACATTTAAATTCTCAGAAATTAAATGCGAATCTTTTCAAATTATACAATTGTAAACCGTGAAAAACTGCGTTTGCAATTTTTTTTTTAATTGTTTTATATTATTTCCTTTATCATTAATAGTAATAAATGTGACATTGCAAAACAAAAAGTGAATAGACAGTTGAGGGTTAGCGGGTAGGATCAGAGTTAGACATACGGTAAGCTGAGTTCAGGTAAGGTTAGTGAGAAGGTTCAGGCACGGAGAGTCGAGTTTAGGCAGAGTTAGTGAGTGAGCTAAGACACGAGCAGCTGAATTCAAGTAGAGTTAGTGTTTGTGTTTAAGTATCCGGTTTTGAGTTTTTGTAGAGTTAGCGTCAGTGGTGGAATTCAGCCGGTTTTATAGAACCGTCTCACGAAATTTTATGAGATCAGCGAACCGGTTAGCATTACTGGTTACTATCAATGTTCTGTTTGTAACAGAACCGGCTGAAAAATATGACTTTTGTGAAGAAACTGGCTAACAAAAAAAATGGATCCCACCACTGGTTAGCGTGTAGGATAGTACATTCGGAGTTGACGACACCAAGAAAAGTTAGGGGTTAATATTGGACACAGGAGTTCATGTCGGGTTAACGGATGGGATAGTTGATGCAGAAATTCGGCATGAGCAGTCCCGTAAACGATAGAGAGGGTCTGATTAGACATGAGAAGATCAGTAGAGTGGAGAGTCAGGTACACTTAGCTGGTCGGATTATACAAGGGGAGTTCTTATAACGGTAGCGGCCGAGTTTAGAGATATCGATGAATTTAAGTTGAGTTGTTGGAAATACTGTTCGCGCATATGCCAGTATTTTAACATATATATTATATGTTTATTTTCTCTAAAATACTATTCTCTTTTACCTAAAACGTTTGAAGAAAAAATTCTACTGTCATTATCCGCCCGTTTCATTTCAAATTAATACATAAGTGAACATTAACATAAACATGATAATCATACCAGACGCTATAACAGACATCATATGGATTTGCAGTAACAGTAGCAGCCTACAATGGGCATTTCCCCTCCGCTGGTATATATATATGTTTTCATTTTTTCATCAACAAATAACGATCGTTTGCAAAGTTAGCTAGCGAATAACCAGAGCGCGACAGTACTTACCGATTGTATTGTTCTCGTTTACAATTGGTTTCATATCAGAAGTATATATAGCCTAGATTCTACAAACCTATAACATGGGAAAGGGAGAAGATAAACCTGAAGAATTCAATAAAGACATTGTCGAAGTGAGTGTTTTTTTAAACGGTTGTTTTGTTAGGTATGCAAAGGCAGTCGATACTACTGCAACATTTCGAAATGAAGCATATTGTGTCATTGTTACAGTTCTATTTATCGTGTAACAAGTAATCTGGAGGTTTATTTGTGTAACTGGACGACCTATTGGTGAAATATGTAGTACAAAAGGATGTCTTAAGATCCGCGAACAAGGCTTTTCATATTCCTACAATAAATGAAATTTAAACAGTATCGATGAACTTTGAGCTGAGTTTATGGCTCGAATATTAAAGTTGCCTTCACTATCAGGTGAATACAACACATATTCAAAGTATCCGTGTAGAATGAAATTAGTTGAAAAGTCATATGTAATAGACTACTAATTTTGTCGTAGGAGCATCGTTTGTGTGGTCAGTATTGTAATTAAAACGGTATACTTACAATTGCGAGACCGCCAATAGTCATAACCGAATTTGTATAAAAACATATCTTACTCGAGTTGGTGAAAGAAACCGAAAACTGCGAAACATGAATTTCAAGTTTTTTTCACTGGTGATGTATAATGTCAGAAAAGTTTTTAGCCCGTGATATACTAAGTTATAATGTAAAACCGCGGGGGGATTCTTGAATTAGAAACGTTTCCTACCAAAAAATGCGAAAATTACAAATTCATTATATAATGGTACTGTATTTTGAAAATATTTATGAAAATACTTACTATCTTATCTCTGATCTGTAGCAAACTATTACCCATGGTTCATTGCCGCGATTCATTATTAAGAATTGGTTTGCAAATACACCAATAAAGTGCATGTGATGTAAAACGCCTGCGTATGAATAGCTCTTAAAAACTGTATGAAGCCGACTTCCCAAAAAGTACTGTTAAAAGTCGAAACAGATATTTTATGAATGCTAGAAATATACATTGTATTATTTGGTTAATGGTAGTTCGATATTCAACTTTATATCACGCAACGCTTGCCACAGTATGTGCTGCAGAAATTTCCAGTCAATAATAGCCGAGGGTGTAAGAAGGGTTTAATAGTTTGTCAACATTGTTTGAACCAAATATTTAACTTTACATCACCGACTCATAGGCAAACAGTTATTACTTTGAAATATTCAAATATGAACAAGTATGTTCAGCTGTTCTTTGCGACATTTATGTGCTTATCACGCTATAACAAATATTGCATACGTGTATTGATTTATGCAAGAAAATTTACAGTCAAGTCTACAAAGGCCTAGCCAAAACGCTTTGCAGTGCGTTAGCAACGGAAATTGTACTTTGAATCACCTCGATTTTCACAAATAATTGGCATTATTACTTTCCGTATAAAAACTTTCCGCGAGGTTTGACCAATTAAGCTGAACATATTCTAATAATTTAACAATTCAGTTTATGAGGGACCCGTGTATCAATGGACAAGTACTTGCCATATTAGATAAAATGCTTGCTGGAAACCATAAATTTATTCGTTGCATTTTTCACATAAGCGAGTGTTTCATGGGGTAACTATTACACCGCAGATGTCTGGTCATGAAATTCAATAATGTTTTCTACATTTTTGTATCAATGTGTCAGTAGCAACATTCTCAATTTAAGTTACCTCCATAATAAGTACGTCCATCTATTCTAGAAAAGGGTTCCCAACCGTTTTACGTCGAGTTCTTCGGTGAAACGTAGACATAGTCGATAAGACTTGGTTGATTGTGAGGGAAACATAGTAGCCTATACTTTGGGAAATGAAGAATGCTCCCAAATATGGACAAATGCATATAAGTTCTGAATCTAATTTTGTGTACGGTATATACATTTCAACAGTGGTGATTTTAGCATTATAGTGAAATGTTAAAATATTACAGATTTCTCTCTTCATTGATAATTCGGAAGTACAAGAAAAGTCTTCTTTAGTTCCTTTTATTTTGCTTCAATCTGTTTTCGTGTTGTTTATGACTGCGTAAAAACGCTTGAAAATTGTAAAATTGGGACTTTAGAATACAGAAGTTTTATCAGCTTTTGTTACTTACATTATTCAAAAGGGCGCCGAGAGCTCCCGCAAAGCCTAGAAAGGAATGAATCGATTATGCCTTATACTTACGTACTTGGTAAAAATGGGCAAATGTGGAAGCGTGGAACTTTTAGAACTTTGATTGAGATTAACAAGAAAATTCTGCGACCTTCCATCTCAATGTAAAGCGGTTTTTCCTATTTGTGGTTTTGCAAATTTCGTTTCAGAATGGCCGATTTATTAGTGGAACCATATCCATAAGCCGGAAACTTGTTTCAAAAATTGTTTATTTACTATAAAGTCAGCCATGACACCGCCGGTTAATTTTGTTTTTATGCACTTTTATTCAATAACATGTACCTTTACCAGTAGCCCTGACCTCCCCCGCGTAGGGGGGAAAAAACGGTATTTATAAATAAATACAAATAAGAATTTAACCTTAACAAAAATTAAATTGAACATGTAAAGAATAACAAGTCAATATAAAGAATGAGTACGGCTTATCTAACTGAGCCAGCCCCCCTCAAAGAATATAGGAAAGAAAATCGTAAGCAAAAATAACAAATATAAAGTAGTGGCGAGGGGCTGGCAAACTCGGCGATGAGTTCTAAACATGGAAAAATCTAACTGAATTATAATTACCGCTCGCCTTTTCCTATCAACCGGGGTGAAATTCTGAATCAAAATATGGAAAAGTTTGAAAAATTACCAGATAAAAAAAGAAGGAAAACCGTGGAAAAGTGCGCAATAACTGCAAATTAAAATTGGGATAACTAAGGCAAGCGGTATACACTAATATATATATATGGCATCTAAGTTGGACAAAGCCCATCGCCGAGCGTACTTGAAATAATCATAATTTAACGACGACAGACAATCAGCCTAATAAAGGAATTTGTATTTTACGCAAATAAGCTGCTGGTACGCTGAAAGAAAGATAACAAAACAACCAAATTTCTTGCGTACCGACAAAAACCTGCGCAGACCGTCACCAGTCCGCTGACCACTGATTTATAGCACTAAAATTCGAATTCGCGCATTTTTGGTGATGTTTTATAATATATATCGCCCCCTTCTGTTCGAAAAAGTCTCATTGAAACTTGCGTGTATAGAGAGTGTACACTTATGAACGTAAACTATATTTAACTGAAAATATAGTGATTAATTAAAGTAATAATAGAGTAATATACTAAACCGGCTCTCGTCAAGTAGAGGCATTATATTGGTTTATAACAGCAAAACCAGTCTTTACAGACGTCTATCTATGACCAACCACTTTAACGGTGTAATATTTTTGTTCATAATGCAGGAGACGACTCCAGGATGCTATTTGAAATCCCGCCATTCGATGGCAATTATGCTATTTTTTGCAACATTCAATGTTTATTCGTTGAGAACCAACCTCAGCGTTGCAATTGTTGCCATGGTGAACTCGACCAGTTCCTCCACGGAAGATTCAGAAAACGGAAGTGACGTATGTCCTGACAAGGGTGTGTCGGAAATAGATGAAAATACGAACGTAAGACATTTTGAAAGGTTTTCGACATTTTCTCTTCAAAAGGAGCTAAGAATGAGATTTTATATAATATGTAGAGATACTTCAGGCGTTTATTTTTTCATGGATAGATGTACTAATAGTATACATACTTCATTTTAATTTTCCCAATATTATTTTGTTAAATTACGAAAATCTGGTTGATAGGAGTCCCACATCATTGGTAGCTGGTTTGAATTTTCTTAACAATTTTTTGACATCGTTGTATAGGTGGAATTTTGTAGAGTTAGTGGCCGATTTGTCTTCTAATCATTTGCATTGTTCAGCAATTTCCCCCTGTTTGTCTTTCCGTATCATTCTCTGGGCAATTGCATTTTGTTCTTTGTATGCCACCCTGTCTCCTAGTTTGGAGAGGCCGCTTGCTTTGTTCGTTCCACTTTTTTCTATACTGCTATGGTCCAACCGACGGGTTGGAACATTTCCGAATCGACATAATTACGCGCTCCTAGCCAGGTGGTAAGTTAATCCTGCCCGTCAGTATAGTTGGACCCCACACTCTAACTAGGCTACTGGGACTATATCCTTTTCTGTTGATAACATTTGGTGAAAATGTCTTACTTTGAATGTTTCTTGTCCAGAATACATTTACTTGAATATGTGACGTTAGCATGGTTAGGCCAACGCTCTTTCCTACGAGCGCTCTCAATAGTTACTGACTTGTGTTGTAGAATCCTGTGCCAGACTCCCCCAAATAATCATGATTTGTGTTGCCTGATAAGTATCATGAAAATAAAATAAAAAACCGTTAAACCATGATAATTTCTTTTAACAGAATGGTATATTTGTTTGGGACAGTGTTCAACAAGGACTTATTCTTGGTTGCTATTTTTATGGATATATTTTTACGTGTGTGCCCGGTGGCTATCTGGCTAAAAGATATGGAGTTAAACCAGTGTTGGGCATCACCATGCTGATATCATCAATAATTACACTATTATGTCCAGTTATGGCAAATGCAAGCTTTCCTCTTTTTGTTACATTTCGAATCATACTAGGATTTCTACAGGTGAGCACTGAATGAAATGTAGTTGGGTTCGATTTTACTAGTGAAGTTATAAAAATAGTTTTACGGCTGCATGGTAAAACGGGGCGTATGGAGATTAAAAAGAAAGTGGCACCTGCGACTGATAAAATGGGTAATGATAAGAAGTATATTAGGAAAAAGTACATCATGACGTAATTTAACTTTCTATAATCACAGGGTGTGAGCTTTCCTGCTGTCCAATCAGCTTGGGGAATATGGGCACCTCCGCTTGAAAGAAGCACTTTGATAGCTATTTCTTTCTCGGGTTCCAGTTTTGGAACATTCGTAACTCTTCCTATAGCAGGAGTGATAGCAGATAATGTAGGATGGGAAGCTGTATTTTATTTAACAGGTGTGTTGTTTTATTTAAACTGATTTCATTTATTGAAGACATGTAAACCAAGTGAGTGTTCAAATTGATTTCAACTCACAACCAATAATTAGTGATGGGGAAGTTGAAAATTGTTCGAAAATTGGCGTTAGGTTTCCTTGATCCGGAATCAACTTCTTGTATGCGTTAAATAAAGTGTTTGTGGGTAAGAAGCTGAAGTATGCAAATTTTTCAAACTCAGAGTTGTCAACCGGAGGTGGAGCTGATTTCTCTAAATAGAGCCCTAATGAAATTTTCGAATGGATATATATGAGTGTCATATGAAATTTTTCCATAATCTACTGTTTGGAAAATATACCTTGCTATGAGTCAGGCGTTCTATGCCAATATGCTCCACAATATACAGTACATGTTGTAATTGGCATATTGCGTTATTATAATGTCCAGGTGCTGGCGCCATGTTATGGTCTCTTGTGTGGCTCGCATTTTTCTACAGTACTCCAGAAACTCATCCCAGAACCTCTGAGCAGGAGAAAAAATACATCGTCGAAAGTATCGGGATTCAGAAAAAGAAGAATCCGGTATGCTAATACATTTAAAGCTTAATTTTGTTGTTATCATACACTTTAATACAATTCAATAATCTTGTACCACATAATGTTCATATACTTGAATAATAATTTATCTCTTTAGAAAATAAATTATACTACATTAATGAATCTTTGTTGTACAGGATGTGAAACTTCAAACACCTTGGGTTGCCATGTTGACTTCTTTGCCAGTGTGGGGAATTGTCGTTGGACATTTTGCTAGTAACTGGGGAAACTACACTTTAATGACTATGCTACCAACTTATATGGCTAATATTCTTAGATTTAATCTTTCTGCGGTAAGTATATACAATGCAAGAGCCAATTAAATACCATTCAGTCATGATATAAAATACCTTATATAAATGTAGGATAGGATGGGATTTATATATTTATCCCGGGGGAGACGAAAGCCCATAAGACGGCTCAATCATATGGTGACTCCCGGCCTCTCGTCCGGCTACCAGACTATGTCGAGTATGGAATTAGTTACCAGTTCTTTGTTTTCGGATGCATGAACTTGATGGTGGAGGAATCCGTAACTGACTAGGGGTTACGTCAACTATCCTACAGCGGCGAGGAGTCTAGCAATCCTCTCGCACATAACTATCCCCACATGGGATTCGAACCTGTAAACTCACGCAGGGTAATCAGGGGTGCGATGGCGAGCGTAATCCTAACGCTTAGCGCGATGCGCCAAACCGCAGAGAATAAGATAAGAATGAATTGAATTTTTCTAGAGCGGAGGTCTTTCTGCCCTTCCTTACATACTGCAATTCATCTTTACAATCGGAGGAGGCTATGTCACCGATGTCATCAGAAGTCGTCGATTAATGAGTACAGTAGCGGTTCGCAAGCTTAACACGACGTTGGGTCTGGCTGTTCCAGCATTATTTGTCGTGCTAGCTGGATATATTGGATGCGACGTGGCAGCAGCTGTAGCGTTTTTCTCGATATCTGTGGCTTTTAATGCACTAACAGGTACCCTTTCATAAAAGCAGCACTTATTTAAGTTTTTCAAAGGATATTTTTATAATTAGTGTCAACCAGCATTTTCCGTGATATTCTGGTTCTGAAATGCCTCCATTAAACATACGTATACATCAGTGTTTGGCAAATGCATGAAAAATTTTAACTATCATGGTTAATCGTTCCTAATCTTGAATATATATGGCAGTGTCTTTTTTAGCCTTTATTGGTGTTTTTGCTAGTATCTGGATGTAAAGCGAATACTGTCGAAATAGCTCCGAAATATGGCGGAATAGTTTATGGAATATCAAATACAATTGCAAACATTCCGGGATTTTTGGCACCTCAAGTAGTTGGCATTATGTTGAAAGAAGACGTAAGTGTAAATTTTAGAAACATTTATACTTGTTTATTCTGAAGCTATTTTAGCTGGAACTGAATCTACAAAATTATGTAATATATATTTATATGCGTTTATTCTTGTGTTGTGGCACTTCATATATATTTGGCTGATACTCGTCGTAGAGACAGATCTGCCAAAGAGAAAAAATAGGTACACATAGGTAGTGTATGTACCCGGTTAGTGTTAGGCCATAATGTCATTCCGATTTTCCATTATTTTGTTTGTGTTACGAATTCGGGGACTGTCTGTGTTACCCCGTAGGTTTCAGTTCCGTTGTAGAACTTGGTGCAAAGTAGGCGCCCCCCTTTCGGTACAAACACTTCTGGAACGCCGAAATATCAAACATCTGCACTGTCGCAGCAACGGCTACGGCAAGAATAACATAAACGTATCCAAATAGGCCATCTGCATAAATTCCATGCTGATATTAATCATGAGCTCCACTTCCTTCCTTAACATATACGAACCCTAATAAAACTACTGCTAGCTGCAATCAGTCACAATCTTAAGATCGGTGGATTAGTGAATATACCTATATGGATATTTTGGGAAAAATATATTTTGAGCTGACTCATGTACCAGACAAGCAACAGAAAAAATAAATACAGAAACGAAATATTTACGTAAGGTTAGAGTTGGGATGGATACATAGACCGACTCGATAATTGACGGACCTACATCGCAGACGAAAAACCATTTTTTTCTGATTTAGGAAACTTGCTTGTTCTGTTTTTATACTCCTTCACTATATTATATAGAGTGCAATAGCAAAGGAGCAAAAATATCAAAATTTTTCAATGTGATATACGTTTGGTTCAGTTGTATTTTTCTCTATTTGCAGGATTCTCTTTCCCAGTGGCAAAAGGTATTTTGGGTTTCAGCAGCAGTCTACCTCTTTGGTGCAATAGTATATCTTATTGTGGGATCTGGTGTAGAACAACCATGGGCAGCAGGAAAGATATTAAAAAATAAATCTGTAAAGTTGGAAGGCATCGACAATAAAGGTTATTTTTTATCATGCACATGTTTCATACCGCCCCCTAATTTCTTTCGCAAACCCCGACCTCGCCACTTTTCCTTGGTATTTTTATTATCGCCCGCTTTGCATATTATCTCTTGAAATATCTTTATGATATTCAAATCCGTACTTATCTTTACAGCAACGTCGGAAGACAACGAGAACAAGGGAACGTCATTTTAACTTCATCCACACATAAACGAAATTTACATGCTTCGTTGCTTAAATTTGTCAATATGAGGAATTAGTATTTTAATTTTTCATTATTATTATTTTTATTCAGAATATATATCAACATCATGAAAATACTGCGTTTGTTTAGTCTCTTGTACGGCGAGCTATTCCTAGCTAAGTATAGTTATGTATAATTGTGTCCCTTTTTATGAATTGAAATTTTTTCGTGAATTTGAAATTCATATTGGTTAGTGAACTTAACCCGACGGGAAATGTGGTTACATGTGTGAATTCTCGTTAAAACCACAAGAATGCAATTCAATCTTGACACATACGTCGCCGACCGAATCGTTAATCGTTTGTTAAATAGGAATGATCTAAATTCTTCATGATAGTACTGCAGTATCGAAAATCACGTAACTCTCTCAAGCATAAAATGCTCACTCAATCTGAAATATTTGCAGGCTCGTTGAGTTTCCAATTTCTTTATATGTTCTCTACACTTTGTTACCGGGTTCGGCGCGTTTCATTCACGTCGTGTACTGTCTGGCGGTATTAAAGTAGATTACAACTTTACTTGTAGACGCGTTCATTTTATTGGATGCGTATGACCTTATAAAGAAAATTTTTATACAACAAGACATATTATATTCTACCATGCCATGTCCAGTTATTAAAATAAGTAAAATTTGAAAAGGTCTCAATTCTTATACAGACTTCTAATCTAAGCTATTCAATGTTACTTTCTCAAATTGTATGGAACCACTATTGTTTTGTACCACTACCAAAACCTCAGTGCATCTCAGAACTTCTATCACAAAATAAAATTTATTCCGGTTTCCGGACATCTTAAATTTTAGTTTAGTGAACAAAAATAAATAAATAAAAAAATTTTATTTTTATAAAATGAAGTTTACATCGTTTGAAAGTAATAATAACATTTATTTCTATACTCACTCTTGAACAAACGACAAAGTTTCATCTATGATCTTTGGATTGAGTTTTGTCATTTCATGATCACTGATTTAAATACATTGCTTTCAATCTACGTTATACGTTTCATACGGAAAAGTTTGTATGATATTTGATACGCTCATTGTCGCCAAACGTTTTAATGGACAACATACTCATTAGCACTTCAATGAATTCGGGCAATGGTGTTAATGTGTATATCAGAAGCAACCCTTATATGCGGATATTCTACATTTTCCAACAAGCAATTGTAGCGTGTCTGTAAGTCGAATCAAACATGACACTATTATGATCTAGTCATAAGTTATTTTTTACCAATATCATCCCAGGTAGCTCATAAATCGATATTTTTATCTCGTCATGGGTGTTCTTCACTTACATCTGATATATCAATCCAAGTTCACAACAAACGGTAAAACAATAATCGATATCGATAGATAATCAATCTTTGACAATATGGAAAATCCATAAAAAGTGAGGCATATGCTCTATGCGCGTTTGACCTCTGAGTTGGTCATTTCCAATTCTCGCAAGGTATAATGATGGGATACAACAATTACAGTATATCAAGAGTTTTATATGGATCTTTGACAAAACACAGTCGGACGCCAAAGCAGAATAATGCAACGAAAGTTTTATTGAGTTTAAAGAGACAGATAAGCAGTCAGTCTTTTTATGAAAAATATTTTGGCAGTTTGAATAAGTTGGAGAGAATCAGGGACCTATTTGATAAAGATGCAAAATTAGAAAATGTTGCAAAAGACCTTCTTCCATATTCGGAAGATAGGTATCGCGGCATTCATGTCGTTATCAACAGAGAAAAGAAATGCGATCCTAAATACCACAACCATATGTTGAAAATACTTGACGGTAAGTTTCCATAATTCTTGTGATGTAATTATGATATTATTCTACCTGTTCTAAACAAAATTTTGTCAAACCATCGTTTCACCGTAAAAAAATGTGTCCAAATTAGGCAGTGGGGTGAAACGACATAGTATAAAGAATAACCTTATAAATTAGATAAAGATTGAAGCCAGCAAAGATACCACACGCAAACTAGCATGTTTCGATGTGTTGTTGGGCTGAAAATTCCGAATAGCAAGCAGGTAACTCAGATCACTGACGACACAGGATTGGCGACAGTTGCACAAGGGGAAATTCAAATGCTTTCGATGCTTTTAATAATAATAAAAGCAGTTCAAAATAAGGTAATTTTACTTTACAATACTACTTTACAGATTCGATCGCAGAGTGGAAGTTGAAAGGCAAAACTGCAGTTTGGATTCATGTGCCGATAGAAAAAAGTGCTATTATACCGTCTATACTTTATCATGGATTCAAATTTCATCATGCAGAAGATGAATATTCCTCTTTATCTTTGTGGCTTCATCAGGATGTCGAAACAAGAATACCAATCGCGGCGTCGCATCAGGTAAAACAAAACCTCTAAGTCTAATATTTTACAAGTAGAAAATTAAATCACAATTACTGATGAAAACTTTTCAACAAGACGTTTAATAACTGATAAAATGCTATATGTTTCTGAATACAGATATAGGTACAACCTTTGAGGCAAATGGTTACAGTAAACTCCGGAAGTCAGGTTTGTTTCGTGAACAAATTGGGGGTCAATACATAATATTTTCTTTCAAAAGACTCTTACTTTTAAAAATAGACTTTGATGGATTCATAAGAATAATATTAAGAAGCAATTGTAGGCGACAGTTTTGGTGACATTATCACGGTGTTTGGGACCAGGAATATTCAAATAATCGTATCAAGGGTATATTGTTCAGAATTTGTAATTCAAACTAGACTGGGTATAAAGGGAAGACTACAAGGTTCATTCTCGAGTCGTTTGTGCCATTTTGCAACCTTTTTCATAAATTCGCTTTTTAGATATACAATAACAAGTGGACAAAAGTATATTATTCTTTTTTGTAAGGTCGGTGTTGGAGGATGCTGTATCGATGATTCGGGACGTATGTTAGTAATACAAGAGAAAAGAAGGCCGGTGAAAGTTTGGAAAATCCCGGGAGGTTTCTCTTATCTTGGAGAAAATTTTGGTAAGCATGAAATATAGGATTTTAATTGCATATATATACTGTCTATGGTAATCGATGTTAGTTGTTAAGTATACATTAGCGATATACATATAACAAGAAATTAATGTTCAAATATATGTCCCCGATTGTGCATCGATGGCCGTAAGGCCCAAGCTGATCTTCAAAGTTCCTGAAAAGATCTTCAGATATAAAATTAACTTTTAATTTTGCAGAGGGTCCAACCATTTTTTAGTTACTAATAATTTTAAATTCATTTGCCAATCAGTTACGAAAAAAGCGATAATTTTCACAGCAACAACCCCAATAGGAACGCCAATCTCGAGTGTGTGTCATAATTTCAAAGCTTACAAAGCGACATGGTTGCTTTTCATAGATAATACGGCGAAAAGAGAAGTTTTTGAAGAAACGGGCATTGAGACTGAATACCAATCAATAATCGGATTTCGACAAAAGCATAATTTTCCGGGAGCATTTGGCAAATCAGATTTATATGTAATTTGTAGATTGACGCCAATTACGTTCAAGATCAGGTGAGAGAATCTTATCCAAAAACACACATATTGAAAATGGCTAACCGAGTGCGACATGTTGTGTGGCATTATCCAGTATTCAAAGTATACCATCATTAGAGGTTATGCGAGGCTAACTCCCTATCCTTCCTCAATGTCTTTGCGCTATAGTGGATCCGCATGCGTGTAATAGAAGGATGCTGTAGTAGGAGTGAACAGGCCATACTATGCTATTCAAGAGTACTGCTACATACTAACACCAATATATTTCTGTAACGTTTGGTCTGACCAAAATCAGACTTCCTCAGACAAGCAGTTTTAACAATGATTTACAATTGCTGTAAACTGATTGTCTGAGGAAGTCTGATTTTGGTCATACGAAACGTTACAGAAATACCTCTGTGCTAGTATGCAGCAGGACTTTTGAATTGCCTAAATAAGAAAGTAATTCGAAATAGTTTTGACACAGATGTCGACACTTACGCTGTCAATTTCAACGTCAGTACGAACGATGTGGAAATGTAATGAAACCAGGGCAAATCTCGATCAGTCATGACAGATCGTCAAGATGTAAATACTGTTCTTTGAAATCAATTATCAATAATACCCATCTAATGAATACAAAACAAGCACTCGCTCTCTAACATTCTGAGTGATCTTAAAAAAAAAACTGTTGATAATACATTGATTTTCAGACCCTGTCCAAGAGAGGTTCAAGAATGCAAGTGGATCGATATTGAAGAACTTAGTAACCGTGATGACTTGACACCATTAACTGCTGGAGTAGTAAAAGTAGCTCTTCACGGGTGGAAAAACGGATTCAAAGAAATTGATATTGTGACGTCACTAGTAAAAGAAACAGATGATTTGTTGTATCATCGTTTTGTTAATAATTTATGAGATGAAAATCTGATTATATAACTTTGATGTAAAAAAGAATGAATAAAAGCGATTGTAGAATTATATAAATGAACTAGAAGTTTGCATGTGATTATTAGTTCTAGCTGAACCACCAATTTAGTATTTTATAACTATCAGTAGAGGTTGCGAGACTAAATCCCAATCGATTCTCAATGCCTTTATGCTAGTAGATCCGTACGTGCGTAATGCAACGATGCTGTAGCATGAATAAAAAACCATAATATGCAATTCAAGAGTCTTGCTGCATACTAACACTAATATATTTCTGTAACGTTTCGTCTGACCAAAATCAGACTTCCTCAGACAAGCAATTCACAACTATGACAAGACAAGAGCCTAGAACACTTCGAAAAATGTTCTATAGTGAAAGTTATTGTGAAATCGAGCACGCCGCAATGCTTTATATATACCGGTATATGTGAATATCAGATAATAGCGCTTTGTAGATCTGCTCTCTATCGCTGAATTGTGAACGGCGGATAATAAACATTTGTAGTCAGCTGGACCACTAATCTGTACGCATAAGTTAGCATGCTCAACAGTAGTCCGGTTAACAACGCAGAAAATGTTTTGCCAAGAGTACCTTTCAGTATGAGCCGACACTGGTATCCACGTTGACCTAAAGAAATGATCTTTCTGTATTCAGAGCTGATACTATTGAATGTTCCGTATAATCACTTTGAAATGGCTCAGATACAGATAACTTTTGTATAGCAGAACATATTCTGATTTGGAGATTGGGAGCCGTTGCTTCATTACAAATTCGAACTGTTTAAGTGGGTAGGAAAACTCTATTCTCAATTCAATCATGAAAATTCTGCGATGCAGCCGAAAAAAACCGTTATCTTCTTACGAACCCTTCACAATTTACAGAAGAGGTATCATAAAACCTCCTGAAAGTCAACAAAAAATTCAATTCATCAATTATTAAATTAACCTGTTCCTGTTGCCAAGATATTGGAAGTTCGTCATCGGATAAAATTGTTTGACTCAAAATATTTTAGTTTCTAGGGCATCATTCCTTCATAAGGTATGAATGAATACAGTTTCAATTGCTTAATAAACATGAATAAAAGCGAGAGTCCAGTATTGTGGTCCTGGATATCTAAAACTAGATTACATGCCGCACATGTGCAAACCAATAATAGTTGAATACCTGAATTGATTATTGCTGCCACAACTTGGGTTTAGCTCGCTTTTTTTTATGTATTAAAATCTGTCAATCTCACTACGTGACAATAACAATGGAATAATGGCTTCAGTTCATTCAATCAACATTTAATCAATGAATAATTTTTGACTGTACAGTGATGTTAAAATGTTTTAAAATTTAAATATGTAGATATCATGCTTTTTATATCATCATTTAAGTTCCCGTCTACCTCGTTTCTACCTCTTTTAGTGAGGATATCCTCCGTGACCTGAAAATATCAATAAATATTTGTATGTTGTAATACTGTTTTTACACACGAGTATTTTAACCAGTGTTGACAGTTTTTAAACCTAAATACATAGCTTCAACTGGTTTTTAAAGCCTCATAAAAAAAGCATAAAGGAATTGCCTGAAAATTTGCATTCCAATGAAGTTCATATCGCAATTGGAAGTGCATTCCGATATAAGTACATAAATAGGTATAGCTAGATATTAGTATTTTGCATGAAGGAAATATAGAAACAAATAGACCAGAAATTTCAAAAGCAAAAATCTGAAAAGTTCCCGAAGTAAGGGGGAATTATTAAGAATTAAACTAAATGTTGATTCACAATTACCATGATAAGGTGCATTTCCAGTTGGGTAGTGCGGTGCTCCATGCTGCGGAGGGTGATGGTGCTGCAACAGAAAAATTCCATTTGGGGTTATTAGAAACAAAGTGGACCTATGGATCATTTTTTTGTTGTTGTTATAGTTGTGACTCTAGTTGTTGTTGTTGAACAAAATATTCAATAGAACGCTGATATTTCAAAGGCCATTTGAGCATTGCTTTATTATTAGATGATAAGCATTAGATTTGACCACTATTTTTGCAAAGCACGGATATTAATACCTTCGATTGGCCTAATAGATAAGAACCCCTTCGATCGGTGAACACAAACTTCAAATCATCGGTATTTATCGATTTCGAACTGTTTTACTTATACCTTTGACGATATTCAATTTTTTTATATATACAATTATTGTCATGAGCCAATGCTCGACAAAACATACGGAAATTTACATTTCTCTCGTCTGTATGGCATAATCAACGGAGTTTCTTGATGATACGGTCATATGTGCAATACGCAACTTGTGTAGCTGTCCTCAAACTTAATGGAAGCTCAATAGAACTCTACGAAGTAGATCATTCAAATGAAAATAGGATCATATATCTACAGCCATTTTCCGAACTGTCTTGTTGTGTATGAGCCTAGTTTAAATCTGTATGTTCAGAAATCATAATACTCACATGGACAACTACGGGTGGTGGTGGAGGTCCGTGGTGATGATGGTGGTGTGGGGGAGTCGGGTGGTGATGATGGTGTGGGGGAGGCGTGTGGTGATGGTGCTGGTGGTGAACAGCATTGGCAGCTGCTCTGTTGTTCATTTCCCTGGAGTGTGCAGCATCAGCTCTATTAAATAAATAAAGAAATTCAATTTCATCGTGAGGCTTTTTTCGAAAAAAATGTTTTATACATACATCAAGATTGAGTGACAGGAGACTCCGGGACAATAACACAAAACTCAGAAACCATGATGTCAACAGAAAACTTACGAACAAGTTTGAAAGGATTTTTGGTGCGAGTTTAATAACTTATAAGCTGAGTTTTGTGGCGAGCGATCGTGTGTGTTGTTGGTTTAGCTATCATAATAGTTTGCTCTTTCGGTCGATCCATTTGAATCAGCAGTCATTTCATTCTGGCCATACAATATTGATAAACAAGATTTTGCTAGGATTCATACTATACAACTTAGCCGCTTTATAAAAAGACGATACTTGCTTAACCTTACAGTATTCCACTTTGTTTCTCTCGCGTTATTTATTTAGTGGTCAGCATTTAAACAGTATCTGGCAAATAATTAATTTTCAGAATGTTGCTCAAACCTCTGTCTATTTACAACTTTGATAAAAAGAATGAGCAAAATACACTTCGCCAATAACTCTGACGCTCAAATTCATCTAAAGATACCGTACTGAATAATGTTTTTGGCAAAGGAATTTTTGTCGTAATTAAAGTTTGCTCAATTCTTTTAAGTTGCCGACTGTAAGATTGAAATTAATTGTGTTTGCTTTGATAAGTAGTCGATCAGCGATCATCTTTGTTTCAAGCAAGGTATGGATCAAAATATTCTTTTTGAATGGACAATTACTTATTATTGAAAATTGGCATGATAGGTATATTTGATATTGAATAGGGTAAATGGAAAATACCTGTGTCCCGCCGCATGTGACTTGCTTTCTAGTCGAATAGCCTGCCCGATATTTCCGTGCAATGCTGCATTGACTGCTCTGTCGTGTAATCGTTCTTCTCTTCGTTCCGCCCTCATTTCTTGCTAAATTATTAAAATTAAATTGTGGGTTATGAACACATCATTATTTTCAATGATAACAATTAGCAAATTTTGAGAAAAATAACATTTTGTTCGAAACTTTTTTATATTAATTTTTTAATTACGTTCTGTATGTTCACCATGGTACACGATAAGAGAAAGACACATTTTGGTTCCTATTTTGTGGATGCATCACTCAAGACAGAGACTCATGTCAGAATCAGCATGACTAGAGTAGTGCGTCTGGTCACTCTTTTGTAGTGGTCTTAGAACATGCTTAAAACGAACTTCGTAGGTTTGATGTATTTTAAAATCTTCTATATACCCCACAATTACATATAGAAGCGATTTTAATCCTTCATTATTTCTATGTTATCTTTACACGCGTTTTAACAAAACACATATATACCTTGTGTGCCTTGTTGGCTTCTCTGTGTAGATGGCGTTCCATATTCTTTATTTAAAATAGTATATAAAATGTTACAACGTCAAGCTTATGCAATATCAATCAGCAAATGGAATGGCATATATATTTCGCATATGCAGATTTATTCTCCACTCACCCTTCTTCACTTTGTGCAACCCACCCTTTAGTTTTACTTATTGGAAATGATTTTATATTAAAGCATTAATATTTATTTACTCCTCGTGATTGTTACCGGAATGTGAAGCAAGCGATATCCCCGGTTGTTTGTTTGTTACAGTATGCAGCAATTTAGCCTATGTCGAAACATTGATGTTTCATCCCAGTATGAGCTAAAGATATAACCTGGTTTTTGTGATATCTCCATGCATGGCAAATAGTCAAAAATATTAACTGTAGATAATTTCTTCTAACTTGTAGATGTAAAAATAAAACACATGACTACACAGTAATGGTAGCATATTAATTTAATGAAAGTTGGGGCACGTGGCAGAGTGATAAGCCGTCTATTTTACATTCACGTGCCATTCTGTAAAAATGTTGAAACGTAAGGAGAAAAATGAGAATAGTTGTCGCTTCTCTGGAAGGGTCAAAGGACGTAAAATGATACCCCGTTTGATAGAATATATAGAAATCTGAAACAATCTGCCGCCAAAGGATTTAATTCTTGAACACAGAGTTCTAGCTACGTTTTCATCTACTCTTTTGGTTAGTTGGTATTAGTATGAAACGAAGTGGGGGTTGATATTTTTCAATTACGAGCCCCGGCAACTTTTATTCGACTGGGACCTGGATGATGCCTATTCTACTGCTTCTCGCTTTAAAAAGTTTATCATCCCGACTGATTTCATTGGCCATAACGTCGCCGAGAGTTCATGTGCATATTCACGGACTAAACCAGTTCGAAAAATATAAAGGAATTGACGTTATCGATACGGAATAATTCGAATTTTGCCATACAATAATTGCAGTGCACATTTTCTTTAGGGCATTTTAACAGATAATTTAGCCACATTTAGTCAAGTTACAGACCTAAGCCTACATAAACAAACAATCAAACATGCGTGAGGGAACAAAACATAACTTACTAGTATTTGCAGAGCAATTCTATGAGAAAGGCTTCGCAAAGATCAAAGGCAAACAATTAAGAAATACATTAAGGCAATTCAACCCTACAGCACCGCAAAGCTCTGATAAAAAATTTCTTTGTATGCGGGTTCTCCATGTTTCGCTGATTCATGTAATAATTAGGAATTGACGTGTGAATAACTAGCATTTTGTGTTTTGTATGTAAGGATGTTAGTTTTGAAGTTTCATAAGAAATGTTTTAAATTCAATTGATGTACCGCTCCATGCGTAGAATCGGTGAAAATGTTTATTCAAAATTTTTTTCAGTACTGCAGATCGATATGTGTCATAAACTATTTATATATATATATTGATTAAATCAAAATTTAGTGACATATTGGGTTATTTCAGTGATATAAGTATTTTTATCATAGAATATTCACTTTAGTTATATGCTTTAGGTCATATTCGACTTTTGTTTTGCGTGTCTGTGTCTTTTTCTGTGAAATGGTTTTCTACCAACAGTAAATTTACTTTATTTCCAAGTCTCCATCTGTGTGAAATCAAGTCCATGCTTCCGGAAACAAATAACTGGCTAACCAATCCCATACCCGAAAAAGACTGGTAACCGGACGAGAGGCCGTGGTTCGCCGTATGATTAAGCCGTCATATCGGCTTTCCTCTCCTCAGGGATAAATAGGTAAATCCTATCCTATAACTATATTAAACTGGACGCCTAAAACGTGACGTTTGGTAAGCCTGAGCATGAACAAAACTGATAAACATTTTATGGCCTCGTCATAGGTTCCACAAGAGAAGAATGGGGGCCTGTCCTGCATGACTTGCAATTGGCTTACCACGACAACAGCCTTGATAACATAAATAGAGACAATGGCATAGTGATAAAGTAGGATACTGAGGCTGGATGAGATTGAATCTAATCACGACAATCTGATCACCCACACTCGGTAATGTAAATGGATTCTAACTGTTCTAACTTTCCTAACTGTTCTCACCTAAATAACTGTTCTAGCTCGCTGATTTAACTTGTTTGGTATATTCGTATTCTATTTTTGTTTTCTCGAACAATCTCTACATGACATTTTTATTACGTAATAATAAACAAGAAAACTTTGCCTGAATATATACATTTTATTGCACAAATTGTACCATAAGAAACATCTTCCATGGGAGAGTAAGGTGTTTTGTCCTGATGAGCATAATTAAAATTGTCAGCCTGTGCTGAAATATAAAATTCGCGCATAGCAACAGTTTCATGTTTATGTTTCCATGATTTGGGCAGGAGTGGTTGTCTTTTGTGATGAAAACTTTTTGCGAACAATAGTATTTACAACGAATCCCAAATGGTAAACTTAATAATCCATTCACATGTTTCCAATTCGTTAGCTTTATACGCATAAGTGACGGGGTTTATAAAAAATATTTGGGGCAATAACCAGATAAAAAAGTACAGACCATTCTTGGTGTATATCTTAACATAATGGATGAATTTGCACCAAAAATAAATTAATTAAAAATATCAGTCATTTTTATAGCTTTGTAAAGTGACATATTTTTTTCCATATACATCGTATCAAAACTTGTCCGTCTCCGTTCATTCTAGTGTGGATATCCTCCGTGACCTGAAATTATGAATATTGTTTTATATTTAAACTATGTTTTAAATTTTTTGCCGATTATAGCTGTATACACAATATAAAAATGAACCGAAATTTGAGTTTCCATAAAATATCTGTAAAATAATGATTATTGTGAAATCAATCAATAAATTTGAAAATTCTGACATGGCAGACGACAAACCATATTTTTTTGACTGTATTGGAGGTTAATAAAATTAGCTGCTGCTTAGCTGCTTTCAAAGGAATTCTTGAGATCTATTTTCATTTTCTCATACCTGGATAAGGGGCGGATCCTGTTGGGTAAGGTGGTGGCGCCGGTTGCGGGTGGTGATGATGCTGCAATAAGAAAGATAGCGTTATCATTTGATAATCTGTACATTATACTAGATATTAGTTGTTTGGCTATATACTCACCAGCAATAGTGCATTGCCAAAATATTGATCACATTGGTGTTATGAAGGCTAACGGGACTTATTTGTTTTGTCTACTTTGCTTTAAAAAATCCGACACACATATAAGAAAGATTCTTGTAGTTTTGACTAATAAGAAAATACAGTATATATAAGATAGTACATAAACTCCGCCGTTTGTGGTTAGATTTTGAACAACTTCCATACTGGAAGGCTGCGCACTCACAGTAGTCAAAAATTGCCGTGTGTAATGCGCACGTCAAAAGCTGTTAACAAAATACTCACATGAACAACTACTGGCGGAGGTGGAGGTCCGTGGCGGTGGGGATGAGGTGGTCCATGGTGATGGTGGTGATGAGGAGGATGTGGGTGAAAAACTGGTGGAGGTGGTGGGTGGTGATGATGATGTGGATGATGCAGAGCATTGGCTGCTGCTCGGTTATTCATCTCTCTGGCGTGAGCGGCATCTGCCCTGTTGAAGCAATAGGAAATGAATTTAAATCTCTAAAATAATCGACTATTCAGCTTTTCATGTGGCTATAATTATACGAGCATAATGACCTGCCCTAGTCGCTCATGCTCATTTCTCAATCCAATATGTAAACGACAGGGCTAGCTATGACAAAGCGGGGAAAACCTCGTGTTTTTTCCAATGCTATGGTATTTTTTGTACGTATCGGTATACGTAGGCGGTTTCGCGTTGTTTGCGATGCAATACCGCGGCCAGTGTAGTTAGTAGCCTGATTAGTTTCCGAATTGTTCGACGATCGAAACGAATGTGGAATACCACTACTACATCTTGTATACATTACATCAAACGTTTAGTTTTTCTTACGAATTTTATCCGAGAATACGCAAGTCAACAATAAAAGTGTTATTGGCCATTTCGAGTTGAAAAATGATATTACTTATACCTTTTGTCCATTCTGAAAAATCGTCGCTTGACCAATGTATATGACCTTACGATAACAGGCCTTAGTCTCATTAGTTCGGTCTTTCAGTAAAATAATTAAACGTATATCGTATATGTCTGTCAGAAATATTAACTTAAATGTGTCTGACTTGTCCGACTATACGCCGGATAAATCTCAGAACTAGGAATAAATACACAATCAACCATTAATGTGGCAGACCAACAATATCCCAATTCTACAAATTCAAAATTGTAAAGATGCGAATATGATTGGTCCTCCAAAAGACAAAACTCCCAAATTAAAGTAATCCATACAATCAAGATTAACGCATTGTAAAACAATTTTAACAGGTGGAATTTCTCTATAGCTCAATAATAACAATTAATGAAGCCTGTTTGAAATATTTTATAGGTAAAAAATATTATATTTGAATATTTGAAACTACAAATCAAAAAGTTACAGTTTTTGATCTGTCCAAAAAGCACATCACTACCATCAAGATCTCTCTTGTTAACTGCGTTTGCAGTTGAAATATATCACCCTTAGATAATAACCTCCGATATATTTTTGTGGGACAAAGAAAACACCTTTTTTTTTCAAAGAGTGGGTGAATGTATGATTAACGATGATACAGTTACACATGTTTTCATGATATTATAATTGTGTACAGGAAAATGTATACTGAATAAGACCGTGTGAATGATGGCTGCGAAAAAATATGTAAAAACCAGACCACAATTTCATGGTAATTTCCTATTTGAATATATGAGAGAACAAAGGTGTGATCCCCTAATATTGAATACATAGCCTTTTTCAAGCTATAATATTCGGTCTCTTGCGCAACATAAATCTTCGATAACGTCGTATTACAATTATAGAACACGAAAAGGCTGACAATAGTATTAATATAGGGTATATGTATCTAAGCTCTGAACATGTAAGTAAGAATATACGGAAGCTTTTTTATCAAGCTGATTTGCACATTTATGGGCGCTCCCGAAGTATAACCTGGTATTGGGGGGGGGGGTGTCATTTATGATTGACTACCTATCAGTCATCAGTCGAGATGTAAAAACATTCAAATACCTGTGGCCAGCTGCTTGTGATTTGCTTTCCAATCGAACGGCTCTGCCTATATTTCCATGTAAAGCTGCATTAACTGCTCTGTCGTGTAATCTTTGTTCTTTGCGTTCTGCTCGAACTTCTTGCTAAATATTAAAAATAAAAACGATTTATAGATAGACAAAGAAAAATGAATATATGGATGAAAATATTTAGTATCATGCTAATGGAAAAATGGCTTCAAAAACTATATTCAAAGTCGACAAAAACGCGTGTTGTTTAACGGGCGATACATTTCATAATTCTTGAAATCTGTTCAAATCCTCAAATATTTGTTATTCGTTGTTGTTCAATATGCCGCGCACAGAATTATTTCGGTAAATTAGAATCAGTACAATAAACAACTCTAAAATTACTGACTTATTTACCTTGTGCGCCCTGTTGGCCTGTCGATGCAAACGATGTTCCATTCTCATACCAAACTGTTGTAGACTTGGTCAGATAAACAATTGATTCTCCAACTTCAAATTCTTTATAGAAATGGTATCGAAGTTTCCGACGAATCGAAGATATTTACTGATCTTTTTTCGTGTACTCGGTCTTTGTTTGGTTTGCTTTATTAAAATTTTAATATGCTATGCCTCGTGACTGACAACGAGTCACGAGGTCTAACGTCACACATCACGCGGCGATGTCTCGCGGTGTTTGTCTGCCTCAATGCTTTTGCAATAATATCCTTGCTCACATACTTGAATGCCCATGCATGATCCAGGTTGTTTCTGAAATCGATTAACAACTAATAACTCCGACCCCAAAAATCCTAAAAAGTAAATTACATTACATGCTTAGTTTAATAACACATGATCAGTAGTATAAGTAATGTACTAAAATACTCTATTGTAAACCGGTGTTGACTGAAACGAGGCACCTCGTGTTGCAATATTGTTGGTTATTTATTAGTTTGATAGGATGCAATTTAATGCAATATTACTCGAGCAAACTGTTTTGAAATGGTGCACATAAGTTTTGTGCCGCCCCCGTTATTTGGCAGCAACAATGATCATGACATCACGTATTGCATAGTTTATAGATGGACCGCACCTGTAAAATACAATTTGCAACTGAAGCATGCTTGATACATCTCTAATACGGGCATTAAGCAAAGCATTAGCAAAATGTAATTGAATATGTGGAAAGTTATGACGTTGTCCTGTCATTCACATTATGAGACATTGCCTTGGAGCTATTTGGGAAGCACCGAAGGTAGTTTAAACTCGCAAAAGTAGAAAAACTGAGGTCAACAAATGGCGTAATATGTACGGATTGAGAGAAATCAACATTTTTTAAATATTTCGACCGTCACCGAAGGATTTCGTGGTTACATGCGTAGAATATTCACGTTGAAAAGGCACTACATTTTATATTCAAATCATGGAGGAACCATTAAATTCCTTATTATTTGATTTTTCAGTGACATTTCATGAAAAAAGCACTTTTTTATGTATCCATAATGAAAGCGAACAATTTGCGGTACAAATGCTGCTATAGATAATTTTTTTGAATAGAATTCAAAATTTGTTTCAAATATAGAATATCTATGAAAATAAGTATTCTACTGAAGGGATGTTTATACATTATACTTATAGTCAAAATTAATATCGTCTGTGAATAATGTAAGTCCATGAATAACAGGAGAGCTATGCTCAAATATATGGACACGTAGCGCCACCTAATGGCAATAATTTTGATGACGTCAAAGCAAAAAAAAAGTAATAGCCTTCTGAAGAAATATTTTATCTTTAACCACTGAAAATTTCAAAGCAATTGGTCCAGTAATCAAAGAGAAAAGCGATTTCTTCAAAACGTGTCAAAGAACAACATAACAACAAAACGATCGTTATGTCCACTAAACGTGTCCAATAAGTCCATGAATTAGAAGCTTTGAAGACGGATTAAGATGTCATAACAAAACACGAGAGCTACGCCCAAATATATGGACACGTCTGTTCGTAGTACAGTACGGTGTACCGTACCGTCAGATCACAGTCTACAAATATATTCACACCAAGCGAAGCAGTACAGTAGGACACAAAATGGCGTCCGATGTTCGCAGAACGTTTAATGACGTCATAGCAAACAAAAACAAATCTCACAGAGCTAACAGAAATATTTAAAATGAATTAAAGTAATAGCCTTCTGGGGAAAATTTTTATCTTCAACCACTGAAAATTTCAAAGCAATTGGTCCAGTATTCGAAGAGAAAAGCGGTTTTTTAATATTTCCACTAGGTGTGTTATTCTGTGTCAAATAACAACAAGAACAAGAACAAGAACAACATAATATTGAAACGATCGTTATGTCCACTACGTGTCCAACAAAACCGTAATTTTTAAAGCAGTTTATAGGTGGTGATACACAACACACAGTGGTTCTGTTACAAAAAGTCATGTAATGCTAACCGGTTCGCTGATCTCATAAAATTCCGTCAGACGGTTCTATGGAACCGGTGCGAACCGGCTAAATCCCAATACTGTAATCACACTTTATTCTAAAATTCATTTTATTCTTTTGACATCTTTCAAACAAACGAGCAATGCCCGAATACATAGACACAAAGGCCATTAACGAAGTACCATTAAATCTTACAGTAGGCTACCGGTAGTCTGACCGGTCTGACGCGAAATTGCGATCACGGAACCAAGGCACGGTGAGAATTTTTTAAATTTTTGATGTGGTCTCACACAAATATTTAGTGAAAAAGAGTGATGAAAGGATTCCATAGAGCTCACAGACATTGTTGAAATAAAGTAAAATAACAGCCTTCCAGCAACAACAACAATATTTAACCACTGTAAATTTTAGAGAGCGATTGGTCCAGTAGCTAGTGAGAAAACGATTTTTCACAAGAAGAGGAAAAATGAAAAAACGATCTATAATAGGTCCTTTCGTATCCAATAATGATTCAATTATCTGAGCAGTCATTGGTATTCAATCATTTTATACTATTTTCATATTCATAAGTTATTTCTGTCCGCTGCTGTTGCAATGTCTTTTGGGTTTGGCGTGAAATTAGTAAAAGCTCTCATATGAAATTAGTAGAAGCTTTCATATTTTACTAGCAGTTTCAACATTTTATGAGATGTTTCTATTTAACATCTACTGTCGAATCCACGTAGTAACTTTTCAGGTATAGTATGTTTTCAGGATGCCTCTTAAAATTTTATGAAAACTGCAAAAGTCAAACTGTGACTCCACAGTCCTGATTTGGAAGCAGACACTTCATTTCTCGTTTATTTCTTCTATTTCATCAATATTGAAATTGCTTTTTTCTTTGAGATTTCATAAAAGTTGGAGGGTTGTCTGTTGTATTACAAAAATTGATATGTATCAAATGTTTATTTACTCAGAAACTAATTTACTACTCAAGATACAAAGCAATCGATGTAGGTTTACAATATAAGGGCTTTGTTTTACAACTTATTCTCAAAATAACATTGGCGATTCAATACAGGGTACATCCGTAAGGTGACGCCCGTGAACATATAAAAATAGTTCCTTCACTGTATCGAGTATCGAAGTAAACAACTACACCATTGAAACAGTTTACTAAGCCTGGGAAATTTCTTATCGCACAATTGCTAACACGACATACCAATTACGTAAACATTTTCTTCCATGCTAATTCTCATTACCAATCAACCATTTCCTTTGAACGTGCTTACCCGATGTTGGGATGTCGGAATTGGAAATTACCGAATTTTCCCCCACATTCGAATTTCCCGCAGGCGTACGACTCGTTATAAAACTGACGGAATTACTCAGTTAACTCGAAACTGATGACATCGTAAGTTAGGTATGTTATTTGTATAAACGAGTGGTTTTGATTCGATATTGACAATGGATGCGGGAATCCTACACTGCAGTGCACCCCTCGCTTTTTTTTATTCAAGGGAATGCAAACGTAGATAGCCTTTAAAAATACACAAAAAAAATAAAATTATGTTGTAACTTTTAGTTATGGAAATCGTTTATCCAACTTCAAAAATCAACTTCGTTTTTTCTTCATATATTGAAGATACAACTCTTTGAATTTCCTTTCCGGATCAACTACCAGTGAAAAAACTCCGAATTTACGAATCCACGATGTTTACGAGTAAAACAAAGAAATTATGTGTTACATATATTATATATAGGTGGTTTCCAGAATTTCAAAACAAGATTTAATAGAACGAGTAAAGCTCACCATATAGTTTTTTTCAAGTATGTCAATACCTCAACTGAATAATTAACAAAAATGAATAAAACATTTCATTGCAGCCCATTTGTCGCGAAGCATGTTTTCGTAACGTGTGGAACTAATAAGTAATAACGTCATTTAAAAATTCGGAATGCAATATCGTAGCCTATCTCACCTCATAGACCGTAAAGTGGCTTCTCGTTTCTGACGTCTTGGTTCAGATAAGCTTATTGTAGAATATATATAAATTTGACATACTGAAGTATCGTTTTGACGTAATCATTCTGGCCATTAACTACAAATCATATCCCTGCCGGTAGTTTTGCTTATGCATGATTCAGTTACAACCTATTAGTCATCTCATGTTACAGACTAATATTAATAAAACAGAGACTCGAAACCACTGAGGTTGATCAGTTTACACACAACAAGAGAGTATCCAGAACAATTCTCGAATACCGGTAGGCAGGGATGGCCAATTCGAATAAAGTATTCGAACGTATTCGAATATCTCGTTATTCGAATATCGGAATTAGCGTTCATAAAATATCGGATATTTGTGTGACGTCACACATTTTCGACGCCGCTTTCAAGACGTTTCCGTTGAATGAAAATATTCTCGATAGAAACTTGCGCGCGATTGTTTTCATCGGCGGGTCGTATTATTTAGGCCGTAAACGCCTTTACGTTTGTGTTATTTTTCCTAAAACAAATTTGTTCTACGATAACGATGACAATGATTTTTTTTGTACTCGCACGGAATTGTGAATCCGTTCATCAGCGGCGAATTTCTAAAGACAACGCAAATTTTTTGATTGAATGGCGGCAATTTAAAATACTAAAAATAAAACCGTAAACAATATTATAAGTTTTTTGAGGCCCGCGACAGTTTAAAAAACGCGTTTCTATGCCGTGAAAATAGCAAAAACTTGACTTTTTGTACCATAATTTTATTTTAACAACAGGAACGCAAATGTAATAATATGGCCAACAACCGGAACGTCGTTCCGGTGAGTTCCGGCTACAGCTCACCACTGAGATTAGGGGTTTTGAAAATTACCATATACCGGAAGTTAACAAGTTGAATATAAGCGATCGCAGCCCTGACTGCCCAACTGACGGTACATTATAATAGTTTATTTATTGTTAGATTAACCTAAGGCCGGTTCTATCAATTTTTATCACTGATATGTTAGCATTTATTTTATTCTATTCGTGCCTTAGTGGGTCACCAATAAAACGCGATGGGTCATTTTGTGACCCGCGGTTCATTGGTTCCCCATCTCTGGCTTATAACAATGATATCGCCGCCAGTCGCATTCAAAAACTATATATCCTTTTCGGTATACATGTGAACA